GTTGATCTTGCGTCTGGCCGCTTTGTTACCCTTTCCCCCTTGTCCTCCTTGTCCACACTCGCCGGCCCAGGTATATTACCTTATCGTCCCTCTTTTGAGATCCTACAGCTTTCGCCGCGTTCACTCATTCACGCCCGAAACTCCTGTCTAGCGATCAGTCACTCATTCACCACTCACCAACTCACCGCTATATCCACATACGCATAACGCTGTTGAACGACGTTACGATCCTTTCGACAACCGATACTCACCACCCAAACTCAACATGCGTTACTCTTCTGCCGCGGTGCTGAGCACCCTCGTTGTTGGTCAGGCTGCTGCCGCCAACATCCACAACCGCCACGCGAGCTTCCACGCCCGTCGCGAAGCGTAAGCAGTCCGCGCAACGCGCACGTTGCGTCGCAATCACTAACAGTGCGCAGTGCCTCCAAGCGCCAGGACCCTGCCGCCCCCGTCAACTGGGATGCGCTCAGCTACGACCTTAAGGACGTCAACTGGGAGAAGGTCAACTGGAGCTCCGTCTTCGCCTCGTCTGCGGCTGCTGCCACCCCGACTCCTGAGGCCGCAAAGCCCGCCCCTGTCGTAACTCCTACTCCCGAGGCCGAGAAGCCCAAGCCTAAGCCCGCTGCGCCTTCCAGCACCGAGGCTTCCTCATCCGCCCCCGCACCTAAGAAGACCGATGAGCCTACCAGCGACAACCCCATTGGCGACCTCGTCGATGATGTCTTCGCTGGTGTCGCCTCGATTGCCAACAAGATCGGCGCCAAGGTCGGCAAGAACGACAAGCAGAACAACGGCGGTATCTGGATTGGTGACGACTCCAAGTGGGGTATGGAGGTCACCAACACCGGGTAGCGACGAGGCCGTCTACTACTGCTGGCCAGGCCAAGGGTTTCGACGGCATGTCCATCAACAAGTGGGTGCCCGATGTTTCCGTCGGCCTGAAGCCCGGGAAGTCCGTCAAGCTCTCCTTCGCTGCCAGACGTTCCTGCTGCGTGCGCCCCGGCGACTGCCAAGAACGCCCTCGCCCTTTTCGGTGGTGTCGACAACACCTGGGCTGAGGTCACCTTCGGCCAGTGGGGTGCTTTCGACGTCTCCCGTAACGTCAACATGAAGGGCTGCAACATCAGCATGAAGGGCTCCAAGTGCCTTTCTGACATGGAGACCTGCGTCTTCAAGTGCAACTCCGGCGACTCTTGCGAGAAGGGCTACGACCTCCACAACTGCAACGCCAGCAACGGTGGCGGCGGCGGTTACGACGTCGTCATGCAGGGTACCGGCGGTGGTTGCGCCATGGCCTCTGAGGGCGAATGGATCAAGGTCACCTTCGACTAAACGCCTCGTCGTTTGTTGGTCGGAGTTGTAACGTCTTTCCTGGTCCTTTGAGCTCGTCTATATCCTCTTCCTCATACCCCCATTACTTTCGCCGTTTTGGATATTCATCGTCCGACTCGGGCAATATTGATACCCGCTGCGTTGCTCTTGGGTAGTCGGTTTCCATTACGGCTCTTAGTGGCCAATGTGTTTGTGTATAATTGTTTAAGTCGTTTATAGCGAATCCAAAGTAAAAAATAACTCTTCTTTGCGCTCGTGACGTTTGCCTGATGACTGACGTGAGTGTATGATGATTCGATGCGTGCGTCAGCTCGCTAGTCAACCGCAACGTGGAAGCCACTCATCAGGATATCTGGTGGAGACAAAGACTTGGGGTGTGGTGAAAGTGCGTCGTCAGGCTTTGTGTTCTTGTTGTTGTGAAGAAGCACGGCATCAGTACGTCGATGCAGTCGTGTCTTCCGAACAATGTATTTTTTGAAACACGTTGACTGCCCGCGGAAACACATTGTCGTTTGAAGACAAAAGAGAAGCGGCAAGGTAGTGGAAACCATCGGGTCCGATCGTTTTATCTTCTCTTCAATTGTGTCAGCTGGTGGTATGGCGTATGCACAGCAGCCACTCACCTCTACCATGCTTTGCTCATCTCAGAGTCAGTACACGAACTCTTTGATCAAGACAGGATCCGGGCGATGACAGTGCCAGCGCGAGAAATGTGAGGTGACGTGATCAGTGTTGACGCCACGAGGCAGCGGTAAAACTCGTGCCCGCTCTGCACCTACAATGCCAGCTGATAGTCGTTAGAGGTGAACTCATTACAAGTTGCTAGTAGAGTCTGGATGTATACGCAGCTGTAAGATTATCTACACATTTCATTAAAGATCTTTGAGTGCATCCAAGCTACCTCATCACCTCTTCTCATTTGGAAACCGCGGGCATGAATTGCGTCACGGCTTTACGGTGACAAATATGAGGCGATGTACGTGATCAGAGTGGTGATGCTAAAAATGAGCGACACAGCGAGGCATCGAGGAACGCATATAAGAACAGCAATCGCGAAGCACGCAAATGAACGAAAACAAGAATTAGGGGATCGAGAGGTGAGGTGTGAAGAGGTGAGTGGAATGCAGTCAAGGCAAGCGAGGCACAACGACCCATAGACACGGTTGGGGAAGGCACATACCACCAGCTGAAGGAAGGCACGATGGCTGCGTAAGGGGACCGACCACGCATTCTCAACGTGTGCTTGGATATTTTGTGCGGAGAACCATAGTTTGGTACCCTAGGCATGCCCTACTTTGTAACAACCGACATCACTCATCACAGTCACTGCGAGAATGTCAAAGTGAGATTTCATCTTATGATCATTTGCTGTTCGAAAAAACTGCCAAAAGCTGGAAAACTCCGCATGTCCCGTAGATATCTAAGCCAGCCCATTTTACTACGAATGGTACTTGTACATTGGTCGGACCAAGGCGACCCAAGATATAGCTAGCTCCGTTAATGCAAGGGGAAAGAGATGCACTTTTACTTCTCAGACGAGACGAGCATTTACAACTCGTCGTGGTCAGGCTCCTCCTCGCCGGCGCCACCAGCTCCGCCGTAAAGCTTGGAGGTGATGGGGTAGGCGACGTCGGAGAGCTTCTGGAACTGCTCGTCAAAGTCCTCAGAGGCGGCAGTGGCGGCGTTCTCCTCGAGCCAGTCCTGAGTCTCCTTGACGGCGTCCTTGATGGTCTCCTTGTCCTCATCCTCGATCTTGCCACCAAGACCCTCCTCATCGTTGACCTGGTTCTTGAGGCTGTAGGCGTAGTTCTCGAGCTTGTTGCGGGACTCAATGCGCTCACGGTTGGCCTTGTCCTCCTCAGCGTACTTCTCAGCCTCCTCAACCATGCGCTCGATGTCTTCGGTGGTAAGGCGGCCCTTGTCGTTGGTGATGGTGATGCTCTCAGCCTTGCCGGTACCCTTGTCGACGGCGGAAACCTTAAGGATACCGTTGGCATCGAGCTCGAAAGTGACCTCAATCTGGGGGACACCACGGGGCGCGGGACTGTTATGCTATTAGCTTCTATAGATTCGAGTGGATTGTGAAAAGGTGACTTACGGAATGTTAGTCAGCTCGAACTTTCCGAGATTGTTGCTGTCAGTCGAGTTAGTCGAGAATTCCACAGCGACGCTTGTGACGATTAGAAGATTGGTGGCGATGAAGGACATTCCGGTCTTTGGCTTTGTAGTCGCAGGGTTCGCAGTAGAGACCACAGCCGTCGTCGACAACAGATTGGTGTCGGGGAGTGGCGGTGTGGCGGTCCAACCCGAACCGCGTTGCGAACGATTTGTCACAGGGAGAGCAGTGGAACCTTTGCTCCTCGACATAGCGCTTGCCTCTGGCCAGGTTCTTGGGCTGCGATCTCTTATTGCACACAGCCTTGTAGTCGAGGAACTCCCTGTGCTCTTCTGGACTTCGCTCTGCCTTCTGCTTCGCATCCCATTCTCTACGGACCTCTCGCTTCCTCTGAAGAGCGATAGCGGCCATGAATTCGAGCTGTTCAGCAGTGAAATCGAGGTCGTCGACTCCGACAATGACGCCTTCGGTGAGGGGATTGTGAGATGAAAGGCCCGCCCATTCATAGTCATCGCGCGACCAAGGACCAGGCGGAAAGCCGTACTTCTTCTTCCGATTGTACATAGGCCACAGAAGGAGATGAAATGCGGCCTCGATGGCGACGAGTGCAGTGCGGAATGCTGGGACATGTGCTGGGGCAGGCATAGGACAGTGACAGAGCAGTGCTGCGTGGATCTGTTTGTAGCCCTGGTTCTTCGCATCTCGGACTCGACTGGGCTCGACGCTGCGGTTCTTGTGTTGTAGGAGGCGAGCTCGAACTCCAGCTTTCTTGGAGTCAGAGCCAGAGCCGATGTATACCGCGTACCGTCTGCGCTTCTTGAGGACGAGGACATAGACACCCCATAGTTTGGTAGGGACGGTGTCAGGGAGAGACAGGAACCAGTCAACGCTTGGTGGAGAGCTGCCTTGGACGGCGTCGAAAAGCCCATCAACGAAGGTGAGGCCGAGCTGAGGAAAGAGAGCGGCCAAGCTGTCATAAGCAGGAAACAGAACGCGAAAGCGAGGATTGATCCAATCGGGGACCGAAAGGCACAGCCAGGTTGCGTGTAGGATGAGTGCTTGGATGTCGACTGCATCGTAGAGCATCTTGACTGCATTGCTTGGTTGCATCAGGCGTACAACGCGGTACACGTTGGAACGACTGACCCTTTGGCGTGAGGTGGGATGAAGGATGAGGGATGAAGAAGCGAGCGACGCGAGGACGATGAGGTCCGACGCGTCTTCGCAGCCAGAGGCAGGTGCGTGTGGGTGGTAAACATCCTGTTGGAGTAGGTGCTTCAGGCACCGAGTCCGCTGGGGAAGGTGCGCTCAGGAAGTCGCACCACCGGAAAGTCCAAAACCGGAATGTCCAAAGAGAAGAGTAAAAAGGGAAGGAGAGGGGAAGGAAGTAAAACACAAAAAGAAAAAGAAACACTCACTGATGGCATGTTAGCGGTTGTCATGTATCGGGGCTCTGGTTTTGCTTACCTTGTCCTTTGTCATAGCGCGTTCGCCTTCGAATACCTGGATAAGGACTACGGGCTGGTTGTCGGCCGCGGTGGAGAAGATCTGGCTCTTCTTGGTAGGAATGCTGGTACCACGCTTGATGAGAGTGGTCATGACGCCACCAGTGGTCTCAATACCGAGAGTAAGCGGGTTGACGTCCATGAGGATGATCTCCTCAGTGGCCTTGTCACCAGCGAGAACACCACCCTGAACGGCAGCGCCGAAAGCGACAGCCTCGTCGGGGTTGACGTCCTTGCGAGCCTTCTTTCCGAAAAACTCCTCAAGCATAGCCTGAACCTTGGGAATACGGGTGGAACCACCAACGAGAACAATGTCGTCAATGTCGGACTTCTTGAGGTTGGCGTCCTTGAGCACCTGCTCGACAGGCTTGAGGGTCTTCTTGAACAGGTCGTTGTTGAGCTCCTCAAACTTGGCGCGGGTGAGGGTCTCGGAGAAATCCTTGCCCTTGTGGAAAGACTCAATTTCGATCTTGGTGGTCTTCTGGGAGGAAAGCGTACGCTTGGCCTTCTCGACCTCACGCTTGAGCTTACCCATGGACTTGGGGTCCTTGGTGATGTCGACGTCGTTCTCCTTGTTGTACTTCTTGGCGAAGTGCTGGATGACACGGTTGTCAAAATCCTCACCACCAAGATGGGTGTCACCAGCGGTAGACTGAACCTCGAAAACACCCTCCTCAATAGTGAGAATGGACACATCGAAAGTACCACCACCGAGATCGTAGACGAGGACCTGGCGCTCGTTCTTGTCGGCGACCTTGTCAAGACCGTATGCCAAAGCGGCCGCAGTGGGCTCGTTGACAACACGGAGAACGTTGAGACCGGCGATAGTGCCAGCGTCCTTTGTGGCGGCACGCTGAGCGTCGTTGAAGTAGGCGGGGACGGTAACAACAGCGTTCTTCACTGGCTCGCCGAGATAGCTCTCAGCAATCTCCTTCATCTTGCCGAGAACCATGGCGGAGATCTCCTCGGGTGTGAAGAGAGTCTCCTTCTTGAGGACCTCGACGCTGACGCGGGGCTGTCCGCCCTTGTTGACGACCTTGAAGGGGAAGTGCTTGATGTCATTCTGAACGGCCTTGTCGGTGAACTTCTGTCCAATGAGACGTTTCTACCAAATAGTCAGTATACGTGTGTTGGAGGTGTAGTGCAGGGGCTGCTTACGATGTCGAAGATGGTGCGTCCGGGGTTGCTTGCGTACTGGTTCTTGGCGGCGTCTCCGACGAGGCGCTCCTCGTCGGTGAAGGCGACCCAGGAGGGAGTGATACGGTTACCTGGGTCGGGCTGTTAGCTAGAGCGTATTGTGGGGATTGTGTTCGAACTCACCCTGGTCGTTGACCATGATCTCGACCTTTCCGTTCTTCATGATACCAACACAAGAGTAGGTGGTTCCCAAATCAATACCAATAACAGGACCGGAGACTGCGTTGGAGTCTTCCTTGACAGGCTCGTCCTGGGCGTGTGCCGTCTTCGCCAACATCAGACCGCCAACGAGGACGAGCAGAAGGTAGAAAGCGATGGACCATGTCGAGCGCTTGCTCGAGGTCCGTGAGCTTCGTGCCATTGTGTGTTGTGTGAGCAGTCTATGCGACTGAGAAGGCTCGGGTGCCGGGGTGGTGGAGCGATACTCTTTGGGAGCTCGCCGTGTGGTGGGGGTGGACTTCTCAGAAGATCCGGGGTATAGAAAGGAAAAGCCAAGGAAGAGACGAGTTGCGGCGACTCTTCAAGGTTGGTTGAGGAATGAGGAGGGAGAGAGTTCGTCGGCGGAAGGCAGACGTTATATGGAGAGCGAGTGCTCGACTATTCAGAAGTGGACAGTTTGCGATTTCGACGTCCCTTCCTGATGCGGCCTAGCGCCACCTCAGTCCAAAGCGCCACGGTGGTTCTTTCTCTTACCGCACAATCATGAGCCTCAAAATCACTTTGCCCGTGCAGCAGCGTACAGGACACGTGTAATTCGACCCACTACTGGAACTTTCTATTACTATTCTTGTGCTTGTGTTACCGCCTGCCTAGACATAGCACGCCGTGTTGTTGTAGGCTGCCGCATTTGCCTCCGAGGCTCGCTAAACTTTTGGCTGGGGTTGGCAAATAGCATTCTGTCCTCACCACTACAAGCCCGCCGCGGGCATGTCTCGTGTAAAGGACCCTCTCTAATCGCGTATCGCACGCAGCCCCGCGCTTTGGCGAATTCAGCCTCATCTGGCGGCGCATGGTCGAGCGTCTCACCATCTGTCCTCTCATCACGAGGCCCAAGCGCGCCCGACATTGCCATCTGTTCACTGCGCCCATGACAAAAGTCCACCCCAGTGACTCTTTCATTTGTTTTGCAACGTTGCTCGAACATCCTCACGCGGCATGGTCCACCCTGCGCCTCCAGAATGACTCTTTCACGATATCGACACGTCTCCGCTAGCTTCTACATGAGCTTGCTTGGCTTGCTGGGCTGGCGCATCTGCCTGAAACTCGTCGTGAAGACACATTCCATTTGTGAGGATGCCAGATGTCTTGCATGCTGTCCACTCAGCCTCCGTGTCTTGGTGTTCTCGCCTACCCAATATTTCCATGTTCAAAGGCCGACCACCAGAACCTCAGGGTCATTGATCTTCCTTGTGCTCGGAGGGAGCTTTCGCGAACCTTCGCAGCGTCACCGCCATGTCACCACTCACTTATGCTAAGCTTTCCAAATGCTTCTCCGACTGCAAATTCTCTCGCCGTCAGACTACGCTTACCGCTTCGAGTATATCATGAAGCCATCGAACACTGCACTAAAGGTTTGGCATCGTGAGGCATTGTGTGTGGCTAAAACTGTGATGGCCCGTCAGTTAAGCCTTTACACGAGGCGCATATTGCGAACACTGCATCGGTCCTTTTTGTTACAGAGCATCTTGGTATACTCGAAAAGGAAGATTATGGGCGGTGTCAATCACAGCACTAAATATTGGCATCTTAGTGACGCTTGGAAGTAAGACGTGAGACTTGGTCGAAACTAACGTATCTGTTTCTGTACCTGTAATGGCTAGTGGTCATCATGTCGCAGAAGGCACGACTTCCGATGCCCCAGTACATGTCATTACAGCAAGAAACCAATTACTTTTGATTCCAACGTACGAATACGGCCGTGATGGTTCGCAATCATCCATCCAAACGAGAAGTACTACATGAAGAAATTCGTGAAGACTGTGAGCTGCCCGGCGTAGATCGGCGTCACTTTCGCCGACAGACGGTGATTGCTGCTTACAGCATTGTTCAAGAGAATGCTTGGTATACTCGAAAAGGGAACTTTCCGACAGCGTTAATTGCAGCACTAAATATTGGCACCTTGATGTTGCGCTGAGGATGAGACCAGGATGAGGTTACCGTAGCAGTAACATGGTCGCAAGCTATTAAATGGAGAATCGTCTAGACAGGTACCTGCATGCGCTTGGCCGCTTGCCCAGCGAGATTTCTCGCAACTTCGAACTCAAAATGTGTCGATCACAAACGCCTCCAACTTCGAAATACTGAAAGCGGCACTCTTGGCTCTGAAGTATCGATCGCAGCACTTGAGGCTTGGGGGCCGCCTGGCGTTGGTCGGCGCCACCTGTTCCAGCAGACGGTTTTTGCCAGGTTGAAGCCGAGAGTTCACCGCACCATGGCCGCAAGGTTCAGGGCGCCGAGCACGCTGCTTACGAATCCCCTGGGAAGGAATGCACAAGCATGCAAATGTCTGGTGAGAGTGCCATGAGGCATGCTTTGCAAGCTCGTGTTCTGATTGTAAGGTAAAGCATTCCGTTGTACCATTGATGGTTTTCTGTATGCAGCCACTCAGCGATGAAGGAACTGATCTGTGATGTAACCCACTACGAATCGCTAGACACCAAGCCTCTGTCAGCATTTGCGAACGTGCATGCATGCGCAGCATCTTGTTCGGCTTACTGGCTTTTGCCCAGGCCATTGAGGCTAACTGCCGCCTCGTCGACGTTTTCTTCACGGCGCTACTGGCGCACAGCATCAAGTTGTGGTGCATTTGCATTCTTACAAATCAACATAGAGGCTTCTGCTTGGTACTGGGTGACGTGCCTTCCCGAAAGAGGAAGGCGGGGCATGGCTCCTCAGATGGACGTCACTTTCGAAAAGTGTTGGAGAATATAAAGTCGTTGGAGTCTCCAACCTTTGCTTCCGCATCAATTGCAGCTTACAACCCTCTCAAACCATTTTATTCTTCCCCAATTCACATACTGCAGCAAACATGGGTGCCGAAGCCAACACCGACAAACCGCATTCCCACCATGCGATTCCGAAAGATATTCCCGAGGACAAGGGTCTGAAGAATGAAGCTGCACCTGGTGTATGTACACTCATTGAACAGTCGCTTCTTGGATGCTGACAATGCTAGATTCCATACTTCACGCCGCTGCAAGACCCGCCAGCCGGAACTGCTCTTGGTATGACCGATGGCAGCTCCAAGATCCCCAAGCTCTTCACCCCACTTAAGCTCCGCGGAATGGAGATGCAAAACCGTATTGCACTATCGCCTCTATGCCAATACTCAGCTGAAGACGGCCATCAAACAGCATGGCACCTGACCCATCTTGGCGGTATCATCCAGCGTGGCCCAGGACTTACCATAGTAGAAGCTACTGCTGTACAAGCAAATGGCCGAATTACGCCCGAAGACTCGGGTCTCTGGAAGGACTCTCAAAAAGAGCCTCTTCGCAAGATCGTCGAGTTTGCACACTCACAGGGCCAGAAGATCGGTATTCAGCTCGGCCACGCCGGTCGCAAGGCCAGCACTGTTGCGCCGTGGTTGAGCAAGGGCGATATTGCGGGCAAGGAACTCAACGGCTGGCCCGACAATGTCCATGCTCCTTCTGCTATTGCCTTCAACGACAACCATTGCCAGCCCAAGGAGATGACTCTCGATGACATTGAGAAGCTCAAGTCCGACTTCAAGGACTCTATCAAGCGTGCTGTTGATGTTGGTTTCGACACGATTGAGATCCACAACGCCCACGGATATCTCCTACACTCCTTCCTTTCGCCCGCCTCCAACCACCGCACCGACAAGTACGGTGGCTCATTCGAGAACCGCACCCGCCTGACTCTAGAGCTTGTTGACTTAGCTCGCGCAACAATTCCCAAGGACATGCCTCTTCTTCTCCGAATCAGCGCCACAGACTGGCTCGAGGAGGCCGGCATCAACGGCTGGACCCTCGAAGAGACCGTCAAGCTCTCTGAGATCCTCGCTGAGAAGGGTGTCGACCTACTTGATGTCTCATCCGGCGGTCTCCATGAGAAGCAGCACATTCACGGCGGACCGGGCTACCAAGAGCCATTCGCCAAGGCTGTCAAGGACAAGGTCGGCGACAAGATGTTTGTTGGTACTGTCGGCTCCATCACCAATGGCAAGCAAGCAAACGGCTACCTGGAGGATGACAACCTGGATGTCGCGTTTGTTGGCCGCATGTTCCAAAAGAACCCTGGCCTTGTATGGGCATTTGCCGACGATCTTGGTGTTGAGGGACGATGGGCAAACCAGATCCGCTGGGGCTTTGGTGGACGCGGTAAGAAGTAAGTGACTTGTGGCAGGCGCCTTTCCTATATTGGTCATAGAAGTGCTAGATCACGAATCGCATCCAGTATATGTACATGAAGTGTAGTAATATTTATTGTGTACAAAAGCTAAACTGGCGCTTTGAATATGAGTCTAATAAAGTTTCTCCCAGGGCCGAAGTCACGAAAAAGAATCAGTTCGCAAATGAGGCTGCTTTCACGATGCATAAGCAAGAATAGCTCATGCACTTCTGAGCTGTCGAGTCGGTATGTTTGCGCATGCATTATGTTGATGATACTGCATTTACTCTTTCTGCAAAAATCATAAATGAATTTAATCTTGACTTTCTGCATTCACATGATGATCAAGTAACAGCACTAAACAATCGGTTGCAACTTCTAGGGCGACATGGCATCCGAACGAGTTTAGTTTGTGGCTTAATGATTGGTTAGTGAGTGTTGCAAGACGTCATGTCTACCGTCGCGCAACGACATCTACGAGGGTATCCAAGCCTGCAAACAGGGCCTAGACTGTCGAACCATTCAACCACAATTGCCTTGCCGGTCGAGACTTCTTCACCCGATCTGAGCAGAGTTCGCGTATTCCCATCTTCAGCGAATCTTCCCATACCAGGGTTCTAGACAATGGGCAACGATACCGTCGTCGACCCAGCTGCACGGGACAAGTACCTTCTCCAAGGTCCGTCCATCATCCCATAACACGCCCGCTCTCCAATCTTACAGTATCCCAGTAACCGCAGGACCAACCTACGATCCTTCAACTCATACCGACATTCCCGTCAACAGCTCCACGACAACCCCGATAGACTCCCCCCTCGCAACAACCTACCTCACCGTGCGCATAAAAAACTACCACGGCTTGCCCTTCGACTCACCACCAACATGCTCGTATTTCCAGCACCCGCTGCACACCTCGGATCGATATTCCATCGCCTTCTCCTTCGTGCCGAAGAGGGATCTGAACGGCAAGGACGTCGTTCATGGGTTTGATTATGGACATAGTATCAAGCACCAACTTCCCCCCGGGTTCAAGTATGCGATGAAGATCGCCACGAGTATGTTGGATCCCGGGCTGTATAGCGATGCGTACTGCGACGAGCCGTATCTTTATGGGCCGGCGCTGTCGGGGCTATTTTCGATTAATGTTGGGGACTTGGTCAGCGAAAAGGCTGCGGAAGAGCAATTATCTACTCTGGAGAAAGAGAACGGGGGCGTTGTTGAAGAAGGAGCGTCGTGCGCATCGGGCGCGCAGATACGGTCTGATCTCAATATGCCGGCGAAATTCAAGAAGCGCAGGAAATTCTTCCTTACGCCGCAGAATCTGGAGAAGTTTACGTTCGAAAAGGGAAGGATGTATCACGCGGATTTTTTCAATCCGCATTTGGACTTTGCGGAGTTTAGTCTGAGGTTGCCCGGGTTTTCGATTGGGGTGGCGAGGTATATTGATGAGAAGACGCATCATTTGAGGTATGTGTTGAAGGATAGGAGCACGGGGGAGGTGGCCTTTGTGGTTTTTTTCAAGTTATTGTTTGGGGAGGAGTTGGAGAGGGTTAAAAAGGAGAAGAGGGGGGAGAGTGGGCAGGAAGAAAAGAAGAAAGAGAGTCTATCGAGTGTGGATGGAAAGCAAGGACGTGAAATTGAGGATGTACGGAAGGATGGCCACATTACTGAAACTGAGGTCGAGCAACCTTCAGCAGAGCCGACGCCGCGAATCGAGGACGAAGAAGCGAGCGGATACTCGCCTACTGCTGCTGTGACTTCGTTGACCAACAACGTCTATGCTGCGCTCGTCGCGATGGGCTTGTGGGGTGATGGTTCCCCGTCTTCAGATGAGGTTGCGCAAACTCTAGATCCTTCATCACAACCATCTGACCCGTCGTTGGACTCGCGCGTCGACGCCATGGACGATGCGACAATAGAGCAGTATTTGCAAAGCCGACAGAGCAATGTGTAGATCTTCGAAGACGCGCCTCGGAAGCTTGTGATCAATAAGTTTCGCCCTGGTCCTAGATAGCAGATCGTGATGGCAGGAACCTAAATCGATGATTGACGGGCGGAGAATTTGGCAGCCGCTGACGCAGTGCGTCGGATTCCCTCTTCTGACACAAGTGCGATGTAAGCGTGCTGTCTGTCCGAAGTTGACATTGCTGCAAACTGCAACAAGGCAAATGCCACGAAGTGCCCTTTTGACATGTCTGTGGCAACCTCGGTGTTTTAGTGATCGGAACGTTGCCCCCACCACGCGTCCGAGTGCCCCACCAATCTCACTCTCGAAGCCCATGAAACCCTCCTTGAGACGCCCACTGCGTCTCTTGCTTCGCTCACGGCAACAATACACGCAGCCGGCAACGCTTATTTCCCGGTGGCAGGCAAGCGTAGACGGCGCCATCAGCCACCAGTCGTTGTGGTTCGCTGGCATCTGGTGACAGGATCAGCGCTCGGAAACTCAAGCTTCCATGCACTAGAACGCTTGGTCGCCAAACAAAGGCGCCGCAACGACGCCTAACGCACGGCATTCAACGACCCCGTAGAGCGCGTCCCTGCTGGGGAAGCATGTGTTCCAGTAAAAGCCCTGGCGTGGCGCGGCATCATGCGTTCCGGAGTGGATGAAAGTGTGGTAACGTCGTTTTGGCCCATATGTACAATTTCAGCACCGGGCGCTGGCGCTGGTCGAGGACCTCTTTTTGCTCCGCTCGTTGATCGTTGCGGTGTGCTCTGCTCTATTCTGAACCTTAGTGTAGGGCACATGAAGTATTACCACCGAACCTAGTAGCGCAACCCTCGTCATTTCGGCCCGGATATCGTCGTTGGAATGAGAAAAGAGGATATGTTAAGGACTTACCTTGACCTGGCGCTGTTGTGCCATCCGCTCCTCGCTTTCCTCTCCGTCTCGCGCCCAAAGTCAAAATACTCCACCATGGCAATTCAAAATTCCAGACTCCAGTACTTTCTGGTTAGTTTTCTTTCTATACTGGCGCTGAGATATGCGAGTACGTCGTATTTCTCTGCGTCGGCGGCGGAGTTGGTCGCAAAGGCAGAGATATGCCAAACTCTCGACCAACCAAACCCAATCGCAGCGCAATATCCAAATAACGCAACTGGTGTCTTGAACGGAACTATTGCCGTGCTACCGATATCTCTGGACCTCGCGAGGAGCTTGATCCCATCACAATACCGCATCCTCGAACACGCATATCGCGCTCTCCTCCCAGACTTCCCGGCAGACATGTACCCAGCCCTTGTGCAAGCCGTCCACGACCACGACGTGCAAGCCATGGGATTCAAGATTCCCGATTTTTCTGTACGTATCTCCTTCCTCACATCCACCTTCGCATGTTTCCAAAAACTAACATAACTCTAAGCGCGCCGGCATCGAATTCCCCTTCATCGACCTGCTCTCCGACAACTCCACCTCCTTCAAATACATCCCCACGCTCTTCATGACCGCCGGCGCCGCCATCGCCATCAAGGGTGCACAGGACTACGGCCACAAGGTGTTCGAATCCGAATTTAACCCGCCCTGCGACGCATACCGCGCCACCTCGGACGTCGCGACATCCTTCTGCGCCACCGCGTCCGACGCACATGTCGATACTACATTCACCGCTTCCCCCGCTACCCCCCAGTTTTCTCTCGACTTTTTCAAAAACATCACGAATCAGGTCATGTTCGCCGACGGCAAGAGCTGCGATAACATGATCCGCCTGTTCAACACGAGTTTGTCGACGGCGCCGTATGGGATTGAGAGTGTGCGGGGCAGTGTCAAGGCGCAGGTACCAGGGCTGTTTGAGCGGGAGCAGGTGTGGGATGGAGTCGAGGGGATTCGGTTCGCGTCGGCGTTTATTGAGAATAATTATCTGCCGTGTGAGAATTTCAGGGGGTATGGGAGTGCGTGAGGTGGGGGATGGATGATGGAGGCGAGGGACGTGGAAGGAAGAAATATACCCCCAAACTCGTGATTAGAGTTTATCTGTACATAGAACACTTGCTGAGGAAACAGTCACATGAAGTGTGGAAGTTTTCCTGACAGCTTGAATAATCCAGGATTCGTGCTTTCATTATACATATTCCTGTCCTTCCTTCTCACCGCCCGAAAATCCCCTTCAACCTGTTGACCTTGCCCATCAGGATCCCCTTGATGCCACCAGCCCCGGCCGGCACCTCATCCACGCCCACAAACCTCCTGACTAACAAATTGAAAATGTTCCCAAACCCTAGCGCCATGACCGTACTCGTCAGAATAATCACGTTGTACGGCATACTAAAGTCCGGCGTCGGGAGGGGCAGTAGCAGCGACGTTGTGCGTATATAAACACCCTTGCCATCTCCCTTGTTCGGCGACAAAACACGGATAATCGCCGGCGCGGCATCGAAGCCGCGATTCGCATCGGGCGGGTACTCAGTGTAGCGCAAGATAGCCTTTTCAAAGTCGTACGTAAGTGTGAGTGTAGAGTTGGGCGGTATGAGCATGCGGAGTTCGAGATGTGTGCCGCGCTTCCGGTCGATAGCGGGGCGGTAGTATGTTTCCTTGATGGGGCTGTCGGACGTGGTGTCGAGGCGGGCGCGGAGGGTGTGCAGGTAGGGCTTCATGAACCAGGGGAGAGACTCGAGGTAGACGAATTCAACCGTGTCGGTTGTGGAGGGGCTGCGGATGACGGATTGGGTGCTTCCGCGCTCTTGACCATGGCCGTTGATGGTTCGTGCTGCGAAGAGGGGTGGGTTGGGGAGAACGAGGCCGGTGGTCATTCGTTGTTCGGGAAGGACGAGATCGAAGCTTGCGCCCACGGGCAGTTTATAGCAGCGGAGTGTGTCAGAGGCTAATTTCGCTTCTTCGAATTTTCCGGTTGTTTTGACCTCTATTGTACGCTCGGGTGGAGCGTTGATGCAGAAGCTGTTTGCTGCATCGCCGGTTTCCTCTGCAAGCGGACAGGCTCCCCGGAGTGGCCTTCCAAAGACCTCCTCCAGTGTCCATGCCGGCTCTGTGCCCTTGTTCAGAGGATAGCAGGTATCGTGTCCGTTGTAGCCTTTTGACGTGTCGCACTCGATCTGGTCGATTGGCAGGGGTCGAGGGATGGGGTTGTCCTGTGGTCGCTTTGACCTGGCGATATCCAAGACCATATCCACGCTCTGCTCCATCTCTACTGAGCAATTGTCACCGGTCGCGTCACAGACAGGCCGCACATCGATGGCCATGGTCTGAAACGATGCGTCAAAAAGCTTGTGGCCGTCCAGCAAGCTCGACACACCAGCCTTGCCCTTGCACGGAAGCAGCTTCAGGAACGGTGTGAGATTCTCTGTACATACGACCTCGTGGGGCAGGGTGCCATGAAGCAGGTGGAGATTCGATGTGTTGCCATGGTGGCCCTCTGGGGCGAATGACATGACGGGCCGTATCGTCTTGGTGGCATCGATGAAGTTCATCGAGGCACAGAAGAGGCCAGAGAGGGCATTGGTCAGGGTGAGCCAACGGGCAAATGCTCTGTTCGCGTCAATACAAGCTCTTGGGCGTGGATCACACGCCATACTGCTCCTCGTTGTTCGCCTCCACCCACGCCCACAATTCGACGCCAGTACCTCCTTCTCTTGCGCCATTCGATGGCCGCTGGCCCCAGCTGTCCGCGTCCCATCGCCCTACACTGAATCTGAGGTGGAGCTCTTTTGCGTGAGCGTGTTGCAGGATGCTGTCCAAAGGACCTCGGGAAGTATCGGAAGTTTTGCTGCTCGAACGCCGTCTGGGTCTCATTGCTGAGGAAGTTGAACGAGGCCAGAAGGGTGCCCTGGGGGAGAGGGCGGAGCAGGAGTTGCTCCCGGTAGGCGGTGCTCGCTGCAACGCATGTTGTCAAGGCATTGAGCGACCAGAGGAGCAGTGAAGGAAGCATCTCAGCATCTCATCCCTCTTTCGTTCAAGTGACTTTACTGGGGCTGGGGACGACGCTCAACGCTGACGTTGCGGAACGCCAGGGGTCCCTGTGCATGTGATTGGCTGCTAGCTCCAGAGCTTGGCATTGCCGCGGTCGCGATTTCTTCGAGGCTGACAGCTGCAACGACAACGCACATCTCCGCAACACTGAAACCCCGAGATCAGTTGACATCATGGCTGCCGCTGAGACGCGTAGGCTGCTTGGTGAGTCCCATCTGCTCCTCCCTCCTCCCGTGCGCGCATCACTAATACCAGGCAAACAGAGCAGCTCATGGGCGAGACGTCCATGTCTGGCACCGACCAGCGCGCGCCGCAACTCGCCATCACCGACCCCAAGGTCTGCCGCTCATTTCTCGTCGGCCACTGCCCCCACGATCTCTTCACCAACACAAAGAACGAGCTTGGCCCGTGCCCCAAGGCGCACAACGATGCGCTCAAGACCGAGTACCAGGAGGCCGACGCAGACCAGAAGCGCAGATGGGCCTTTGAGTTTGACTACATGCGAGACATGCAACACCACATCGACAGCTGCAATCGCAAGATCGACTCCGCCCAGCGAAGGCTTGAGAAGACGCCCGAAGAGATCCGGCAGACCAATGCTCTGGTACTTCACCCTTCACCCATTCCTCATTTCCTATTTCAGGCCGCTAATGCACACAGCTGAAAGCAATCAACGAGCTCACCAAGTCCATAGAAGCGGGCCTGCTGGAGATCCAGATCATGGGTGAAGAAGGCATGGTCAACATGGCCGTCCAGGAGTTTACCAAGTTGCGTATGAAAAAGGCTGAGAAGGAAGAGCGGGAACGGGAGCTGCGGGCACTGTCAGACACCGGAGGACCATCGGGTCACCAGAAACTCCAGGTCTGCGACGTATGCGGTGCGTATCTCAGCAGGCTTGACAATGATCGTCGTTTAGCAGACCATTTTTACGGAAAGATGCATCTCGGCTACGCTCAAATGCGCAAATCATACGAAGCCCTACAAAAGGATCTCAAAGGACGCGCCCCACCACGGGACGCGTTCGTATCCGCCGGTGACGATATGAACGGCTCTCGTGGCGGCCAGGCCGGATGGGGCGGAGGTGGTTACGCAGGTGGCGGTTATGGCGGCCGAGGAGGGCGTCGTGGCCGCGGTCGACGTGGCGGGTGGTAGACAGACTATCGTTGGATCCGGAGTTCAAGGTGTGTTATGAAGATTCCCAAAGGCGCGACTCACCACAGTGATTCTACGGCGATACCCATCTTCCGCCGAGTAATTGTACAACAGCAGGGCAATCCTGAGACCATTCTGGGGCATGGAGCTTCTTGCCTAGTCCAAATCAAAACATGTACGCTTTCTCCGAGATGCGCCTGAGATGCTTCTAACCGTCTTCAAGGCACCGAGTGGTACGGCCAAGGACATGTGTCTTGGCTGTGACAAGCTTCCTGTCTTTGTGGTACGACATGAGCTTGAAGGTACGTCTTGTGTCAGTCCGTCGTTTTTTGGCTGTGAGACCTCCGTGAAGTGCTCGTTGATTCGCCAGTCTCACGACTAGCCCCCAATCAATAACGTCTTACCGGAGCCCGCGTCAGTATGCCATTCAATGCACGGGAGCCTTGTAAACCTATAGAGTCCTGCGACAACTCTGATTCGAGCGCTCTGTACTACCGCAGGCGTACCATTCCTCATGCGGGCATTTCGCTTGCGTATACGGCACTAATCTGGTCATCGCCGAGCTCCGGTTGACCTCTGTAGGAACGTCGCGATACATACTTCGGAACGAGAAAATATGATTCTCACCCTAGGTATTAGACGAACACATTTGGACTATTGTTTGTTTAGTCCGCACTCACATACGACATGACATTCTCTGCATCTCCCTTCCTCCATCGGCAGTCATTTCCGTAATTGCCTCATGTCGTAGTACTTGCAATACAACATATATAAATTCAAGTGCCGAGCAACATTATGGACAAGCAGCATAGACCGCCTTTACTTCACCATGCAACTAACAGGCTTGCTATTGCTCACAGCCGCCAGCAGCGTTGTGGCTGTTCCAGCCTACGATGCCGGTATACTCGAGTCTGCCCACTGTTATCAAACATCGTCACTAACACCCAGCAGAGACTGACAATGTTGTCGAGCTCGAGGCTCATCCCAATCCTAACCTAGTTAGTCTACCATCAACTCAACACCTGGCCCGCCGGCGTACAGACATCCTGTCAAGACGCCTGGCACGCAGACAGACGTATCCCAACGCAAACGTGAATGAAGATCTCATCGGCGTTGGTGGCCGCATTTACATTACCAACGTGACCATGGCTGGTCAAAAGTTCGCCATGGTGATCGATACTGGATCTTCCGACACATGGCTTGCAACCACGAACTTCCAGTGCTTGGATCCCGATTATGGTACCCCACTTTCCAATACCTACTGCGCGTTTCCTAGCTACTACAATCGTGCGGGAAGCTCGACGTGGCGCAGCATCAACGCCGATTTCAATGTCACTTATGCTGGTGGCGAGTTCTTGAACGGCAAGCTGGGTACGGAGAATCTTGGCATTGGTGGCATTAGTAGAGGTCAAAGTCCTTTCGTGACTGTGAAGCAAACTATTGGAGCGGTAGATTCGGGATATTGGAACGGCGATGGGATAAGCAGTGGATTGATGGGTCTTGCGTATCCAGCACTGGCAAAGGGTATCAACAACCGCCAGCTGAACTACACCAGCATACTGTACACCCTGTGAGTCCTTCGAGTCTTACCAAAGAAAGACTCACATGCTAATGATCCACAAAGATTCCAAAACCCCTCCATCCCCCCTGTCTTCAGTCTCGCCCTCCGCCGGCCAACAACCGCCCAGCCCCGCGCCGGCGGCCTCCTCGCCATCGGTGGGATCCCCTCGAGCATCACCAACGACGGGCGCTGGGTGCAAGTCCCCGTGCAACCCCTCGTGCAAGGCATCTACGCCTACTATAGCATCACCGTCGACGGCTACGACATCACTCCGCCAACAGCATCTGGCACGCCCACCAGCTCTCGCGCACCCACCGCAACACCAACCGGCCGCTACGCCTCCAGCAAGCAAAACATGATCATCGATTCTGGTACTAGCTTGCTCTACTTCCCCGACGAAATCGCCTCATATATTGCTTCTCTATTCGACCCGCCCGCGCGCTACATCTCCAGCACAAACACGTACGTCGTGCTGTGCACCGCGCGCGCCCCACGCGTCGGCGTGCGCATCGGCGGGCAGAGCTATTTCATCTCCGAGGCGGATCTCATGAACAAGGGTCCTGGCGCCGTAGGCGGAAGCTATGTCGGCGCGGGAACCGGCGAGTGTGCGGTGGCGATCCAGAATGCTATGGGTGGCACGCTGGTGTTGGGAGATGCGTGGTTGAAGAACGTAGTGGTTGTTTTTGATTTGGCGAATGCGACAGATATTGGGGTAGGGGGGAGTGATGCGAAGAAGAATGGGGGTGGGGCGGTTAGGATTGTGGGGAGGGAGGTTTATACGTAGTGGGAGATATGGGTTGCTCTCCAGTTGCTGTAAGGAGATTTACAGTTCAAGATAGTGCTGTGAGGATTGTAGATGCTGGGATCCATCATGTTTTCCATATCATTGGTAGTATTATCCTTATGAGTCTCTACATGATGTCTCGTTGTATTGAAAGCTGCACATCGTAGCTGCATTGCAGTCTTCTATCCTTACTAATCTCCCACCTTCTACACACCTCTACCTCGCCAAAGCCACCTCGCATACCTCTCGCTCCACACATTCTAGCCATTAATGATGATGCCCCGTGCCCGTTGACGTACACTCGTGGGTCATAAGCCATGGCATCATGCCGAAATACACCCAGTCCTTCCATTCCAGCACGCTCATTGTGCGCAAACCCTACATTCTCACCGGCTAAAACGAGTATTGGAATGGCGGCATTGTCACCCCTAATGCCATATACTCCGATTTCAGGAATTAGGGTAAAGTTAGTGTGCGAGAAGATGATCATAGTGAGAATACTTGATCCTGCTCCTGCTGGAGGAACTTGTAGAGCAGGACTAGGAAGGTGGTGAGGATGATGGAGCATAGTGGGGGGGAACTGATGTTTTGGTGTTGTTGTGATGGTTAATCATTGCTATTATAGTCCTTCAGCCTATTGTACTGCTGTCCTAAATTGCAGGGATGGATTGAATTGTATATTGAGGTAGGCGAAGGATTGAATGTCAGGAAAGGTAGAAGAAGTACGAGCAACATGTGTTGGGGTTGCGAGCGACATGAGAGAAATGATGCGCTCGGGCTCGATGTAGGTGAAAAAGCAGGTTTGATTACCTATGATATACTGTCATTGTCTTTTTCCCGGCCCAGATTATGCTATTACCAGCGAGAAATTGACCAGCTGCTGCTTGATCGTTGTTTCAAGTCACGCTATGCAAGTGTCTCATGTATGCAATTTTCGCTATGCACAGGTACTTCACATACATTTAGCTCGCCAAAGCCTTCTCCCTCGCCTCTCGTTCCACCTGTTCCAACACCTGTGTCTTGCGATCCCACCACCAAAACACAACCAACACCACTGCACTAATAGGCAGGGCAATAACAAAAAACACCCATATATTCCGACTCGTCCCGTCAAACACGCGCTTGTCTGCAATCCCGTCGAAGAAGTTCATGCCGAAGAAGGACGTGACGAAAGTAGCGGGTAGAAAGGCCATGGTCACCCAGGCTATGCCTCGCATGGTGCGGCTGTCACGTCGACTGTCTTCTGCAATCTTGATGCTGAGTTCCTGGAGTTGGTATGCTCGGGCTCGTTGGAGTTCGTCTTGTTCTTGTCGTTGTTGGGCGGCCAGGTCTGTTATTTCTGCGCGAGTCTGAGCAATCCTCTCTCTCAGTTGATCCGGACGCAATTCGGGATGCTTCGAGACCAAATTGAGCAGACTATGAGCTTCGGAGAACGACTTTGAGTCTCGAAGGAGCCCGTTTGCCCAGTTGGCGAGGTCTAAAGCAAACCCGATTTTCCGGTCGAAATTCAACGATTTTATGTCATGGCTGCACTTGTTCAGCATGCGTATAGCCTTGCTGAGGACCCTGGCCCGTCCGTCGTTGTCAGAGATAGCGATGGAATCGATCTCGCTCTCAACCTGTTTCGCCTCCTCCTGCACATATTCGAGGTATCGTTCCGCAAGCCACCCTGTGAGCAATGACACAGTCGGAAACCCCGAGTCTGATGTCTCGACATCGGCTCTTGAGGCTAAAAAAAACTCGTTCGGATTAAAGATCTCCATATCGTACACGAAGAATCCTAACAGGGCTGTTGCAAACCCCGAACGTTCACTATCTATGTAAAGGTACAGAAGTGGGCCAGTCTTCCAAGGCGTTTCGAGCACGATACGTCCGTTCTCATTCCTTTGCAGCTGAGATCCGGTGGGTGATACATTAGTAGTGCTCTGTAATGGCTCCCAATTGTCGAAACGCATCTTTTCGAATAGCTTCTTCTGTACGCCAAAAAGGCGTCTTTTGTCGTAGGGATTGCGAGCAACCGGAGCGCTCTACCGCGCTGTTTGTTATCGAGCAGCGGGTGTGCACCCTTCCTGACCGATAGGAAAGCGACTGCCTCTTTGACTCCGTTGATTTGGGTAATTTCAAGCTTACGGCCAGTGTTGAACACTGTGTATGCTCGTGCGCCGGCTAACACTTCGTCCAAATCTTGCGCTGTTTCTGTTTTCGACATTTTTACTTGAGTCCAGAGGCGATTGTGAGATAGGTCATTCAAAGGCTGGAATCTTCAAGCTGAAAGATGGCTCAACTAGCTCGTGTCGCGTATGCAAGCCACATCTAGCCTGCTGATTGGGGGCCGTTTCAGCGCTCTCGAGGGAGTCTGGCACAAATCCAAAAATCCAAACGACATTTTGAAAGCTCAATAGTGAAGTATTATGAGACAGGACGCCGTTTTCGCGATCCTTTAGCAATAAGTGACTCTCTTCGACCCGCCAGTCTCTACTCAGCCGGTGCTCTGAAATACTGCGTCTTGATGTTGATTTCGTGGAGGTGATATGACTTGTCTTCATGCCACATGCCTTGATGTCTACTTGCAAACGCAGTATCGCTGCACCACTTCCATTGCACTACGCTAATCTCACAGCTCCAGTTTCTCCAATGCTCCCGGTCTTCCGTCCATGTTCATTATCTCTCGCATCCGAAATCGAACCTAGGTCCACACGGCCATCAACACTACGAAAAGGACCGTGACAATCTCCTCGTTGTTCACATAACTCGTGTAAGGCCATCCATCATCAGGGGACCAGAAATACCGTAGACAGAAGATGTGCAACGTGCTCTCAACGACGTGGTAATAAGCGAGCCTGACAAAGCTGTCGCGCCATGAGACATTCAGTGCCACTCTCTCCGATTCGAGTGGCTTCATGCGTGTCTGTGACCACAAGGCTTGATCGACAACACCGTAGTATCCCAGGAACATGCGACTCCACATGTCAGACCCGCATACCGAGATTATGGAGTTCATGGAAAAAGATTGATAACAATGTTTTGGTTCCAGTGTAGAGTTCCGAAAAATGTGCCTAGACATTGAAGGACCAGCAGGACAGAGACGAGGACCCTGAATACGATCGTCTTGAGGCGACGCATGCTGTGGTGGTCTCGGAACTTCGTCATCATGCCCGCGATTAGAACGAGGATATATGAAGGCCAGCGACGTGTTTCGACCACGTCCTTGAGGACGAAGCAGGGTGTGGCGGCACCGGAAAGATGTCGAACAAGGCGGAGCTCATGCCACCATTCTTGGTTTCTTCATGTCCAATCGTGTGTACACTCTGTCATAAAGCCAGGGCATCTCATGTAGGAAATAAGGGTAACTGGCCCCGGGAGCCATATGAAGGCGAGGAGGATGTAAGTATCCATCAGCATGAGTTTTTCCCTCTCTCCAAGAATGTACATGAAGGATATCGTTAGAAAAAGCGCGGTTTTATTGTTCTTATACAGGTGTCGAGACGAAGGACGGAAAATCTTTTGCATGGTTCTATAGTCGCAAGCTCTCAGTTTTGGTCCACTACGCATGGTGTGAGGTGTACTGCAACTCGACCAAGTCTTGCCCGATGATTGACCTCAATGAAACAAAGGTGCCGCCAGGCAGCGGCAAAATTCGTGTCCACTCTACGCATGCGTGCAGTGGTTTCATAGTTTTCAGGAGCACACTCATAAGTTTATAAGTTAGCCTGAAGATATACGCTATTCTAAGATATCATTATCTAGTTATGCTTAAGCTTTTGAGAATACACAGGCTACCTTAATATCTTCTCGTTGAGTGGATGCTGGTGGTGCCGACCATCAATCTGCTGGAAGATTTGCCAATGTTGAGGTTGGTTGAGTGACCCTGAGGCATACGATGAGGGATAGGGAGGGTGATAGGTGAGCTCCTTCGTGTTCAGTGACGTCTGGAGTACATTTCTTGACTCATGTTGCCTAAGATGTCCTTGGATCATGCCTTACCGACTATATCAACACTAACAGCATCAGCACGAGATGCGTTGCCCATGAAGCCAGAGCTTGTGAACGCTTCCTTTGAACCTCACGTCATCAAAAGTTGTACAAGAATATTCCAATCTCTCCACTCACACTCACACCACCTAATCTAGTCTTTATCTTGTTACCGAGCCCGTGCCTGAGCTTATAGCAGCCTAGGGAGGCGACATCAGCATGCAGTCCCGCGTAAAGTTTAGAATTGGGCACATTAGCTTGCCCTCCGCTCAATCCGCTGACCAAGTTAGATGAGAACGCGCCGAGGAGGGAGCGTCGCGCTGACATAGATGTCTTCACCACAGAAGAGCCGACGCCAATCTCGGCTGTCATCCATCGAATGCTCGGGTATCCAATCGAGTACCCGCGGAAATCAGGGGAAAGATCGCGCGCGCCCATACCCTGCGATAAGATAGATCCAGAGGATATTAGGCAGAAGAGCTGGGCTGACAGCCGATCTTGAGAGACGAGACCTGAGAGGAATTGACGGACACTGTTGTTAATCATGGCTACGTCTGTGAATGAATCTCTCCTACCCATGTTGGAGATCATTTGGACTTGGTATTTGTTTCAAGTTAAGGGCTGGCTTCTAGCAAAGAATACCTCGCGTATCTCTGAGCTTACCTGTATGACACGATTCGCTAATCGATGGTCTTCCACAGAAACGTCGGCATTTATTTTTGTTGATCAAAATGAGCTGCAGGCACGGCCCATTGTCAAACGTCTGCGAATGATTGCCGAGCCTTGTAGATCATCCGCTACGCTCTTCAATTGTTGGTGCATGCCTATGGCATGATGATCGTGGCTTGTAGTGCTGGCGTGCACGTTGCGTGCAATGTTCCACGATGTCGAATCTCCCGTGGCAGCAAGGCAATATACGAGTAGCGCGACCGGTCATATCCATTGGAGCGACTAGGACTAGGACATGCAAGGCCAAGTCGGTCGACGAGATGAGCATGATCCGTTCGAGGGTCGTCTTCCGTTGTTTCAATAAGGTTCACAGCAGCGGGCATCTGGTACCCGTAAGGATGACGTCGCTTCATCGTCGAGCAGCTCAAAACGGAAATAGACCGAGATGAAACTATCCACCAAATTTGGTCTTTCTGGGCCTGGACTACGTTTCGTGCCCGCCTAAGACGTTGGCTCCCGAAGGGATCGTCAGCTCAGAGAAGTGCCTTTTCGCGTGGGCACTGCGTGTTGATCGGCATTTCCAATGCAATGGATGACGGCGCTTCCTCCGGACAAGTAGTGTGCTCAGGCCGCGTCTAAGGAACCGTTGCCGCGCCCGAAGGGTGATGCTTGTTAGTGTCATTTGGGTCGAAACACAAGCTCATAATTGCAAGGGAATTACTTGAGATGGCCACTTGCGAACGTTAGCCCGGAGCTATTCACATGCAGTGTTGTGCAGATGCAGCGTTGAAGAGCTGGAGGGCATTCAGATGACCTGATGTCTCTCCCACTCTGGAGTTGACACTGCAAACGAGGAAGCTGTGCAACTGTGGCATGCAGCAAGACACTCAACGCTCGCTACGATGAAACACGCGATGCGGCCGTGGCTTGCCATGTGTCGTGGTGTTTCCACTTCATACACAACGTGGATATGGTCAATTGGGAGCTCCGCGGTTGAAAGTGAGACTCGAAGAGTCGATGAGAATCTCGCACAATGCTTCAAGCAAGCCATGGTGCCATGGTGGGGATGTGCAATGCCCAAAATTGACGAAGCTACTCGATGCGAAGCGGGTGGTGGTACACAGCGACTAAAAGTCGGAGAAGGAGTCGACAAAGCAATTTGCATGTGTGATATGGTGCAGACTGCATCAACTTGTTGAGTCTCGTCAACGGCCTCATCCTGGACCGGCTTCTGGCAGCAAGTGTCGGAGAAAACGGGGATGATTTGCTACGTGGGCTGGCGCAGATGAGGCCGAACACAGGCAGGACATGAGTCGTCCAGGCTCTCAATGGTGGCTCCTGCTGGCGGTTGCTGGCGGCTTCGCGCCGGCAGCCGTCAAGGAACGATATCAGGTTGCCGGGTCGTCAGATGAGAGGGAAGCGATGCTGAAACAGTAGCCTGGGGAGTGAGAGAAGCAAAGGCTGGCAGCCCTGGAGTTGTGTTTTTGGAGGCGGAGAACCGTGCATGCCAGATTCTTCAGTCAACTAGCAAGGGACCAATGGATACTTGTCCGTCCTGATTCCGCCTGCGTGACCGTCTAGCCATTACCTCTTAACCCGCACTTACAGTAATCCAGCGCACTCCCGGGCAGCCATTGGATGCTGGCGACACTGCTCCAGCCTGTCTAGCCTACCTTCCCACTTCAGAGCGCGACGTTAGGGCAAGTGCGACCAGGCAGACCTGCTGCTAACTGTAGAACCGTTTTCATTCGCCCGCTGTCTCAAGATGGAGAATCCCAACCCCAAGAGAGGCAGGCTTATTAAAAGAGCCAGAGACTCAGCCGGCCCTCCAGTCAGCTATCTCAACAAGACGAACGGGAATGCCTCGAAGCTGACTCGAAGCCCCTCCGCAGCGTCTTACTTCTACAGCCAGCAGGAACAACAGCAGAGCAGCCTTGGCAGCTCCCAGCCGTCTTCGACCGCCGGCGCATCACCACAGCCACAACTCCGCCGGTCGCCATCGCTGCTTCATCCTGTGCATGAGCAGCCGGGCTTCCAGGGGAATTATCTCGGGCCAGCATCGGTTGGGCCCATCTTCAATTCGGCTGCCGTCGACGAAGCGCTGCTGAACGTGAAGACGGGCGTCAACGTAAACGTCCAGGCGGGGCCACGTCGTCCCTCACCCCCACAGCATTCCTATACCTACAACGCCGATCAGCCGTCCAAATACAAAGCACCCACACTGCGCCAGTCTGCCTCCTTCACCGCACTCGCCCGGAAGATGGATACCCCGCCTTCGGGCAGCAAGAGTCCGCGCAGCAACCGGTACAGCGATGAGGGCGACGCAGCAAAGAAGAGGCACTCGGGCGGCGGCAAGAAAAAGGGCACATTCTCCAGCTTCATGAGCAATCTCGTGAGCTCTCCGCGACGGCCGACCATTTCGACGCCCACCAATCCCATGCACGTCACCCACGTCAGCATCGACAACGAGACGGGCGAGTTCACGGTACGTGGCCCTCCCACAGGCGGTGTGTCTGCGCTCAACGCAGATGCGCTGTTCGCTGTTCGCTGTTCACTGTTCGCTGTCTTTACCCTCCCTTTGCCCCTCTATTGCGCCCTCGATTCGTTTCGCACGCTAACTGTACCAGGGTCTCCCCAAGGAATGGCAGCGCATGTTGACCAGCAACGGCATCACGGAGCAGGAACAGAAGCAGCATCCCCAGGCCGCCGTCGACGTGGTCAACTTCTACAAGGATAACGCAGAAAAGGGCGAGGATGATGCCGTGTGGGACAAGATGGGTGCCGCCTACCCGCAAGGATACGGCTCCTACCAGCACCAGCAGCAGCAGCAGCAGCCTCAGCAGCCAAACCCCAATGCCGCCTACGGCACCGCGCAACCACTCCTGAGCCCCCCGCAAAGTCCACGGTTCCCGCGCAATGGCGAGGACAGCTTCGAGAACCCCCGTGCGCCACCGCCGATTCCCCGCAGTCTCACGTCGCCTGGGCCTACTTCACCACAGATGAATGGCTCGCTCGTACCAGCTCGTCCAGCGCCCAGGCCACCGGGCGCTTCTCCAGGCTCCGTCAACATTGTCCCCAGTCGGCAAGCACCGCCCGTCCCGAGCCCAATCGTTACGCAGCAGCCTGCATACCGACACGAGAACGAATACCCGCAGATCGCATACGCACCTCCTACCGCTACCGACAGCCCCGTTGGAGCGTCTTCTGCGCCCCGTAGCAGAGCGAACACCACTGGCGGCACGCCCCCGCGATACGAATCGCCCTCAAGTGGCCCTGGTATCTCGCCTGCGCAGCAATATCAACAGCAACAGCAACAAGCCGTCCATGCCGCCCAACAGGCAATGGCTGCTAAGCAGCAGCAAGCGCCGCTTCACAGGAGTGTCAGCGCTAGAGCACCTCAACCCGCACATCTTACGCCTGCACCGCCTGCACCGTCGCAACCGTCGCCACAGCAGCAATTCGCACAACAGTCCGATCCTCAGAACATACCTCTACCCTCACAGCAAGCTCGCGTCGGACCCGCGCCCCGACCACGCCAGCGACCACGCCAGAGTCAGCAGGGTACGGATATTGTGGCCAAGCTCAATGCTATCTGCACGAATGCCGATCCTACCTTGAGATACAAGCAGTTCAACAAGATTGGACAGGGCGCCTCGGGAGGCGTGTTTACGGCATACGAAGTGGGCAGCAACAAGTGTGTGGCTATCAAGCAAATGAACCTTGAGCAGCAACCTAAGAAGGATCTGATCATCAACGAAATCCTGGTGATGAAGGACAGCAAACACAAGAACATTGTCAATTTCATGGACAGCTTCCTTGTCAAGGGAGACCTGTGGGTTGTTATGGAGTACATGGAAGGCGGCAGCTTGACAGATGTCGTTACTTTCAATATCATGTCCGAAGGTCAAATAGCTGCTGTCTGCAGAGAGGTGAGCAAATCGGACATTTTCGACGACAACTGCTAACCCAACAGACCCTACACGGCTTGCAGCATCTACACTCCAAGGGCGTTATTCACCGAGACATCAAGTCGGACAACATTCTGCTCTCCCTCGAGGGTAACATCAAACTGAGTGAGTGAACCAAGAACATGCTTCTCGATAGCGCTAACAAGTCTGATAGCCGATTTCGGCTTCTGTGCCCAAATCAACGAGAGCCATAACAAGCGGACAACCATGGTGGGAACGCCTTATTGGATGGCCCCCGAGGTCGTGACCAGGAAGGAATATGGTCGAAAAGTCGATATTTGGTCGCTTGGAATCATGGCCATTGAGATGATTGAAGGAGAGCCACCATATTTGAACGAGAGCCCTCTCCGCGCACTGTGGCTCATCGCGACAAATGGTACGCCGACGATCAAGGAAGAGCATACCCTGTCAGCAATGTTCCGCGACTTCCTGGGCTTTTCACTGAAGGTCGATCCCGACAAGCGGGCCAGTGCTCACGATCTCCTTGTGGTAAGCCAACCTGCTCTATTTTTCACGGAGGTATACTTACATTGCTTAGCATCCTTTCATCAGCACTGCTGAGCCGCTCAACACCCTAGCGCCCTTGGTTCTGTCAGCAAGAAAAGCAAGGGCTGAAGAACGTCGTAAGAAGGGTGGTGTGTGATCTTTTTTCTAGTTCCGTTTCTGGGATGTGTCTCATTCTAGAAACGTAGGACTAAGCACAGTGATTCCCGGCAGCCACGGCTCCGTGGCTGTTTCGACCACAGAGTCCTTCGCCGGGTGGTATGGAAAGACGGGTGACCTATAGAGCAACAGATGATCGCAGTTGCAATTGCCTCGCAGCCGAATCTCAGGTGGACTTCAGCCTACACAACCCCCCTCGGGGATTTGAATCTGTAGCATTCGACAAGCTACAGCAGCCTTCTCGGACTGCGCCGATATGCCGCGTCGTAGGCAGTATTAAGATTGGCGTTTTTTTTTTTTCAATGCCTTATTGTAGGCTATCTCGGTTTCTTCGAGAACTCTTAGCATAGCGCTACACGAGAACGATGTCAGAAGAGTGTTCTTTCCACTACGGCAAATGGTTGGTACATTGGGGGTCAATTTTAGGTTTCCATGCTATGATTAGCGCATGCTTGGGGAGCCAGTTCGAGGTACATTTCCTGTGCCCTATTCATTACTATCAAATTCTAGTGTCTATATCATCGAATGTCAAGGAATGACACAACGGCATACGAAAGGTCGAGGCAGAATGTATACCTTATTCTGCATATGAATTGCGCGCCCTAAGTGAATGAGCTGTCGCTGACCGTTGTAGTTGCAAGGCAGACCTGTGGCATCAATCAGCGTTCCGCCCCTCAACGATTGAAGGCAGCCTCGCGTGTGCAGTGGCGCAGTCCGCCGCCACACGAGCTTCGTCATACCCCGCTAAACCTTTTAGGCCGCATTACCCACCCGGCAGGAGCTCCCAAGCCCTACGCATACGACGGAGTTGACGCAACCTCTAATCCTATCCTCACCTACAACACAGTGCGACTTCGCCTCCACTTCTGAGATATCGACGAACGTTCAAATTCATCTCACACTCCTCAAAAATTACCGAAGTCGCTGTGAACGGCCCCCCACATCGAAGCTCGAGGATCCCGAGTAGGCAGACGCCATGTTTCGCGCGCAGTCGAACATCTTCGACGACGTCGTAGTCAAGGCGACGGATGAGAACCTCACAAGTGAGAACTGGGAATACATACTGGTACGGTCCTCCCCCTTCCAGGATGTCGTACGGCCAGGCAGATGGCGGCCGTCTTGGGAGCTTACAGCCTGTGGCGCTGGAGCGCTTCCATATCGCTGTCGTCAACGTCGCGCCATAGCTGTTCAAGTACGCCTGCTAACATAGTCACTATAGGACGTATGTGACAAAGTCGGGTCGTCCGACACAGGCGCCAAAGATGCCGTCGCCGCCATGATCAAGCGATTAGCACATCGCAATGCAAACGTGCAACTATATACCCTCGAGCTCGCAAACGCCCTCAGTCAGAATTGCGGAATCCAAATGCACAAGGAGCTTGCATCGCGCAGTTTCACCGATGCCATGTTGCGTCTTGCAAACGATCGGAACACACATCAAGCTGTGAAAGCAAAGATACTAGAGCGCATGGGGGAGTGGTCTGAGATGTTCTCGCGTGATCCAGATCTTGGCATCATGGAGGGAGCCTACATGAAGCTGAAGACACAAAGTGAGTTGTTGAAGAGAGTCCGCGTGGCGTTAAGCTGACACAAGCAGACCCCAATCTTCGGGCACCCTCGAAACCGCAGAAAACCCAGATCTCCGATTCCGACCGCCAGAAGGAGGAGGAAGAGCTCCAAATGGCATTAGCCATGTCTATCAAGGAGTCCAAGGGCGCAACGCCTTCGGCCGCGAAAGCAAATGCGCCGCAGGAAAGCAACGCAGGCTCCAGCTCTCAAGCAGCGCCGGCTCCACAGCCGGTACAGCCAGGCACTACAGCAGCAACCGTCTCGCGTGTAAGGGCCCTATTCGACTTTCAACCTTCGGAGCCTGGTGAGTTGCAATTCAAGAAGGGTGATATCATCGCTGTACTGGAATCAGTATACAAAGATTGGTGGAAGGGCTCACTTCGTGGAAACACGGGCATCTTCCCTCTCAACTACGTGGAGAAGCTACAAGATCCCACACGTGAAGAACTTGAGAAAGAAGCACAGACTGAGGCAGAGGTTTTTGCCCAGATTCGGAACGTGGAGAAGCTGCTTGCTCTTTTGAGCACGAATACGCAAGCTGGAGGCGGCGATGGTCGCGACAACGAAGAGATCACGGAGCTGTACCACTCGACGCTTGCGATCCGTCCAAAGTTAATCGAGCTGATTGGGAAATACTCCCAGAAGAAGGGTAAGTGCGGACATGAGTAACCACTTTTGCTAGGCTAACCATGGTCAGATGACTTCACTCAACTCAACGAGAAGTTTATCAAAGCTCGTCGAGATTACGAGTCGTTACTTGAGGCATCAATGTCACAGCCACCGCAACCATCATACGGAAGTCGCCCTCCCTATGGTTACAATGCGCCACCCCCATCGAATTACACAGGCTATCCTCCATCGTCACCCCCTCCTCAACAGTACGGCTACGGCGCTGGTGCTCCTCCACAAGGCAGTGCTCCTCAGTATCCCCCTGTCGGCGCAAACCCTGCCTTCTTCATGGTTCCACCAGCTGGCGAGCAGCGTCCACAGCAACAAACACCGCAACCCGGACCGCCCTCGGATCCTTATTCGCTACCTCAAGGGAGAGTGCCTATCGGTGGTCGACCTCAGAGTTATGCGCCTCAGGAATTAGCCACCGCTCACTACGACTCCCCCGTTGATAATCGCCATTCATTTGCCGGGCCGAGCCAGCCGCAAGGTGCACCTTCAGCACCACAAGGCTACGAATACCCACCATCGCAAGCACCTCCGGGATATCCCCCCCAACAAGGTGCCCCTCTGCAGGGTCCACCACCAGGTCAACAAAACCCTTACGAGCAGATTTCTTCACCACCTACACATCAGCAACCTCCGTCGGATCCATACTCACAGCCACCTCCACAGGTAGGTCATGGCTACCCGCCACAACAACCCGCTCATGCGCCACCCGCACCTCCTGGAGCATCCTCGAGCCCAGCGCCTGCACAAGGCTATCTTCCATATCGGCCACCAGGTCAAGCGCCTAGCGCACCCCCAGTCGGCGGAGGTGGGGATGAAGGCTTTTACCGATAGAATCGGCCTTGGGTGAAAAGTGTGTAAGATGGGAAGTGTTACTTGTACATAGTTGCAAATTAGGAAACAGGATAATTGACTACTTCAGTTCTGACCATCGACATCTTCTCTTCATTTTCAGTATGCTATTGTCAACTGCTTGGTTTGGAAGCTCGGCCAAAGCAACAGGCTACAGCAGTCCTGCACTTCACAACACTGCTGAGCGTAGGTAGGCCCAACATGTCTGACACAAAATATACATGGAATCTACCAGAGCGACTGTAGCAGCATCGTTATATTAACTACAAACATCAGAAGTGCAAACAAAAGAAAACCCAGAACCGAGCTCAAAAGCAATTAAGCGCGCCACAGAACCGACTCACGTCCAGCTTCTCACTGCGCCTTTGTCCCCGTCCTCCTAAACGCCGAATACTGCACCCACGCCCACTGCTGCTCCTTGCTCGGATCGCTCTCCGCCCTCGCACCCTTATCCACCGTCTTCCCCTGCAACACCTGCACATCACCCTGCCCACTCTTCCCGCCACTCCCCGAGCCCTCGACGACGCAATAACTCTCGCCCAACCCCCCCGCATCCCGAGTATTCAAAAACCTGCCGAAGAAATCCAGACACGTCTTCTCATTGAGCTTGTACCGCAGCGTGCTGATGTAGCGCTCATCGGGCCCGTCGGACTCGACGCTAACTTTGAAGATCCATTGGGAGTTTGTGCCGTCTGTGTTTCCGAGGTTGAAGGTTGCGAGGATGGGGGCGGCGGAGGAGATTATCGGGGAAGACGCGATGTAGAGGGAGCAGAATGTTTGGTAGCCGGCGGTGAATTGGGATTCGGTGGGGGATTGGCGGTTGGGGCAGAAGCCGGATGTGGTGGGGGAGGGGAGGGCGGCGGTGAGGCCTAGGAGGGCGAAGAGGATGGGTGTGGTTATGGTTGAGAACATTGTGGTGGTTGGGAGGTTTGGATTTGGTAGTATGGGCTATTGAGGGGTGGATTGGGGTTTGAATGGGGGATTATGTAGGGAGGAAGAACAAGAGGGTGGGGAGGGGAGACAAAGGGGACAAAGAGGTGGGTTGAGGGTGTAGTGTGAAAGAGCAGATAAGGCCTTTGTGAGCGCTTTGTACATTTTGGTGGCGGATTGTTGCACAAGATTAGTAGAAAGAAAGGAAACGAAGAGCTCTCAGATGGAGGATGTTGCGAGTGTTGAGTCATTATAGAGGCTCTTTATGAACAGCGATGTGCATGGTCAATACTTCAAGCCACAAATTCTATGCTGTTAAACTTCACAACTCCTTTCTATGAGGTCATAGAATAGTCTTTGGATATTGTATTGCTTTATCGGTTCGAGATCGTCATGCGCTTTCCTCCTGCACTGCGCCTACTGTGCACGGACCCAGTGCGGCTGAGTTAGGCATCTATCGCTCAACTCAGCGACATGTCTACACGATCATGCTTCTACATTGTGTCTTCTCCCATATGACTGTCAGGTAATATGGCAGTGTTCAGTTGCTGATAGTCTTATCTTTCGATGCAATAAGGTCTTTCTGCACCACAGCCTGGCCCTTACACTTTTCTTGTCGTGAATGGACAAGAGTATCTGACCAGAGTTGACCATAACATCCTCCGCAATGCCAAAGAGGAAAAGGAGTACAGTGGCTACTTTGGGATATGATTTACGATACGTCCTTAAATATGCACGTACATCCGCAGGACAAGATGATTGCAAAATCAAGTTCGTTCCTAGAAAGAAACGGCAGGCTCGAATGATTTCGATATCCGAGTCCCAGTACCAGCACGAGCCTTTGGATCTATCCAAATCTCAATTTCGGCTTCTTCGAATCTTTGGGTCAGAACACCAGCATGTTTCATGGAGCCTAGAGATCTGTTCCATGAAAGAGCGCGAATACTTGGCCTTGTCATACACCTGGGGTGATGAGAGCCCTACGTACCCGATCGTTATAGATGGAAAGGAATTCCGTGTCAGCGAGAATCTGTAGTGGTTCTTGTCATATGTTGCAAGTGGCCGGCTTCCATACCACTCGAACGCTGACACTGGAACCTCTTGCTATATTTGAATCGACCAGATATGTATAAGCCAGTCTTGATAGAAAGAGAAGAACCATGAAGTCAGTATGATGAGCGACATATATCGGACAGCCAAGGAAGTGGTTGCCTGGATGGGAAGGGAGACAGAAAAGAGTTCAGACTTCATGCAGTTTCTCGAACAGGCTGCTGATGTCTTCCATGCACAGCTTCGGGATCCACAATACGAAGCCTTGGATCCGCATTTGCAATTCAATCTACGGTTCCGTAATGTGCTTGATGTTCTATGCCGACAGCCTTATTGGGGACGGATCTGGATCATCCAGGAATTCGCCATGGCGCGCAGGGTCAAGCTAACGTGGGGAGACATGAGTTTATGCGTGGATAACTTGAGACTGTCGAAAATACTGTTTGAAGTGGCGCATGTGGATCGATCTGATCATGTTCTCTACCGGCTCTGCAAACTCAGGAGAGAAACTTCTACAGCTGGACGTCATGGACTGGACATACCGTTTATGGAGCTTTGTCTACGATTCGGAGATTTCGCTTGCACAAACCTACGCGACACCTTGTATGCTTTGCTTGGCTTCGTCAATCCAGGGCAACACATTAAAATCGACTACAATCGACGCACACAGGATATTTTCTGGGACGCAGTGAACGTGCAAAGCCTCAAGCGTCGTACCGGTCACACGTTTCCCTGGATAATACAGTCTAGACTTATATTGCTCATGAAACGCCTCAAGATTACGGGACGTGAAGCTGGAGCCTCACAAAAAAAGGGTCTTAAGAACATCTACGAAATATACGATGCAGGTACTAACACCGCACTCAGCGCAGTTGAAGCGTGTCAGAACATCCGTTCAAACTTTTTGAGCGAGACTCGCACTAGGCCGACACGGAGTTGTGTTTGCGGCTGGCTTGAACTAGAAGCATCGGTAAAGTCTGGGTAAGGGAGGATCAACTGTTACGGAGACATACAAACGAACTCATGTAAGATCAAGCGTGGCCGATGGAGAGAATATACATAGTGGAGCACTTCTGCACAGTGGAAAATACACAAGTCATGATTTGAAAACATAGGTTGACACACCAATCAAGAGAAGAGATTGTAGCGCTGGCTGCGGTTCGTTCACGGCTCGGGCCTTGCTTCGGCGGAGGCGGACAGCTACGACCAATGAGCCACTTCTCCTGAAAAGAATCGCGCCTCGAAAGACCGGTATATTGACAGCAGTGGGCTATGGTTGACTGGGAGGGGAATAGCTGGCGAGTCTTGGTGTTAGTGGACCATGCGGGACAGAAGCACGGGTGGGGCTAAACTCCATCGGCGGCCCCGCTAAGTGCACGGACAGTATGGTTCGAGGACATTCTGGATGCTGCCCTCTCGTGTCTCCAGAGCAGCCTTCATCTGCTGTCACTGTAACATCTTGCGTACTTGTGCACTTCTAGGAGTGCTTTCGAAACACAATTGCACCACTTTTCCTCATCTCCGTAGCTCCACAAATTGCTGAGCGCACTGATCGAACCGAGACCCTGATTTACTATTTCCTGGCACTTGCCCCGAGCGACGGCCCATCGCATCCCTGGTAAGTAAATCCAATGAACCCGTGAAATCTGGCATCCGCAATCCCTCCCGATCTCTTTCCCTCACCTCCTCCACTGGCTGATACGTTTACCTGCCAGATCCAATCAACTCTCCCCACAGCTATATCCTACTTGACCGTTAAAGTGGCTCCGCAACTTTAACTTCCTCCTCCCGCCGTCTACGCAACACCCTTTGGTCAACTCGAAACGGTCTACACTGAAAATGGCATCCGAAGCAGCTGTCAGCTCTACCGCCGAGGGTCTCACCCCTGCGCAGAAGCTCATGCAGGAGCACGAGCACCACGTCACTGTCGAGGACGTCCCTGACGAGGAGGACGTTGCTCACCCAGCGCCGTCCGCCAAGTCTGAGGCTCCTCTGAGCGAGAAAGCCGCCGGCAAGCAGAAGATGGAGGACGCACCTGCCCCCAAGAAGGCTGCTCTGAACACGTCGTCCGAGGAGGCCTTCCCGGCTCTCGGCCCTGCGAAGCCCCGTGGCCAAGCGCCTGTTGCACCCACCTGGGGCAAGAAGCCTGCGTCCGTCACCTCCAATGGCGTCAATGGCTCTGCTGCCAGCAACGGTACCTCTGGGGCTTCGGCCCCGGCTTCTATTCCCGTCGGCGGTGGTCCTGCTCTCCCTTCGATGAACATTCCCGGCAAGCACACGGAGCGCATCTCCTTCTCTCCCAACCAGCTCACTCCTCGCCAGCAGCTCAAGAAGCCTGTCAACGACATCATTCGCGACATCAACAGGCGGTCCAAGGCCAAGCTCGAGTACAAGTCCGGACCTGGTGGAACTGTCATCTTCGAGTCCACTGGCCCGGTCGAGGCGGTGAGGCAGACTCTCAAGGAAATTGCCAACGAGGTCGGCTCCAAGGTATGAAGTTTCACAAACGATGAAGATACATCAGCTAACAAACTCCAGCAATCTGTCGATGTCCCCGTCCCCGCCTCCGTCCGCGCGCACATCATCGGTCGTCAAGGATCCAAGATCCAGGAGATCAGCAAGCGCACCGGTGCTCGCATTCAGGTCCCCAAGGCTGAGCCTGGCGAGGATGAAGACACCGTTGTCAATGTACACATTGAGGGCAATGCGCTTACCGCTGAGATGGCTCGTCGCGAGATCGATGCCATTGTCAACGAGCGTACCTCGACTGTCAACTTGCGCCTCAAGGAGATCCCCGCCGAGTTCTACCCCTTCTTGGCCGGTCCCCACAACGTCCACATCGACAAGCTCACGCAGGGCCGCGATGTCAATGTCCAGATCCCCCAGTACCACACCTGGCGCTCGCAAGCTCCACCCCAGGCAACGCGTGGTCAGCCAGTACCATTCACTCCTCAGACCAACTTCCCCATCCAGGTTTCTGGTGACCGCGCACTCGCCCAGCAGGTTCAGGCTGAGCTCGAGCGCCGCGCTCAACAGCTCCGCCAGCAGCTTTCTCTTGAACAGCGCTCGATCGAGCGTGGCCGACACCAATTCATTGTTGGTGACCGTGGTGGCTCTCTGCACGATTTCTTGGAGGAGACTGGCTGCAGTATCGTTCTTCCCCCCAGCTCGGACGACAGCGAGACAGTCTACATCGTCGGACCACCCAACAAGATCGAGCAGGGAATCAACAAACTCGAGGACCTGGCTGCTAGCATGACCATGGCCACCGCCGATGCTGCTCGCGAGCACAAGAGCGCCCAGCATGCCTACAACCTCACACAGTACCTGCGTCAGCGTCAGGCACTAGCCGAGCTTGAGCGTTTGCACGAGGCCAGCATTGTTGCGCCCACTGACCGCGATGGCCCAACCGGATGGGAGATCTACGCTCGCAACGGAAAGAACAGCATGAAGGCTCGTGGAGACATCATGAGTGTGTTCGCCAGTCACCCTCCTAGCAGGTTCGCTACCGTCGATGTGGACCCATTCTACCATCAGTTTCTGCAACAGCGCAATGCACAGAAGCTCCGACAGGACACTGGAGTCCATGTCGTCTTCCCCAACGAGGCCGAGAACTCGCCACAGCTGATCCTTGTCTACGAGGGTGATACTCCTTACGACGAGTACTCTATTCCTCGCGGCGCACCTTCATCTGCAGAGGTCAAGGCCTACCAACAGGCTCTTCAGAAGGCTCAGCAGTTCGTCCAGGGTCTTACTAGCAACCAGCCAAAGATCGAGTCTCGCGGTCTTGAGTCAAACCCCAAGTTCCACCGCAAGATTGAGCAGTACATCAACGATGAGCAGGAGGGCCTTCCCACTCACCAGGTACCTGTTCAAGCACTCTTCGGTCAGCGCCGCCCCGAGGCTCACAGCCGTTCAAACAACAGCTTTGCCATTCGCGGACCCGCGAACGCTGTAGACGAGCTCAACGCCAAGATCCTTGCCTTCATTGAGCAAGCTGAGAAGGACGAGCTTGAGCGCAACCATGTCACCACTTTTGACTACCCACAGAAGTATGCCAGTCACCTCGTTGGCAAGGGCGGCGAGAACATCCAGCGCCTGCGCCAGAAATACGATGTTGACGTACAAATCAACGATGGCAAGGTCGAGCTGAAGGGACCCTCTGCCAAGGCGCTGCAGTGCAAGAAGGACATTCTCGACATGGCCAAGAAACTAGAGGATGAGGCCACACATACACTTAAGGTCAAGCCCCAATATCACCGCGACCTCATCGGCGCTGGTGGAAAGCAGGTCGAGCGTCTGCAGACCCGTTACGGTGTCCGCATCAACTTCCCTCGCCGGGCAAACAACAACGATGAAGACGCTGATGCGTCTTCTCAGCGCAATGCTCGTGGAGGTCAGAACCAAGATGAGGTTATCATCCGTGGCCCCAAGAAGGGCGCAGATGAGGCTCGCGATGAGGTACTTAACCTTCTCCAATATATCATGGACAATGGGCACAGCGACACTGTCTCTGTTGCCCAGAGCCAGATCCCCCAGTTAATCGGCTCCGGTGGACGCGAGATGGAGCAGCTTCGCCTTGAGACAGGTTGCCAGATTGACGTACCAGGCGCACGTGAGGGTGCTGATCCTTCTGGTCGCGCTGAGATTAAGCTTAAGGGTACCAAGAAGGCTGTTGAAGATGCCAAGAAGATTCTGCTGCAGCGCGCAAAGGTCTTCGACGACACCACTGTCGAGACGCTCGAGGTTGACAGGAAGCACCACAGGAACCTCATCGGAGGCAGCGGTTCGAACATCCGCTCCATCGTCACTGCCGCCGGAGGTCCTGACAATGCTCGCGACCTTGCGCGCATGGTACGCTTCCCTCGCGCAGAGTCTGACGAGACTGCGATTCGCGTAGAAGGCCCAAAGAGTGTCGTCGAGAAGATCATCGCGTCTCTCAAGGCTCAGGCAGCTTCGCTCGAGAACCAGACCACCGAGACTATTGAGATCTCGCCCGACAAGCACCGCCTCCTCATTGGTCGTGGCGGTGAGACTCGTCGTTCGCTGGAGTCACAACTCAACATCCAGCTCGACATCCCCAAGCAGACCACTACCGGTGCTGCTCGCAGCCAGGTGAAGATCACTGGTGAGCCCGAGCACGTCGAGAAGGCCAAGGAGCACATCCTCGAGCTTGTCAAGGGACAAGAGGGTGAGACCATCCAGGTCCCTCGCCATCTCCATCACGTCATCTCCGACAATGGCCAGTTCTTCCGTTCGCTCCGCAACCAGCACAAGGTCACTGTCGACCATGCTGGCCAGCAACCTCCATCTAAGCCTGCCTCCGCTGAGGCTGGTCGCTCGCGCAAGGGCGCGAACGGTGCTCTTCCTTTGATCACCGATGACGCCACTGGTGGAGCTGATGAGCATTCTTGGGAGATTGTCGACAACAATGCTCCCGAGGAGGGCGCTGACCTTTCTGCCACCATTCCCTGGGTCATTCGTGGTTCTCCTGAGGCGCTCCCCAAGGCTCGTCAGAAGCTCGAGGCTGCCATTGAAGCGGCGTCCAAGCCCTCGTCGACCGGCTACCTCATCCTGCCGGACCCGCGCAGCTACAGGTATGTTTTTAAGCCTTCCTCGTTTGTATAGCATTACTAACAAGTCATAGGCTTGTCGTCGGCTCTGGTGGTAGCACCATCAACGACCTTCGCAAGAAGACTGGCACCAAGATCCAGGTTCCTCGCGACCAGGCCAAGGACGAGGCCATTGAGATTGTCGGCACCAGGGACGGCTGCGAGCAGGCGCGCCAGCTCATTCTCGACATTGTGTCCAAGGGAGGTAACGGCGGCCGTAAATAGAGTTCGCAGTCGTTGCGACATTTTCCAGGTGACGAATTTAGCGCGGAGTTTCTGTGCGTAGCAGTGCCTATGGGTACATGAGAATGCGGTTTAACATTTCTTGCAATCTTTCTTTCATGCGATATGAAGCTCAACATAGGAGCGAAGTATCTTACTTCTTGTTTCGAATAATGTGTGCATGACAAAATAGATAGGAGGGAATAAAAGTTTTGCGGTATGAAATACAATATATTCTCCAAGCTTTTGGTGTGCCTGGATATCCTCGCAGGCATGTGACTCGTCAGTCATCGTCTTAAGCAACTATCTCGCAATATCTCCAGTATCGAAAGAAGAACAAACTGCATGGCAAAGCAGTATCCTGCAGTAATCCAGCAACCAAACAAGCAACAGCCTCGACGCAATCAAGCATCCTCGCACTCCTCAGGCCACTCACACTCCTCCAACCAGCCCTCAACCATCTCATCGCTGGCATGCACATCAATCCCCTCTTCTTTCATCTCGTCTCCACCCTCATCCTCGTCTTCTTCACACGCATCCCAAAACAACTCAACCTCATCGCCCATCTCCAACCCGTCTTCATCACACGGCACATCTGCGCCCAAGATGCTCCGCGCGAGATCGAGATTGTTGGCGAGGACGGCCAGGCAGTTGCGCAGGATGTTGATGTGTGTTGTGATGGCTGCGACGTCGGTGTCCACTGCAGTCATGTCGTCTCCCAGCTGGGTGATCAGCCCGAGGAGATCGGAGCGCAGGTCGTCGAGAGCCTCCTGGCTCGAGGATTGAGCGATGGTGAGGAGGCGCAGGGTTGTCCGAAAAACACCCAGAAGCCGCAAGAAGTCGGTAGTGGAAGGAGATGTAGGCGCCTGCTCCAACGCACGCAGGCGAACGTGATGGTGATACATCATCGTGGCGCATACGATGATGCTCAGGAGGAGAGGGATGTTGGCGCAGAGATGGGCGAGGAGGAAGTCGAGCCACTGGAGGAGGGAGGGGGAGAAGCTGAATGCCAGGCCAGCTGGCGAATACGTGGCGGCGAAGAGCGCACAGGAGAAGATTGCCGAGGGCTCGAGGAGTATGGTGATAGTGGCCATTGCGGTGGTTGTATGGGTGTTTGGTAGGCGCGGCCGTGACGATGCAATAGTGTGTGTGTGTTTGAATGGGAGAAGGAGATTGAGGGAATGTAGGATGGAGTGACTTTAGAGGAGAGTTGAAGGGTTTATGTATCAGATGTATGCTATTGTCTTCTCGGGACTCGTCTTCACCTCCGATTTAGCTATCGTCACTCTCTTTCACTTCAACTTCGTCTTCCCGTACGCTCCACCTGCTAGTTTGCGCATCTCTAGCGCCCTCCGGTACGGCGGTGCGGTCGGCGGCTGAATAGGATCCAGACTCACCCTGTCTTTGGGGAGATGGTACGTTGCGTCTGAATCGTATGCTGAGAGATCACCGCATGCGAGGAACGGAGCTATCCAGCGTTTCCCACCTTCCTCGACGTCATCTTCCTCGCTTTCACCTTCAGTTCCCAGGTCGAGCTCAATACAGCCATCTTCGCGAACAGTGCGTCTGGCCTCGCGCTCTACCTGTGGCTGCGTCTCGACAGGAGTGGGTATCTGAGTCCCAGCTCCCAGCGGCTGATCCAAACTCGCGGTGAATCCAGGCGGTGGACAGAACCCCTCGCACACAACAAACGCCTCGATACTACTCGCCCGACTACTCCTCGGCTTCGCGACGCGCACACGCTCAAACACAATCTTCAGCTGTGCAAACAGTAAATCCACGTCCTTGCCGCGGAAGATCTTGGCGACGAATTTCCCGCCGGGTTTGAGCACGCAAAGAGCGAGGTTGAGCGCGGCCCAGAGGAGTTGCGACTGGACGTAGATGTCGAGATCGTGCAGGCCAGTGACGTCGGGTGCGCCGTCGGAGATGACGAGATCGACGGGTGAAGACGCGGTTGTTGCGCTGGGGTCGTATGTATCTGGATCCAGGGCCTTGAGCATGAGTGGTATTGTAGAGGGGTGTGTGATGTCTGCGCGGAGTGTTGTGACGCCTTCAAGGGGACTCATGGGTTGGAGATCGATTGCAACGATTCGGACGCCTTCTCTGGGTTTTGGTGCTTCTTCTTTGATCTCCAGCTTCTCCAGTGATTTTTCGATTGGCTTGACGCCGAGAACGTAGTTGCGTGTGGCGGCTTGCTTTTCTTGCCATCCTGCTCTGCCGAATTTCTCGCCCTTTATGAGGACTCGCGAAAGTACTTGCGACCAACTTCCGGGGGCGGCGCAGAGATCGACGACGCGTGTGACTCCGTCGAACAAGTTGAACTCTTCGTCCAACTGCAAGAGTTTGTACGCTGATCTTGCGCGCCACCCTTCTTCTTTTGCTAGGCGGTAGTAGGCGTCCCGCTTATCTTTGGAAGACTTTCCCATTGTGATGATGCGTGATGTAGGACAGAAGTGAAGGTCAAAATCCTGGGGTCAGTCGTTGACAACTGCTTGCTTTCACACGTTTGAGGTGTGCACTGAGAGTGTAAAACCAGCTCAGTCGTTACAGAGGTCGAGTCCCAATGTGTATTCAATATATCCCAGCTCTTTCGCTTGTATCTTAGCCACCTGAGCGTTCAAATTTCTCTGGCAATGCACCCTTACCAATATGGAAGTAATTCACGTGGGGTGTGTGAAGGTTCGAGTACGGCAAGTTTAGCCGAGCGGGGACGATCGGACTCCCGAACGCCGACCAAAAGTCTCAGATCTCAGAAAAAGTTCAGCGAACAGCTCAACGTCGCAACCACGCGAAATCACGCACAACCCACAATGAAGCGCGCCCATAAAGCCCCAAAGGCGTCTCATAAAGCGCACAAGCGCCAGAAAGTCGAAAAGAAGCCACGACCAGAGATCAACGTTCCCAAGCGCAAGATTCGACTCGACGACCTAGGATGGAACCAAGTGTCCATGCCAGACCGGTTGGAGGACTTCGAGGGCTTCTACGGGCTTGAGGAGATTGAGGATGTGCATGTCGTGAAGGACGCGGTCACGGGAAATTTGTCGTTCGAGACCACCAAGACGGACGAACAGATCGAGCAGGATATAGAGAAGGCGTGGCAACGCGAAGAAGAGGAAGCGAAGTTCTTGGAGAAGATAACCTTCGGCGGAGAGCCGAAGAACGGAGAAGATGTAGTGGAGGAAGAGACTGCGCCAGTGGAAGACACCGTAGAGGCAACCCAGGACGAAGATGCCGCCTCGTGGGGAGGCTTCAGCGACGATGATGTAGCGCAGAACGGAGACGAGCAATCCGAGGACGTACAAATGGTCGAGGAAGACGCGCCGCCCACTCCAAATGTGGTTTTGAGTACTACAAAAGCTGATGGTGATGGGGAGGCTGAACCCAAGAAGATGAACAAACGGGAAAGAGCTGCAGAGAAGAAAAGAATAGCTGCTCTGGCAAAAAAGACAAAGAAGCCCGACGACGATGAGGCCAGTGAGGGGAAGACATTTGGACCGGGCGCCTTCGACATCCTGGCAAATCGTGCTGATGACGAAGACGATGAGGTTGATGTGTCCGCATGGGAGGAGCTGGAGCTCTCGACCAAGATTCTGGAATCCTTGGCGAAGCTCAAGTTCTCAAAGCCGACCACGATTCAGGCCTCGACCATACCGGAGATCATGGCTGGACGAGACGTCATTGGTAAAGCGTCCACCGGTTCCGGAAAGACGCTGGCGTTCGGCATTCCCATCATCGAGTCCTATCTTGCTTCTAAGAGCAAGTCGAAAGACGTGAAGGACAAGACTCCTCTAGCCTTGATCATAGCCCCCACCCGAGAGCTGGCGCATCAGATCACAGCTCATTTGACGGCACTCTGCGCAAAGGGTGCTTTTGAGGCTCCTCTAATCGCATCAGTCACTGGCGGTCTAGCCGTGCAGAAGCAGCGTCGACAGCTGGAGAAGGCCGACATCATCGTGGGAACACCAGGACGACTATGGGAGGTCATTAGTACTGGTCACGGCCTGCTGGAAAAGGTCAAGCAGATCCGCTTCCTTGTCGTTGATGAGGCTGATCGCTTGCTGAGTCAGGGAAACTACAAAGAGCTTGGAGAAATTCTCAAGATCCTGGAAAAAGATGCACCAGCTGAGGGAGAGGCCGAGGCTGAGGAAACGACTGAGGTAGAGCGACAGACATTGGTCTTTTCGGCCACATTCCAGAAGGGTCTGCAGCAAAAGCTCGCTGGTAAGGCCAAGGGCGGCAGCGACAATCTCATGAGCAAACAACAGTCCATGGAGTATCTTCTGAAAAAGATCAACTTCAGGGAAGAGAAGCCCAAGTTCATCGACGCCAACCCGTCATCACAAATGGCCAGTAAGCTGAAGGAAGGCCTGATTGAATGTGCTGGCACAGAGAAGGACTTGTACCTTTACTCGCTTCTCATGTTCTACCCCAAGAAGCGTGCGCTCATCTTCACGAACTCCATCTCCGCTGTACGACGACTCACCCCATTCCTCCAAAATCTTGCTCTACCAGCCCTTCCACTCCACTCCAGCATGGCACAAAAAGCACGTCTGCGATCTATTGAGCGCTTCAAGGAGCGCCCAGGCTCAATCCTCGTTGCCACAGACGTCGCAGCCCGTGGTTTGGATATCCCAAAGGTCGAGCTGGTAATTCATTACCACCTGCCTCGTGCAGCAGACACATACGTCCACCGATCCGGCCGTACAGCGCGTGCCGAAGCCTCTGGCTCCAGCATCCTAATCTGCGCCCCCGAAGAAGTTGGCGGCGTACGTCGCCTCATCGCCAAGGTCCACGCTCGCGCCGACGAAGCCCCTAAGTCCAAGAAAACGGCCTACTTCATTCGCACGCTCGACATCGACCGCCGCATCGTAGCGCGCCTAAAGCCACGCGCTAGTATATCCAAGAAACTCGCGGACACCGTTATTGCAAAGGAGAAGAAGCACAGCGAAGACGATACCTTGCGCCAAGCGGCTGAAGACTTGGGTGTGGACTACGACAGCGAGGAGTTTGAGAAGGAAGCTAAGGGTAAGAAGGGACGAGGGACGGGAAGGAAGAAGAAGGAAAAGGAGGCGAGTGAGATGACCAAGGGCGAGCAACAGGCATTGAGAGCGGAACTGAGGGGTCTCTTGAGTCAGAGGATTAACACTGGTGTTAGCGCGAGGTATTTGACGAGTGGCGGGATTGATGTTGATGCGCTTATGGCAGGAGAGGGGAATATGGAATTCCTGGGAAATGTGGATGGATTGGGATTTGATGAGGAGTAGAGATGGTGAAAATTCATGTATGATTGTTTAATAAGAAATCCTTTCGCAAGTATATGCACCAGAGCTGTCTCTGGAGAGTGGCTATTCCAGCCCACTTCAGATTGATGTCTCAATGACCGCTTAATCTCACTCATGCAATCAACAAGGTACACCGCGAACGAGTGGGCAAATGATATCAACCATCACCCTCACTTCTCCTTCACCGCCCCTTTCTCTAAGTTCACATGTCCTTGTCCCCTCTTTTCCAATTCCATCTTCAACAATGTCCAACACAACATATACCCCATCAAAACGACCACCAGAACCTCCTCATTGTTGACATGCGGCGTAAATGCCTCTCCCCCCTCTCCAAACCCCCACCACCATCTCAGACAGATAAGTTGCCGCGTAGCATCGAAGATGTGGTAGTATCCAAGCCTGATCACATTATCGCGCCACCCACGATTCAACTCTGGCGCCTCGGACCACTCCCTCTCTTTCCTCTTCCTCGTACTCAACCAGTTGGGCATACAGCGCTCACACCACAACCTCTTCTTCGTGTCCACCTTAACATCCACTTCCTCAGCGCAATCTGCATACATCGCACCAACGTTTCCACACCATACTCTCAGCCCAAGAACTCAATGCAACCAAAAGCCCTTGGCCCAACTCGACGCAAACGGCGGGAACATCAAGATAAGCACCTCTTTCCTCATCTCCAACCCCCCCTTCTCACTTGATCTGTAATGCGATGTCCTTGGAAACGTGCCTAGACACCGCACGCCCATCAATACCGTGAAAGACCATCCAAAACAATCTACTTTTCAGCCGCATAACGTCGTGTCGGGCCTGCGCAAGCCACACCATATAGGCAAGTATAAGCGGTATCAAAACAATACCACCGAGGCGTTTCAACGACATGTTTGAGTATATACACCGGTTCGGTGTCCCCGTGCCGCGCGTGCTAGAACTCGCGGTCGGCGCGCGCCCAGTCGAGGGATACGGAGGGGGACTGTGCTGCGATGTAATTGTAGATGTGAAGGTAAGCAGGCCGGGAGCTCAGATTAGGGCGAGGGTTATGGACAGTGACATTTTGTATTCTGACGTGTGATGAGGGAGGTAAGGTTTGGTGTGCTTCATATGGACAGGTGGATGTGTGGACGTGTGGACGTGTGGGGGACAGGGCGGGCTGGTGTGTTAGTGGTGATATGAACAGTGGTTTGTATGGAGTGTGTATGCGCGTTTTGGAGGGAGTTTTGTTGTGGGTTGGGTCCATGAGAAGATTAGGGCGGTCCTGAATTGTGACGAGATGCATCCAAAATATCGGCTCTGGCATCATGGCATGACGTCAAAGTCATAAGCATGTAATACACAATAAGCCCTCCACGTCCTATCGACTCCTATACCCCTCCAAGAACCTCAAACGCTCCGTAATCCCGCCCCACCCATCCAACGTATGCTTCCTCTCTAGCTGCGCTAGTTCAACGCCATCTCCACTTTCTGCTGCTTCATCATCCTCCAGACTCCAGATACCACGCTGCCATGGCAAAGGCTTGCCATCTTTCCATGCATCTAGAACAATCTCGGCAAGGCCTGGGCGACATCGCGTTCGCTTAAGAGCTCTAGCAACAAAGGCGTCGGAAAGACCAACTGCATTCTGGGCGGCGAAGAAGTCGTCGAGCTCGTCTGCCGCTAGGGGAGGGTCAGGGTCGTCGGAGTCGTCGGAGCTGTTGAAAGGAGTAGGAGAGAACGATGGGGCGCGTGGGAGCGGTTGCAGGGCGGGATAAGACAGTTGAGAGATCTCCTCGCCATTGAGCGAGCGGCGGAACTCTTGCAAGGATTGCGTGGTCGAGTTGTCGGAGTCTAAGTGAGGTGCAAGGGAGGAACTGCGTTGCTCGTCTTGTGTTTCCATGGCTTGTGTGAAGTCGATCGGACGTGGTAGTTTGCTGATCCGCGCGTCTTGTGAGGGAGATGATAAGATCGCCTGAGTATCGAAATTGTTGGTCCTGTGTCGAGGTGGACGTGGTGTCGGTGTGTTGGAGGGAAGTTCATCTTCTGATCGCTCTCCGAGTACTTCTGGTGGTGCAGGCGACTGCTCGATGTCGACCAGGTCCTCAGGCTCCACCCTCTCGATATCTTCTTCGACTTCACCCTGGGCCAAGACATGACGGTCATGCTGTGGCTGTTTGACGTCTTCCATGATCTGGTTGTTCAGTTGCATACCCTCTTCGTCCGAACTAGAACCATCGCTGGAGAATATCTCCACTGGCTGCTTCGATGTACCCGCTTGAACCGGTACAGTAGATGTAGTCCTGGTTATAGGAGATAGGCTTCTCTGCCTCTTAGGCGGGGGAGACTGCTCTCGTGGAATCTGCTGTCCTGGCTGTTGCTCCTCAGTGTCGTCTCCGCGTGCACGCTTGAGCACGTTTTGGTACATTGCCTTGATGTACTTGGGAGACTCGTACTGAGCCGTGGAAGAAGACATCATCTTGTTCTCAGAGGGGAGCTTGCTTGCTTCTCCTTGAAACCTTTCATTGCCCGCAGCTACAGGCGCCTCTTTGCTGATCTTGTTGCTCTCTGCGCCAGTTGATGTGGCTCCTGTGGATGCATCTTCATGTAAGTCTTCCTGTTGCTGCTGATCGGCAGTTTGACTTTGACTCTGAGCTTCGTGTTTCTTGTCGACTTTCTGCTTGACCTGCTCTCGTTTGCTTTCAGGATCGCGCATCCACTGCGGACGAACGACCTTCTCGTAATACTGCTGCCACTGCTCAGCTGTTTGGTTGTCTTGCGCCTCTGCCCATTTTTTCCAAGCTTTCTCGTAATTCGACTTGTCGTCGCCGTCTATGGCATTGATGACATCTACATTAGCGTAGAGTTCCTCCCAGTCCTCTGAGCTAAAGGTGGCTGCCAGTTGTTCGAGGGTGTAGTTCGGAGGGACCGCAGATTTGGTGTCCCTGGCTGTTCCATGCCCCGTGACCTTTTCCGTGGCTTGATTCGCTGGGTTGGGCACTGGGGTAGCTCGGGCTGGCTGCTCGGAGGGATGATCTGAGGGAGGAGAGGGTGGCGCATTGTCGGGGATGTTGAAAGCGGACGGTGGCCGATTCCGGAGCTGCTTGAGGTAGCGGTCGCGCCATGATTGCCATGGATGTCGCGAGTACTGTTGTTGTCAGCGCATAGCCTGTCGGCAACGCTTGACTCGCCCATACCTTTTCTTCCAACTGCTTGTATATCTCGTTTCCACTGGCCGATCCACCTCGAGCTACACAATCGCGGACCCACTTACAGCATATCGCGTCCTCTTCGGGAGTATATGGCGTCCTGCTGCCCTTTGCAGGCCGGTGCAGGTCTCCCGGCGCGCGCGCGTCACCCTCTGGCGGACCAGCGGGGTGGTCTTCGGGATCGCGGAGGCGTCCATCTTGGATAGATTTGGTGACGAACTCGTACGAGATGGTTCCAGGCGGGCAGTCTTTCCGGAAATGGTCGGCGATCTTGTAGTCGGCTCTCTTCTCCAGCAGCACCACCTCACCGCCGTTGGCCTTGATGTCATCTAGCAGCCTCACTCGCGAGGGCACGCGTTGCGCGACCCAGAACTTCTTGCCCTCGAACAATTGGCCGACTCCATCGAGCGCGAATTCCCCAGCGACGTCTTCGAATACAGTCGGACCAGCCATGGGTGGGGTTGTTGTTGTGGTTGGGTTGGAGTTGCGGTCGGAGTTGCAGAGTTGCAGTTGCACGTTGCCGTCGACGCGCTTGCTTAGGCCGTGTCGCGTAATCACATGCCTCCCCGCGGGGTTCCTCACTTTCACCGCACACATATACACGGGTGTGTCGCAACGTGCTCAGCGTCTGCCCAGGAAAGCGTGCACAGTTCTTTCCTACCACTATGCGACTTATTGGGAGTAGGACAGTCGACCGCCTTTCACCATGACACTCGCGCGCAACATCATCATCTTCACAGTGACAGTGTCGCTGGTGACCTTCATAGCCTTCTTCGGACGGCTACCAGCTTTTCGGTATGCCGTTTACCAATGAAATCTAAATCAGGGCTGACGAATGCAGCAACACACCCATAGGCTTCCTCAACCGCCTCTTCGTAGACCGCATACCGTCGGCGCTCCGGACGCTCGATGTCAAGCTCACCAATGGTCGCATCACCAATGGCGCCTCCCGTCTGGGCCACCACCTCATGTATGAGAAGCATCTCGCTGTCGTCGTCTTCTTCCTCGGCCTTGTGACCGCATGTGCCACGCTCTTCTTGCCAAACGTCTGGCATCTCCTCGGATGGCACCATAGGCTCCTCGTCTGCGCGCTGCTACCACAACCATATGTCTTCCTGTACTTGAGTGCGAAGAAAAACAACCAGACATACATCAACGCGTTCAACCATGCTGAACAGATGCGCCACTATCCGTATGACAGGATCTTGTACTACCCAGGCAATACATGCACCACTTGCAAGTTCCTCAAGCCCGCCAGAAGCAAGCACTGCAGCATATGCAAGACATGCGTCTCTAGAGCAGACCACCATTGCATATGGGTGAATAACTGTCTAGGCCGAGGTAACTACAAATGGTTCCTAGCTCTTTTGCTGTCGACGACCGTTCTACTTGCTTATGGGGCATATCTTGCCTACATCACACTCTCACCGCTAGCTGCCAAACGATACACCAAGTACGAGCGCTGGTATGTATACAAACCTGTCCCTGGCTCGGACCCGGCGGCCTGGTCAACATACTTCGGCATGAGGTGGCACAACTTCTTCACATACGTAGGTATCTACCTGGACGTAGGCGGACTACAAGCATCCGGCGTCGGTCTTCTTGCACTACTTACATGGCCGCTTCCCTTCGGCCTGTTAGCGTATCACGTCTACCTGATCTGGGCCGGCATGACCACCAACGAGAGCGGAAAATGGTCAGATTGGCAAGAAGACATGGCAGAGGGTGTGGTATTTCTCGGCTCTAGAAGAGAAGACACTATGCGCGAGAACAAATTCGTCTCTCTGAGAGACACCAAATCAGCGCATTCGTCATCTTCAAGCTCGCCAGTACCAACACCACCAGAAACACCCGACGAAGAAGAACCACTAACTACATGGCCGCTAGAAAGCAGGCACATCCTCATCCGAACTGCAAGTGGCCAGCCACCGCGCACATTACCCTCGCGCATACGATCCGTTGCGAAGGAAGATAGTTTCGAGCGCGTGTGGAATCTAGCCGCAGTCGAAAACGTGTATGATTTAGGCTTCTTGGATAATCTGCGCGAAGCTCTCTTCCACTAGAGGATATAACAATGTCGTTGCGCACTCTTGTGTTTGTCTACAAGATGAAGCTGACACCCCTCCCCCTGCGAGACATCCCAGACCCTTGACCCAGAAACCTGTTGGCGCTCGACACGGATGCGATGATGTCATACCCCTGCGACCTCATCACCACCTACACTGCATTATATAGAAACGCAAAGTAGCTACATCCGCGGGAATAGAAACACACTACTCCTATCCCTAGTATTACCAGATTCTAACTCCATTGCTTTCCAACCCTCATCGTTAAGAAAAGTCATCATGCCATCCAACCAACTCTCCAAATCCTCCACCTCCCAGCAACAAGTCCAACAATCCCAACAACACGCGCGCGATGTCGAAACGTCTGAACATCACGCGAGCGCCAACGCCTCCGCGGGCTTGAATCTGAATATTTTCGGCGCACTGTCCGGCGCCTTCTCTTCTAAGAGTAAAAAGACCACGCATACAAATGCAGATGGGTCGAGTTTGAGTCAGGAGGAGAAACACGATCAGGGTAAGAACACCCCTACCAGCTCCATCCCCTTACTTCGCGATCTCGCTGAAACCCTCACGTAATTCGAATGCTGACGCTAGCTAGGCATGGCCAACGCCGCAGCCCGTGGCCAAGGGAACGCATATGCGTCTGCGGGCGCGGAGGAGAGGAGCTTGAAGGCGAAGGGTACGGAGGTCGGGCAGAAGGCGGTTCAGGGAAAGAGGGTTGATCATTTGGGTATTGAAGCGTAGATGAACTCATTTTATGACATATAGCAGGCGTAGTGATTTGAGAATGAATTTAATACTCAAAAGAAAACGCTAAAATGAATATGTGCCGCGAGTGCAATAGAGAGCGGTGCCAACTCCCAGACTTTCCCGCAATCCCTTGGTAGGGGAAACATCATGATATCCATAAACGCCCATCCATCGCACACCTAGATAAAATGCATAATCATACAGGCGTCCCACAAACCCTCCCCAAGCCCTCCACTCCCCTCTTCGCAGCAACAATATGCCATGGTACAGTCCCGTGCCTCGTCCCCCTCATACCCTTGAGTTTCGCCAGCAGCCCCAACGCTCGAAACTGTGCCAGAACCTCCTTGAGCAGATTCTCCGCCGTGCTTCTCGTCTGCACCGTCGGCGTCCACATCAGACTACTAGTACTGCGTTCCGCGGGACTCGGCGGCGCGCTTCCACCTGGGCTTTCTGGAGGGAAAGGGCTTGTCGCGGCGCGCGTGGATCCAACTGCGCCGATCCAGAGGATGTTGACGGCGACGGTAATGGGGCCGGGGAGGGGGTCGGGAATGGGATGGTGAATGGAGTTCGAAGTGGCGTGGGTGATGCCACGTTTTACGAGGAGTCCGGAAATCAGGGCGGGACTGAATTGATTCGTAGAGTTCGAGTTGTGCAGGCGGTGAGCGAGGATTATACCCCAGGTTTCGTCGGTCACGTCGATGAGACGAGCTTCGGGGTCGGCTGCTGGGTCTGGAGCGGGATCGGCGGACGGTGTAGCTGCGGGGGTGAGGCCAATTGTAGGATCGGGAGAAACGCCTGTCTGAGGCGTAGAGCCTGGTGTATTTGTATTGGCTTGAGCGGAGCTATTACTCGGTGCTGGTGTGGTAGGTGTGAACTTGTATGGCGGGTCCTCGATGACCGTCAGGATGGTCAGGAAGAGATTGACCTGAGTCGGGCAAGTTATGAGAAGGACCCAAGTTTCCAACTCTTCTCTATCGAGAGGCCCAGATTTGGCAATACAGACACGCCACTGCACTCTTCGCGCTTGAAGAATTTCGATGGTGGTTTGCCAGATCTCTTTCGCAATGTCACCAAAGACACGTGTACCTAGATGGTACGAGACAACCGCTTGTGATTTGCCACAGCTGTCAGACCATGCTGCGGTGAGCCAGTTACCGTCTAAGCTGATGGCGTAAGCAATGTGCATGTAAGAGTTTTCACGTAGCAAATCTTGCGGCGGTTCCGACAACAACTTGAACTGGACATTGCGAGGTAGACTTTCCTCGAGCTGAAAGGCAGGCGCTTTGTATATGCTCAAAGGTGTCTTGTCAGTACTAGCAACGCTCGGTGGACAGCGGTCGTACACCTCACGCGCCAGACTAACATACGTGGCGGCATCGAGTATGACAGGGACATCGAAAGAGGCGAGATACTTGATAGGTATGATCTGCAGTACCAGATCGGGCTTTGGAGTTGGGTCTGACCGACCTGGGGGCCCTTGACCATAGGCCTGAAAAAGTGACCAGAACGCGGAACAGAGCTCCCACAGTGCTGCAGGGTTGCCAAAGGGGTCTACCATGTACACGACAAAGGCATCAATCTTGGTGTCTTGTTGCTCTCCTAGCTGTGCATACTGGATGGCAAGCAACTTGCCCAGTTGTATGCATGTATCTTTTAGTGCCCTGAACGCTTCTTTGGCAGAAGTTTGCGAGTTGGCCTTGACGGGCACTAAGCCTCCTTCATATTCGATGACTGTCTCGACGCGGGCGTGCGAACCTAACTTACAGGTATCGTACGCAAGCTGCAGATTGAGCATAAAGCGGTCCAGTATTGGCCTTAGGGAGGCGCTGTGCGGATAGATGCAAAATGCCACCACATTCTTTGGTGGACTCGCAGGGGCCAATCCGAGAGGCTCCCAGAAAGCTATTGATGGTGGTAGAAGATCCCAGTGCGTCTCCGCTCTCCGAACCCTGATAAAGGGGGGATTCATGGGGTACATATGATTGCTGGGAATCGCATTACTCTCGTTCGGCTTCCTTGGCGGAGGCCTCTGTTGACCTTTAGCTTGAGCGGAGAGATCCGGGAATACGTCGTGGATCGCAATGAGTGCAGATAATGTGCATTCCGCTGCTTTGGGGAAAAGCTCTTTGATGCATATTTGCCAACGTGTCTCAGAAGAAGGTTCAATACTGGATGTTGATTCGACTAGAGCATTTTCGTCAAGTAGATCCAGTGTGGCGGAAACAATCTGATCGGTGAGTATTTGGGTGACAGCTATGCTCTCTTTGCCATTGAGAGGCTTTTCTTCGGGTGGCTCCATACTCAAGTCAGGCTGGGATGTCGGTGTGTCTGGCAGCTGCATTACTGAGGATGGCAATGACGGAATGGCATATCTAGCTCCATTGGGAGGCCGCTCGGAAGGGGGAGGAAGACGGACTATCGACCAATCCCATGTATTGGGCTCGAAAAATGTAAGGGAGGATTCGTCGAGTAGCAGGCTATTGGAGTCTTGCCAATCACCTGCGAGTGATTCGGCAAAAGATGTGACAGAAAGAGGTGTTCCGTGTCCCTCCGTAGGGAGCTTGCGTTTGGCAGGTATGATCAGACGGCCCAAATAAGGCAGCGGATGTGTATCAACCGGATCTTCTGGACTTCCTTCGGACATGTCGGATGTTTCGCTCTCAGAGTCGGATGCCGAATCATCGCTGACTGCACGAGCCAAAGATAATGCTTCAGTTGATTTAGCTGTCGATGCTGAGGCAACAGCATACCGCAGCTTGTTGAGAAGCGGTAAATCCTTCAGGCTCTTCAGCCGTCCAGGATTGACAGCACTCTCATCGTCTTCAGTTTTTTCGATTCTTGCAGCAAACCGGCCGTCTTGGTATTTCGCATCGACAAGGCTCAATCGGCGACTAAAGTCCAGGGAGTGGAAAGCACTATTGGTCCGTTGAAGGGAGGCAGGAAACGAAGATTGCTTCTTGGGCGGAGATGGCTGCAATGTTTTTGCAATAGCACTTGGGCTCAGTGGTGGGGTAGCTTCCTTCTTCGCAGGAGGGTTCTGCTTTATTTGCGCAGGCGAAGTGGCTAATGCCTCAACTGGAACCACTGCTTTTGCTTCTTTCTCTGAAACCTTCTCTTCTGGCATGCCGTCGTTGATGGGCCGGTAAGGTGCTGCAAGAGCGCTCTCTAGTGCTGCCAAGGGGTCAGACATCTCTTCCTTGACGGAATGCTCCTCCTCATGTGCCATGGCAACGTCGTTGTTGAGCTGTTTGTGGGGCTTGTTGGTGGTTTCCGGCAGTGCTGGTGCGTCCGCCATATTTACGTCGTCGCCGTCCGGCCCGTCGAAGAAATCAAAATCTGCCTCTTCTACGTCTGGCCCACCGAAACCATCTCCTTCCATATCTTCGAAAAGATCATCGTCCTCGCCCGATGTCTGAAAGGGTTCGAGGGGCGCGGGAAAAGTAGGTGAGGTAGAGGCGTGCTGTTGGTTGTCGGTGGTGGTGTAGTCTTGAGGCGCAGACAAGTTGATAGCGGGAGTATTGCCACCAGGTACAAGAACCACGTTGGATGCAGTGCCAGAGACGCTTGGTGTATCGGTCGAGGAAATCCCAGTACCAGGAACTATACCATCAGGGGGCGTAGGATAGACCCCACTTACAGGTTGGAGATCACCGTATACACCAGTTCGGGCCGTGAACGGAGACGATGGGTAGAGGCCGGGGGCTTCGTCTTTGCGACGCATTGCATCTTCTTCGGCCTTTTTGGCTTTACGCTGCATGTCCAGTATTTTGTCTCGTTCCAACTGGCCTGTAAACCAGTCCTGCGCAGCATCTATGGGATCACGAAACCCTGCAGAACCTGGGACCTCAAACCATTTCAAGTCGTCCTGAAAAGGCGGGGAGATGGATGATTCGTTTGCCCCATAGCTTAAAGTACCTACCGGAACCAAACTTTGCATGAAGCAAAGCGAGCGAGGCCAAAGCACATCCCGGGCGGAAGTGGGCAGATGGGGACTCATTGCTGGAAACTGCGCCAATTGCCCAACGCGGATGGTTACCCAAGCACTATTCTTGTCAAGATTTGGCAAAGAGTAGCCGCGCCGGCTCAGCCATCGCTGCACACTCATTCTCCATTTCTCGATGTTCTGTTCCAACGAGTCCATCTTCGCTTTTTTCTTTGAGGTTCTGCGGTTGCTATCATCTGCTGACAGCTGCCGCGGATCGTCGAAGCTCGAGATACTCGCAAGCATGGCGTTTGGCGCAACACGAATGCATCTGTCCACTAACTTCTGCTGCTCATCTTCAGATAAATCACCCAGGCATTGCAGCGCCAGGGTGCGCTCGGTAGATGTGGACACAAGGAGTGTTCCAGAGCTGAACCAGTGCACGTGGACACTTGTGAGCCAGTATAGTCTGTCCAAGTCTGTGACAATTTTCCCTTCCTCTTGCTGAGGTTCGACTTTGGAGACGAACGTTCGGTAATTGAGTGCAACAGCCCCACAGTCCTTGACCAGAAAGAAGGATACGAGAGCAGTGACTGCTGACGCAAAGAGCTCATACACGACGAAGCAATCGAGGGGCTGTTGTTGTTCGCTCGCGCCGGCCTGATTGCCGCCTTGAGTGGTACGTACATTCGCTCCCTGTGCGTTGTTCGGTGATGCTGTGCGTGACGGAGTCGTAGCGGGGCTGGCGAATGCATGCGGATTCCCCGGGCGCATAGGAGGGCGGGCCATTTCAGAGGCCTTCATGAAGCCGGCTTGTTCATCTAAATATAGTCAGCACACGCTGCCAAAGCGACGCGCTATACATACGGTGTAAGACATAGCCCTCAACCACTGGCAGCTCTACGACGTCTTGGCTACCCGCATCGACAGTTGTGGGCTTGAAATACCATAGCCACGGTCGAGATGCATCCTGAGTGACAAGATGCCGGCCATGGCGGAGCTCTGCTTCAGCGGTGCGAAGAAGGTCGGAAGAGTTCCCGTCGGCATTGTGCGTGACAGGTTGCTTGGTGTCGCGCGTTATGGAGAAGGCTTGGTATGCGATAGCTTCGAAGTCTCCCTGTGTGGTGTCAGCACCATGGTCTTCGGATGGAAACAAGAACGCACAATAGCTTGCGCATTCGTGGTGCAGGTCTTGAGAAATTCCATTAGAGAGACGGCTGCCCTCTATGGAACATGCAGATGGTGTCCGCGTCGTATTTGCAGTGCCAGTAAGACCTTCATCAACTCCACTGGTGCTCGTGAATTGCAGGTGTAATTGTTACCGCAGGCTGCCTGTTGCGATGTGGGCGACTGGTTCGGTGTAGGCTATTGGTGTTGGATAGGCTGTTGGTGTTGTTTGTAAGTGAAGCATGGTGTTGCCGCTGACCGAGCTGGCGGCCGCGCGGGAAGAGTGGAGATGCTGGAGAGAGACGTCGGAACGCGTATGGGCGTAGTCGGATGGGAAGCACCGAGCGTCGCGTGATAGACCCGGTCGCAACTGTCTCCAAATTATCACACCCTAAATGGACGGTAGCACAAGAGCGCGGTGGCAGCTCATCTGTCTCTGACCATTGCCGGATGACAAGGCTGCAAGGGCAGGAGCGCCAGTGGATCCACTAGCATCACTAGAGTCACTAGAGTCACTAGCGTCCTTTTCCGCCGTCACTTTTTTGAACTCGGACCTCTTCGTCCAGAAGTTTGCGAGTTCCCGCGGCGCAGCGCTTCACACCACCGCTACGATGAAGATTTCCAATTCTGCGGTGCCCGTCTACACTATCAGCGGCAGCGAAGCCCGCCCTTTGCCCGAATGGTTGATCCGACGCAGAAAACGGTGCGCAACCGTCCTCCAGTCTCACGCAGCACGTGAGCTAACATTTCCCTAGGAGTCTGAAGAACGACCCCGAGTTTGCAAGTCGCGTAGAGTTGCTGCAGGACTTTGACTTTGAAGAAGCCAGTCAGTGCGTGCGAGTCAGCGAAGATGGCGACTGGGTCATGTCTACGGGCACATACAAGGTAACACTTGCGCCGGAACATTTCAAGATTTCTGCTGATGCCGAATAGCCTCAAATACATGTCCACTACCTTCCACACCTGTCACTGTCCTTTGCGCGCCACACCAACAGTTTAAATCAGACGTTCCGACTTCTTTCGAGCGACTACACCAAAAGCGTCCATCTCCAATCCGACAGAGTAATCGAGTTTCACACTGGAGGCGGCCTCCACTACTCGACCCGCATACCGCGATATGGCAGGGACCTGATCTATGACAGGCGGTCAGCAGAATGCTTGGTACCTTCAGTAGGAGTAAATGCCGAGGGCCTGGGAGAGGCGTACAGGTTGAATCTGGAGGTCGGGCGCTTCATGAGGAGCTACGAAATAGATGTAGGAGGGGACGACACTGCCATGGTTGGCGGCGGAACTCTGCAGGGCGGCATCAACGCGGGCGCTGTCAACACTGGCGCAATCGCAGAAGACAGCCACAACCTGCTCGCATTCGGAACATCCTTGGGCACCGTCGAATTTTGGGACTCGCGTTCACGAAACAGGGTTGGTATACTCTCTGCACCCCAAGACTCGTTCGAAGGAAGGGCAGAGATCAGCGCCATGACATACCACCGATCAGGTCTGGAATTGGCCGTTGGGAACTCGAACGGCCTGGTCCACCTCTACGACCTACGATCACCGCAACCCCTTCTCAAGAAAGACCAAGGATACGGCTTTGCGATCAAGAACATCATCTACCTTGACTCGAGCACATCGACGCGCGCCCAGACCGCTGAACCCAAGATCCTCACAGCAGACAAGCGCATCATCAAGATATGGAACCCTCAAGACGGCACTGCGTGGACTTCGGTGGAGCCTGCTGTAGACATGAATCACGTCGAGTGGGTCAAGGACAGCGGCATGCTGCTGACTGCCAACGAAGGAAAGCAGCAGCATTCATTCTTCATCCCACAGCTAGGGCCTGCGCCGAAATGGTGTGCTTTCTTGGACAATATTGTGGAAGAAATGGCAGAAGACCCCACCGACCCCAACGCATTCGGCAAGGGTTCAGCTGGCGAAGTCTACGACAACTTCAAATTCTTGACGATGCAACAATTACAGCAACTCAACCTCGATCATCTCGTCGGTACTACAAACTTACTACGGCCGTACATGCATGGCTACTTTGTGGCACAGAAGCTGTATGAGGAGGCACGCATGATTTCGAACCCCGATCTCTGGCAAGAACAGCGGGCGAAGAGCATTGCCGAGAAAATCAACAAAGAGCGCGAAAGCAGAATTCGTGGCAATAAGAAGGTCGCTGTCAAGGTCAACAGGAAGCTTGCGGAGAAGATACTTGAACGACAGGACAAGGAAGAACGCCGGAGAGCTAAGAGAGTTCTCAAGAAGGGTGGTGACGACGACATGGTGGACATTGATAAGGCACCCGCTGTTGGCGAAGTCGACCCAGAAGCACCGAGCAAGGCTGTTGGTGCTGGAACAATTCTCAGTGACCCTCGATTCGCGAAGCTGTTTGAGGACGAGGACTTTGAGGTCGATGAGCAGTCACACGAGTTTCAAGCGCTCAATCCCAGCACAAAGATACCAAAAGGTCTTACAGCGGCCGAACAAGAAGAGTTGGAGCCTCGCAAGGGCTCGTCGGATGAAGATTCTTCCGATTCCGAGACCGAACAGATTCGGCCGGCCAAGAAGCAGCAAGAGAAAGATAATGGCCGCATCTCCACATCAAGCTATAAGAAGGCCGGACACAGGTCACAACGCGGTCCTGAGATGGTGGTGTCCAACTCAAATACCAGGAAAGCAGGGCCGGCACGCGACAAGTCATTTGGTTCTCGCGTGTCGAAGCTCAAGGACAGAGCACCAACAACCAAGAGCACAACCACTGTGGTGGGCGAGCGGGAAATCACATTTGCGCCGGAGAAGAAGCAGAAAAAGCGGCCAGATGATGCCAATGGTCAGCGACACGATCGGAGAAAGGACAAGGACAGGCGAAGCGCAAGTAACAATGCTTTCCGTGGGATGTAAAATGTATGCAATAGCATGGCTAGGCTGCAAGATAGAGATGAATGATACCCTGACCACGTTCACCCGATGTTGTATGGCTGAACCATCCGTTTCAAGTTGAGATAAGCATGGCGGATCCGATTGCCCCACGATTTTGTGGTGAACGCCCCACGGAAGCGAGCAGAAGTTCGGCCCAGGGTCTTCTTGCCCATTATGGAGAGCGAATCGTGTGGGTGTTGCTGACTGGCCAATGGCGCGGCAGCGATTTGTTGACTACCGCGGCGGTCTGTCCGTCCCGAAGCCGTTGCTGAGAAAGACGATCGAATAACGTATCCTCCACCGCCTTCTGCCTCCCACCTCGCACCACAGCACCCTCGGCTCCTGATCACGCTTCTGCTGGCTCAGTCCCTTCCACTCACGCACTTTCCACGCCGCAACAGCCATACACCCCTTCTTCCACCCCAAACCGACAAATTTCTTTACACATTTCCACAATGGCCGACAAGGAATACACCTACTCGGACGTCTCGGAGCACAACACCAAGAAGGACCTGTTTATTGTGGTACACGACAAGGTCTACAACGCCTCGAGCTTCGTCGACGAGCACCCGTACGTTAGACCCCCATCGGCGCAGCGCCATCCTCCTCACTGGTTCGCACACGATGTTTCGAAACATCCCCGCGAATTCTCCAGCAGTATCATCTGTCCCAGAGAGTTGCTATAGTCGCTAACGTTGAATCACAGAGGTGGTGAGGAGGTTCTCCTCGACGTCGGAGGCCAGGACTCAACAGAGGCATTCGAGGATGTCGGTCATTCAGACGAGGCCCGCGAGATCCTCGACGGCATGCTCGTCGGCACACTGAAGCGCCAGGTACGTCTTCCTCACACCCACTCCAGGGTATTCGTATTTCCGCCGGACCCTTCCGTCCCCCTCGGCCGAATTCCAAGGCCGTATTTCGGACCACCGAGCCACACCGTATTCCGTATTACACCTCCAGCAAATGCATTACTAACAGCGCAAACAGGAGGGCGACCCCAAGCCCAAGAGCTACTCCGCCCCCGCCGCATCCGCCCAGACATCCGACGGCGCATCCACCGGCGTCGGCCTGTACGCTATCATCCTGCTTGGCGGCGCGCTGGCTTTCGGTGCCTACAAGTATCTGCAAGGTCAGTCTCAGCAGGAAGTCGCCATTTGAGAAAGCCGCGGGCTTAAGTAGCGAAAGGTTGAGCGAGGCGCGATCGAGGCGATTCGACGAGGCTGGACACCGGGCTCAACACACGGTGCACAGTGGGGAGCGGGAGGCTGTGGATGATTGGGATGTATCAAGGGAGTGATATTTCAGGCGCTGGGAGAGATGGGAGCGCAATTTTCTATGCTGACATGGCACGGGTTGATTTTTGAAAATTGCAAATTCAATTCTTTTACATGACTTTTTCTGCCTCAGACCACACTCGAAATGGGTGACCAGGTTCTACTTAATACGACCAATAAAGAGTATAATGCCATGACCATCACCAGGACGCTGTATTTCATGTCATGTTACATGTCATAAACTTGATTACTAGTATTCATCGAATTCTGTTTCCTGCTCCCAACACCTCCACATCCTCCTCGGAGTAATATCTACCAGCTCCCCAACACCTTAACCCTCATCCACTCACTCGTCCCGACCCCAAGATTCAACCCATTCCGCGCCCACCACCTGCGGACGCTCTCTCCCCTCTCCCCCTCAACCCCATCCTCCAACGCCTCCTCGATGTCACACGTCTTGTATTCGACCTTGAGGCCGCTGCGCTTCCACCACTCCAACACACCCGCATGCCCCATTTTCGTAGGGCCCACGAGGACCTGATTGTCGAATAGCATTTTCTCGCCTCGCAGCTTGCGCCAGTAGTCGAGGATAGGCGTGTGCCCGTGTGTGGAAGCGATTTTAGCAATCGTGTCTTCGTGCGAAAAGGGGATGGAGGAATCGACCCAGAAGTGAATGCTGGGCAGGGAGCCGGATTGGGTGGCGTAGGTGATTGATTTGCCGACTTTGAGTTTGAGGAGGTCTCTCTGGGATTTGTTTTCTGAGCCTGGGGAAGGAGGCGGGTCGGGCGTGGAGCGATAGCGCGAGTGTTCTTTCCACCACTTCAGCACCTCGATGTGGCCCTGGGAACTGGCTTGTTCGAGCGCGGCTTCGGTGTATTTCAAGGGTAAGCCCGAGGAGTACCACCAGTCGAGGGCGCGGACAGAGTTGGTACGGCTGGCGTTGTCCATGGCTTCGGCCGAGTATTCTTTGGTGAGGAAGGTGGGCGAGGTACGCCAGTACTCGAGGATCTCGGTTTTGCCGAAGACGGAGGCTTTGTGCGGGAGGAAGGTGTGGCCAAAGGTGCCCCAGAAGAGGTCTTTGTGGTAGTGTTCCAGATGGGTGAGGACAGGGACCATCGCAAAGCGCATGATGAGCTCGATGCAGAGACGCGATATGCGGGTATATCTTTCCGAGTCGAGCAGACTGTTGATCTCGGCATAGGGAGTCGTGAGAAGCGCCCACTCCAGTTTCTGCATCTGTGTTTTAGGCCCCTCCTCGCTGGCTGCTTGGCGCCACTCTGGGGGTGTGGGTAAGTTTGTGTGGACATTAAGGGTGGTAGCTAGTTCCCAATCCAGCGTAAACTCTAGGATGATAGACCAGAGCTCCGGAGGAAGCCGGGGTCCTTTGCTCTTTGTTGGTGTGAGTGTGGGCATGTGTGCTGTTGGCAGTGCGATTGTGCGGTCACCGACAGCCATGAGATCGATTTGTGTTTGTATTGATTCATTGAAGTCTTTATGACCTGCCCATGGCTGATACTTGCGACCGGCCTGGTCAAATGACCACAGAAAAGGAGGAAGAACGCGAATCCAGTTCCACTTGCGTCGGATCTTGCTGATCTGCTTCTTCGACATGGGGTTCTCCCACATGAGGGTTGACATGGCCGGTATGAGCATGATCTTCTTGGAAACATCCCAGCTGCGCAGTATGTGGAGATGTAGGTTGCTTGTCAGGCCATGAAGCATCTGAGCCAGATTCTCTGCATTCAGTGGCGCGAGGACCAGCAAGTCTGCCCACGAGCAGTACTCAGCCACCTTCTCTTCCAGAAAATCCTCATGCTGCCATGCAGGCACAGCATTGCTTTGTACATTATACGTGTGCCAGGCGGGTTCTAGGTACGAGGGGACGTTGTAGTGCGCCGACGTGGGGAAATCATTGCAAGCGACGACGCGGAGAGAGACATGGTGGAGACGGTTCAGGCGTGCGACGACTGCGCAGCCAAACTTGAAAGCGGAAGGATCGGTCAGTGCGACGAGGACGTTGAGCGAGCGTGCGGAGATGTGCGAGGGCATTAGGACGTCGGCGTTGAGGTTTGAGAAGGTTGTGTTGGTTGGCAAGGCGGTCGGGCGTGTGTGATCTGCTGAGCCGCTATTGGCCGAGCATTCACAGTCGTTTACGAAAGCTCTTATCGATATTGGCCAGACACCAGACACCAGACAGTACGGCAGCTGCAAGATTCTGAAGGCTGCGCGGAGTTGCACGGAGCTGCGAACGTGAAGTGAGTCTTGTTATGCAAGTCCTCATCATAGGTACTGTCAGGATACGTTGGCGTGCCAGAGTCTCACAAGGGGAAGTTGCTGTTGAGCTGAGACATGCGGTGCCCCTGCCGGATGCATACCAACAAGTGCAACACTGGCGAAGGTGATGTCAGTCGACTCGACATGATGCCTACACGGCAGCATCCATGCAGGTTCAATGCGACATGTCGTCTAGGTGCTACGGGATGGGTGCGGCAACAGTTGGAGGACCGCGTTGTTAGTGCTGGCGGAGTGTGGAGCGGTGTTCAAGCCACATAGATGGCACCAGATGGACGTAGTATCTAGTCAGTGTGGAGATGATGCTGGTCAGGAGGTTTGCCGGCAGAAAAGGGTGCACCTGGGCAGTCTCGCAGATTCGCAGATTCGCAGATTCGCAGATGAGAAAACGTGACTGCGCTACATCTGGCGAGCACGCTAATGGGCGAACAAGCCGCATTAGAGCATGTCGCAGACGAGGATCGAGTTCGCCGCATCGATATCGATATGCGAACAGGCCCCGCGGAGCAGGCGGAGCGCAGAGCGCGGAGCGTGGCCCTGTGCGACGACTGCAACGATGCGTCTCGTAGACCAACGTCCTGACTGCAGCGTGGTTGGATCGTGAACTTGGCCGGGATCGCCGCATGTCTCCAGCCTGCGCAGCCTGCGCAGCCTGCGGGCAGCGGCCCCGGCAGCTTGGCTGTTCTAGATGCAGGCGGCTCGTGACAGCGTCCAGGTATGGCATGAGAAGGCTGTCAGGATGCAAGAGCAACTAGAATTGCACCGAGTGTGCCCTGCATGAGTTGGACAATTCAGCGCATCGCAGTCTGCACGGCTGGCGTCTGCGCATTGTGGACGAGGCGTTTTGCAAGTCCTTCGCCGCACTTGTGCAATGACGTAGCAGTCGCGACACACGGAGAATTGCAAATCGCATGTCTGATTCAGCATCATTCGCATCTGCAGCCATCGCAGAGATGAAAGCCCCAGACACACCGGCCTCGGCCATGCAAAGCATCCAACACTCTTACTCTGTCACCGCGGCACCAAGAGCGCAGCACCCGCTAGGAAGTCTTCCATGTTCCAATCGCCGATCTGGCTCTAGTGTAGCTGTTGCTGTCGCTTTGAGATCGACGTCTGCGTGCCCATCAATTTTAGCTGATGGGGGTCATCCATTTGGCGTCTGACCACTCACTACCTAACTACCTACTAACTGCTGTATGCCAGCCGCGTCCTGCGTGCCAGAATTGTCCCCGTAGCCCTGCCATTGCGATTCAGTGACTCGAAGCCCCCTCGAGTGCTTGGGTCCTCTCCCGCCGCGGCTCGTCGTCGAAACATGCTTTGACCTTGATTGTTCGTTTTCGCTCTTCCCTCATCCCCGCCACCACGCCCGCTCTGCTCTGCACTCTGTCGCGGCTGCACTCTTCGACGCGGCTGCCAGGCCAGCAATATCCCCGCTCCCAGCGGCATTGCCCAAGACGTGTCTCAACCCCGTCCAACCCCGTCCAACGCCACCATCGCCACTCGGCTGCTTTTCCCTGTGCCTGCGTCGTGCCAAGTTCTGCGACCACCCTTCACAACCTGGACCCTACCACAACCCGCTCCTGCTGTCCCACCTCGAATTCACGTACGCGGCTGTGCCCCGAGCCACATGGATTGACTTCAAGGTGGCTGCTGTGCGCTCAGTGACCCCAAAGCTTCTATAGCTGGCTGTCAACAGCGCCCCCATCGACTAGACCCCCGCGCAGACTGTCAACCACACCTTCATGGCCGAACCACCGCCTAGCACCGACGGTGAGCCTTCCGACCAGCAGCATGGCCGCATCGAAAAACATGTCGTGTCTCCCATACAGGAGGAGCCTGGCACTCCTTCAGGTACTGCTAACAAAGGCGCCGACATCCTTTCGCCGTCGTTGACCTCAGGGCCAATGTCCCCTACCACCGATCGAGTCTTCCCAATCCGTTCCGTCGTGTCAGTCGACCCCATGCCCACGCCAAAATCATCGAATCAATCCCCCGGCGACTATTTCCACCCGTGGAGTCGCATCAACGATAGCCGTTTCCCAGACGCACGCCGCCAGTCCCAGGGCTCGACGACTTCGCAGTCCTCTCAGGCTTCCCAGCGCAATCGTCTTCACAAGCAGTCCAATGCAGCCACTCCCGTGGCAGAACAACCCCCAGCTACACGCACCCCAGTGCGGTCCTCCACAGGCTCTGACACGTCCAAGAGCACTAAGAAAGCTCCTCCACATTTGTCCGCCCAACTCTTCAACGACACAGCATCCAATAGGTCGACCGAGGAAAACAGCCGCTCGCCGTCGCTTATGCCTGACATGCCGCGGTCTCCAGGTGGAGCATCCATAGCGAGCAGTCTGGGCGACGTTGGTCTAATCACACATCGCTTCAAGCATGTAACCACCGAAGGCGGCCACATGATCATCACCGGACGAGATGGCGACATATTACAGCGATGCGAAGACGAGCCGATACACATCCCAGGCGCAATACAGGGCTTCGGACTCATTATTGCATTAGCAGAAGATTTGAGTGACAATGGCAATCTGATTGTCAGAGTTGTGAGCGAAAACTCGAAGCGTGTCATTGGTCGCACGCCCAAGGAGCTGTTTGCCCTGGAAAGCTTCACCGATATCCTCTCCGAAGAGCAAGCCGACAATCTTCTGGACCACATTGACTTCATTAAAGATGAGGATTCTGATGTCATGACAAACGGGCCAGAAGTCTTTACAATAGGCATCAAAGTTCCGGGCATTTCGAGGACTCGAAAACTTTGGTGCGCTATCCACGTTCCTGCAGCAAATCCTGGCCTCATCATTTGCGAATTTGAACTCGAGGACGATCCGCAATTTCCATTGGTGCCCTCCAACGAGATGACACCAGAGCTCCCCGAAGACACGCTAAGCAGCAATCCGACTGAGCAAGAACTATTGGAAAGCACAGAAATCAAAAGCAAACCGCTGAGAGTGTTGCGCAGTGCGCGCAAACGTAAGGGCGAGGCTGCAGCCATGGAGGTCTTTAACATCATGTCACAGGTCCAGGAACAACTTGCCGCAGCGCCCAGTCTGGATAGATTCCTCAAGGTTTTAGTTGGTGTTGTCAAAGAGCTGACGGGTTTTCATCGAGTCATGATTTACCAATTCGATCAAGCATTCAATGGCAGAGTAGTCACCGAGCTCGTGGATCCTCGAGCTACCAAGGACCTGTTCAAGGGACTGAACTTCCCTGCGTCAGACATTCCGAAACAGGCTCGAGATTTATACAAGCTCAACAAAGTGCGCATGCTTTACGATCGTGACCAGGAAACAGCCCGCCTCGTTTGCCGCACTATCGAAGATCTCGAGACTCCTCTCGATTTGACTCATTCTTATCTTCGCGCCATGTCGCCCATACATATCAAGTACCTTGCGAATATGGCTGTCAGATCCTCCATGTCAATATCAATCAACGCCTTCAACGAGCTTTGGGGTCTAATTGCTTGTCATACGTATGGGCCCCGCGGCATGCGAGTGTCATTTCCAATTAGAAAGATGTGTCGCATGGTGGGTGACGCGGCATCGAGGAATATCGAGCGGCTCTCATATGCCTCTCGCCTACAAGCCAGGAAGCTCATCAACACAGTTCCCACCCAACACAATCCGTCTGGATACATTATTGCGTCTTCTGACGATCTTTTGAAACTGTTCGATGCAGATTTCGGCCTCTTGTCCATTAGAGACGAAACGAAAATATTGGGGCAGCTGGAAAACTCACAAGAAGCACTGGCTATGCTGGAGTACCTGAGGATGAGGAAGATTCAATCTGTCATGACATCAATGGACATATCACAGGACTTCCCAGATTTACGTTACCCTCCCGGCTTCCACGTCGTCGCAGGAACGCTCATCGTGCCATTGTCTGCCAGCGGTACTGATTTTATCGTGTTCTTCCGGAAGGGCCAACTGAAGGAGGTCAAGTGGGCTGGCAATCCCTACGAAAAGTTCGTCAAGGAAGGAACAGAAGGCTACTTGGAACCGCGGAAAAGCTTCAAGACCTGGTCAGAGACAGTGGTCGGGAAGTGTCGAGAGTGGACAGAAGAGGAGGTCGAGACCGCCTCAGTCCTGTGCCTGGTGTATGGGAAATTCATCGAGGTCTGGAGGCAAAAGGAAGCGGCGTTGCAGAGCAGTCAGCTGACCCGCCTTTTGCTCGCAAACTCCGCGCACGAAGTACGCACGCCTTTGAATGCTATCATCAACTATCTCGAGATCGCACTCGAAGGTTCACTTGATACCGAAACCCGGGAAAACCTCGCCAGGTCTCACTCGGCATCTAAATCGCTGATATATGTCATCAATGACCTGCTCGATCTGACCAAGACCGAAGAAGGTGGCTCCCTTATCAAGGGTGAAAGTTTTGATCTGAGTTCGACCATTGCAGAGGCTACGGATATGTTCCGCAATGATGCCAAAAGGAAAGGTATTGGCTACGAGGTTGTCGAACATCCAGGCTTGCCCAAAGTGTGTATTGGTGATCAGCGTCGTGTGCGACAGGCCATATCGAACATCACTGCAAATGCTATTCAGCACACTACGCAGGGCAGCGTCAAGGTTGAGGTATATGTGGCTGCCAGGCCAAGTAAAGAGCACGTCGATGTGGAAGTTGCTGTTTCTGATACGGGCGTGGGAATGAACACGAAGAAGCTTGATCAGTTGTTTTACGACTTGGAACAAGTCCAATCGGAGCCAGCTTCTATGCTGGAAGAAGCCCTGGTTCCAGACCCAAAGAAGATCACAGAAAAGGACGATAAGACCGCCCTGGGCCTCGGTCTCGCTCTAGTTGCGCGTATCATCAAGAACATGGATGGGCAGCTGAGAATTCGATCCGAGGAGGGCAGAGGCACCCGCTTCGTCATACAGTTCCCCTTTGACCTGCCTGATACCGAAAATGGTGACGAGGAAAACACTGAAAGCCCCGACGAATCCATTACGCCGGATGCTAATACTCCGCGCCTGGGTCCTTCGGAAGGCGAACGTACCTTGATCGCCCCAGCTCTATCACGCCACACTTCGGATGATCAGACATTGGGAAATACAGTGGCACGGCGAGCGAGTGCGGACAGCTTGAACGGCAGATCAAGTCTTCGGAGTTTCAAGAGTGGCTCTAGTCAACGCAGTCAAAGAAGCGATGTCGATAGACTAATTGAAGCCATTCAAGAGCCGCACATGGTATCAGGACGAACTCCAGGTGACCGCAGCCCAAATTCACACTCACTTAGGCCGCCTCTCACGAAACGCAACAGTCTGGACCCTGGCGAATCTCCTCGGTTTCGATCCAAGAGTCTCGAGCACCTGGAGGGACGAGTTGTGCCCCCACAGCACAGGAGTATGGACACTAGAATCGCTGGCGAGGAACGAATTTCCTTCACTGGCCAACCATTGAGAGCTGTCAGAATGCCAGATGATGGCGGTTCTCCTTTGGAAAAGACAAAACCAGGATCTATACTGGGAGAGGTGCAAAGTGAGCCCAAAGAGATGGAACCGGCCCCCAAAAAGCTCACAGCAGAGCATATGCGCGTACTCGTTGCCGAAGATGACCCTGTGAACAGTAGAATCGTCAAGAAGCGACTCGAAAAGCTAGGACACGAGGTCTACCTCACGGTCAATGGTGAAGAATGTGCATCTGCATTTGGTGACAAGCCTCGAGACTTTGATGTTGTCTTGATGGACATGCAGGTAAGTCAGTTCGAAAGACAGTTGCGGGTTCTCTGCTAACATTATTTGAAGATGCCAATCGTGGATGGTCTCACTTCCACCAAGATGATCCGATCGTATGAAAAGACGCATACCGACATATACTCTCGGCGTGCAGCGCTTTGCGGCCGTGTGCCTATTATTGCGGTTTCGGCATCGCTGATCGAGAGAGACCGGCAGCAATATATTGATGCCGGATTTGATGCTTGGATCTTGAAACCCATCCCATTTGACCGACTTAATAAGCTCATGGGCGCTATTGTCGACGTCAAATCTAGAGAAGAATGCCTCTACAAGCCAGGCCAGTGGGAACGGGGAGGATGGTTTCACACGGGGCAGAAAAGCTCTGAAGAGGCCAGCACGAAACCTTCCAGTCAAGCACCTGTATCCGAAATTTCATCAAAGGCGAAAGAAGCTGCGCCATCTGAAGATGTGATCGCCAATCAAGATGGCAGCCCTGACAAGATAGACGAGGAGCACGAAAGGCTACTTCAGAACCAAGCGGAGGGCAAGATCGAGCCGCCAAAGGACGATGATGCTCCACCAAATGACGAAAGTGGGGCACCGCCCAAGGATGAGAGTGAAGAAGAACCTGCACAAGAACCTGCAGAAGAAACATCAAAGGACGAACCTGAAGAAGAAGCACCTGCTTGAAGACGCGAATACTATTGGCAAATCATTACGACCATTCTCAATTACGACACACGACGTTCCGCCACATCCCAGTGTCCGCTTCTCATTACTCCAACAATACCTTTTTTACATTAGTTCTTCTACCTCGTACGGCGCAAGACGTACGACCTCTTGACGACTCACGCATAGCGATTGGGACGCTACTACCGGCGTTATTTCAGCACATACAACGGCGTATCCTGTTAAAACGTTATTACTTTTATTTTCTTGGGATTTTCGGCTGGCGACTGCTTGTAAGCATTGGGCAAGCGGGCATTTAGAGAGCGGGATAGAGGGTTGTTGTCTGGACTTGCAGGGCCACGCTGTGTGGTTGTACGATGCTAGGAAGAAAACATGGGAGGGACGGAGGATTGGGATGGTTGTCTTCATTGAATTGATTGGAGAGGGAATGAAGGAAGAATCAAACAGCCACTATGGCATCCTAAGTTACGTTGTGTATACGTTGTGATCCTTGCTGTATTACTCGCTAGCATGAGTGGACGAAGATTATCAACAACCTTCATCCAACTATGCGCGTCTTCCCTATCCGAAAAAAAACTTGGCCATCAACCAGCGCATTGGTAACCTAACCTGAGCAGGTTGGCTCGTCCTGGTTGCGAAGGAATTGAAGGACGGAGACGCCGGATAGAAAATAAGGTTTGAGAAGCGACTGCGAGATTGTCACCGTGGCTAATTCTCTTTCTGGGATGGAATGGCACGATAGCAGCGACCCATGTTGCGGGATTCCAAGTAGCAATCTTGCATATTGAGCGATGGAAAACGAACAACTACACCACCACTTCACTCTCAATCCCTAAATGGGGCTGAGACGTGTTCATATGCTTACGTGCTCCTACTCCTCGTGTCCTGAGTATCCGCCCAACCATGTTCCCCACAGCCTACCTTCTCCCTCCACCCCCAATATCTTGACCCAGTTTGTAGCCACTGATCTTATCCCAATCAATCTTCTGCCTGGTAATGGGCAACTGCCTCCTCAAGCCCTTGAACGCGCCCTCACTCAGCGCGCCAAACGCGCGGTTCAGATCCTCCTGATACTTCTTCTCCACGTCGGCAATCCGCCTGACGACATCCTTCTCAGCGACACCGCTCAGCGACACGTCTTTGTTGGTCAGCAACCGCACGTTGCCGTCTTCGTAGTAGTGCACATCGACTTTGATGGCGCCGGCGAGGGTGGAGGACGATGGGGTGTAGATGTAGGAGCTGCGCCAGCGGCCGTTCCAGTAATTTGTGGGCGAGTATTTGTTGGCGACGGTAAGGAGGGCGAGGGCTGAAGCGTCGGCGGTGGGGAATATGGCGTAGGAGGAGGTGGGGTAGTGTTCTGAGGTGTGTGTGGAGAGCTGTTTGATCAGGGTCTTTCTGCGGGGAGGGTTAGGATTGCGTGTCAACAGGAGGAGTGGGTGAAGGTACATCAAGTCCTCGTGCTGGCTCTCCATGACGTAGCTCTGTACGGCGCTTGCTTTGCCCGTCGCATGATCGAAGTCGAATGAGCTCTGCGTTTCCACGTCGTAGTAGCGCCCGTCGCCTAGGCTGTTGTACTGGCTGACAATCACTTCGGTGGCGCCGCCTGGCAGCTTGGTGGTGGTGAATTGCTCCTCGTTGTATTGCTGGTACGCCGGAGCCAGCTGGGCCTCGACATTGTCATTCTCGAGGATCGATTTAATTGCTTTGGTGACATCTGCGAGCTGTCTTGTGTTAGGACGGAGGGTTCGTGGAGCTCAGGTGGCGTGCTTGGCATGTACCTCGCCGGGCGGCGCACTCTCGATGAAGGAGCCGAGAGCCTTGTCTGCGGACATGTCTAGATATTCTGGATGGGCTGTGAAAAGCTCTCGGCGATGCTGTGTAGCAATTGCGAGCTTGAGGCGCTGTTTGGGCGATGTCGCGGAGCTGAGGTCAATGCCGTCCGTCGCGCTTGGCGAGGGGTCCAATGCGGGACTACCAGGACGTCACCCAAACACAAAGTAGTTTGCTTGCGGCTCATCTATTGCAAAACAGCACGTTGGGCGTGGGGAAAACACTCGCTCAAAGGATAGCCTGCAGGTACACGCAGTACTTCCGTTTTGGCTGCATACTTGTTATCAACTGCAAACCCATTGGCGCGTCGTCATGTGGTATTTCGTAAATCATAGTCCCATCAACAATCCCAGGCGCCACGCTCAAACATAAACCAGTTCGAAACATCCTCTCATGCACGAATTGCATTACTCGATGCTCATCTTCATGAGCCCGTCATGCGCGTTCTCCATGCCCATGAGACCCACCCTCTTGGGTCCCAGTGTCGGAGTCATGCTCATGCTTCCTCCGCTGTTGGAGCGCTCACCGTTAGATTGTCCGCTGATTGAGGTTTCGCGACCATTCTTATTCGCATTGCCCCATGATCCGGTATCGCGCTGCGCTGGCGATTGTGATATGATCGGACTGTTTTGGACGCTCACACCTGGGCTGACAGCACGGCGTTTCATTGAAGTCTCATCAAAGTCGTCATCTCGTCGCCGCTTATTGGATTTTTTGAGGCCATCGGCTGCAGTAGGTGGGTACATAGGTCCTGGTGTAGAGGCTCGTGAGGCCCATCCCATGCCATTGCTCTGGTCTGGTACTTGGAAGCCATGAGATGATGAGATCGTCGGCGAGTCCATACTCATATCTTCGCTGACTGCAGACGACTCTGCTCGAGGAAATGTCGGTGGAGGTGGTGTTTGAGTCGCGCGCGAGTTCCAGAAGTCGCTACTGATCGAGCCACGTCCATTGGAGTGGAGAGATCCGAATGCGCCGAATAAGCCTTTGGCGTTAGAGCCGTCGAGACTCATGTTGCTTTCGCTCTCTTCTTCAGGAAGCTCAGGGACGCCTCCCAGTGGACCATCTAGGTCGGGGGCTGAGGGCAGTAGACTTGGGGACGATTGTGCTGTAACCGAGGGACCATCATCGGCTTCTCGTACTTGCCGGATAATCTCCGCCTCGCGGCGCACCTCGCTGTCAACAGGCGCTGATTCTTCAAAAAGTTCCGCCTTGATGCGGCCAAATTGCCGTGATTTTGGCTATGCAAGTCAGTATTGTAATGCCCTCGACATAGAGATAAATGTACTAACCAGCATGTTCCCTCTTCTGACCACTGGCCTCCTGACCACACCTGGAGTCTGCGGCAAAGCTGCGGCTTCGTCTCCACTGTCGTTGCCAGACGAAATATGAAGGTCGTTGGCGAAGAGCGAAAGGCTTTCGCGACGTGAACCAGCCTTACGCATCGCTGCTTCTCGCGCAAAGTAGCTCTCGGCCTTTACGTTCCCATTCGGCGGCGATGCTGGTCCAGGACTTGCCAGTGAGCTGTGTCCCGAGCTCGAGCTCTTCCTGCTCCTGCCCTTGCGTAGCCTTGCTCTTTGTATGCTCATAAAGTTGGGAATCCCTCCAGCCACCGGCGAGAACATGTTTGTGGCCCAGCTTGGGTTGCTGCCGTGTATACCTCCAGGAAACGATATCCCCATCTTTGCCTGCGGTGTGCCCATCATGGGATCGTCGTTATCCTCGGCATCCAGCGGGTCCATCTCATCCGAGGAGCTGCTACTCTCCTCTGATCCCAGCATGTTGATACTGCCAACCGAGCTAGACGCAGCGGTTCTATCGCCATTATTCCAACCACCGTGAATGTTGACATTTGGCGAGTTCATGAGCATCGAGTTTGAACGCGGTTTTCGTGACGGAATCTTGATTCCCTTTTGGGTTATGGTCGGTGACGAATCCGGAGACAACTGTGTTGGGAGAGTCGATTGGTGAAGGTTAGTGCACGCCCTTGAGAACTCGGCGCCTCTGCTTCTCCGCGGCAGAAGCGACGCCGGCGATGCGTACGTATTACGAGCGTCTAGCTGAGGAGATAGAGGTCGAGCTGCAAACTGGGCGGGACTCGGTGGCATAGGGGCAGGCATCTGCAGAGACAGGCCTCTGGAGAGGAAGTCTGGTCGTCGGGGCGTGCTGGGGCTGGGGCTGGGAACGGCGATGGTGTGGTCGTCTTTGGACATGCGGGCGGGTTCGCGGAACTTCGGTGATGGCTCTAAACGCGGTGTGCTATCCGACAAAGACCGTGCTTTAGGTGATCGTGACTTTTGCGGTGTTTGAACGGGGTCCATGGTGGCTTCCTCGCTCATGGCCGCGAGCCTGCCCCCGTCAGGTGCCATTGCCGCGCTCAACATTGCTTAGTAGACACGGTTGGGTCGTGCCGTGGGTTCTGAACATGTCAAACAAAATATAAGGGCGAAACGCGTTAAGCAGGGCACGATGAGGCGTGAGGTCGATACATAAAGCGGGGCGAGTGATTGCTATCACGTGTAGGGCTGAGCTAACCCTTCCCGCGCGTCACAAAAATGAGCGCCGTCAGGTAGGGCTGTATACCTTCGCACTGTGAACGAACTAGATGCAGAACCCGATAATCGCGCGAACCTATCCAGGCATGCCTATAACGCACGTGGGATCAGAGCAGAAACGTTCATTCGTGTATACTGCTGTGCACGCGAGTTTCCCCGTGTCGAGATGCCAGACCCTCCGCCAGCCATCCTCGTCTCCACAACCTCACCGCGACTTCCACATGACAAACAGAAACCCTTGGCACAATAGAGACGTGAAGTGCTCTGGGATGGTCTATTGGCTGTCGAAAATCTCGCATGCTATATCTTAGCTATGCCATTGCTACTCAAAAGTTGATGATCCCTTCGACCCATTTGATGTCGTCCCATGTGGCTTCCCATATGTTCATCACAGACATGACCCATTCCTTCCCGTCACGTTTCATCGTCCCCATGCACCGGCAAATCCTCCCCTGCAGCAGCAGACGTTTACTGTCGTAGTCGTAGAGCTGCACTGACTTCCACAGAACACCCTCATAGCTGGCCTTGATATACGGTGGCTTACCGTGAAACAAATCGCAGAGCGTGAAGAGCTGTTTAGTCTCGACACGTTCAGAATCCAGAATCCTAGCGTAGAGCTCGAAAACGATGCGCTTGTCCGACCTGCTCGACTGATGGGCTTGGTTGATAGCTTCACCGATGCGGAAACACGTTCTGAGCAGTGTGTTGGGCGAGAGGCCGATAATGGGGGAGCGATCACAAACCGCATTGGGGAATGGTGCCCTTGCTATTGGCTTGCGAGCCTCTGCGCAGTCAATATCGCCATTCAATGCGAGGAGCCGAGTCGTCAACGTCATAGGTGAAACAAACTTCTTCTTCGTGCGTCTCCGGTCATCGTCCTCTTTGCTATTTGTAGCCGTACTGGGAAAGGCTGGTGGTATTTCATACTGCGCGACGTCGCTTTTGAGGGGCGAGCTCGACCGGTCATGCACACTGCCGCCGGTGTCGATCATGTTGGATGCTAGCTTTAGAAATTCTTCATCGTCCAGATCATCGTCATCGAAGGCATTATCGGGGATATCCTCAAGTGTGAAATCACTATCGATGGGGTGAGATTTGTGCGTTACATCTCGGGAGGTGCGAGTAGTGTTGGCGATGTTGGTGCACGTGGGTCCAACGTGTGCCCAAGTAATGTCGGATAGCGACACCTCAGCAGCAACACTTTTTGAGGCAGTCGACTTGCACCGTTCACTGGCTTGGATATTACGAGAAGCCTTCAGAGGTGTTTGGAAGGCTGATGATTTCGTGATCTTGAGTCCCTCGGAAATATGTCTCTGCCTAACGGCGCTTGATTGATTGTCTGTCGCGTGCACAGCATCGTCCGTTCCGCGCGGTTTGCGTCGTCTCTTTGCAGGCTTCGGTGGGGGACTTCGTGGCCCATTAGGCAACGGGGCATACTTTTCCAGATGAGCCGGCTCATCAGAAGATCCCAGGCCCAGGTACTGTGCGACGGTAGGGTTGCGGCGACGACGTGTACTGCTGCTCGCTCTACCTTGGCTTGGTTGGGCTGGGCTTGTGGACTGGGTTGCGACACATGCAGGTTGACTCTGATTAATTGCAGTAAAGCTTGATGACGCGCGTACTGTTTCTGAACTTCTATTGCTGACCAGGTTAGTGTCGATAACAAGGCAGCGAGGTGAGGGAAGGAGCAGTGTGAGGTTCGCGTTGGTGATCTCACTCATCAAGACCATCGGGCTCCCTCACTGCTCGCTCATCCCAGCCACAATACAACATGTCTGCTGTACTCATCGCGCGTCATCTGATCGCGGTCGAGATATGCCAGTAGTACGAAGCATGAAGTTTGGTGAAGGACGCTATGAAGACGCGACGCTTGATGCGACCAGGGTAGCTTGAGCTTATTCAGCCCCCACCACCTGCCGCATCATCATGCGGGGCGGCTCTTTCGGGCAGCCATCTGCAATCAAGGCACCCGTCCCGCACCATTTACATTCCGCGTGCCTTGCCGGAATTGCGATTGCTTCCCTAACTTCAACTATTCTCGCAGAGACAGTTAGGCACAAACACACCACAACATTCATCACTAGATGATAGCCGAAAAGCAGTTACATCATAGATCGCCAACTGATTGTGCTATCTTGAACTGGAATCGGACCGCGACACCAAGTTTGCTGAGCTTGTGATCGACAGAGACCCATCAAGCACATCTTTGACCTTACGCCCACCTGCATCGTTGTTCTCTACAGTGGTCCGACACGAGAAATAACCGAAAGTGCAACTTCGCGTACATAGCGCTGTCTGACAATGCCGGTAAGGATGATCCTATCAAGCGAATCTGTACTTATCTTCCTCGAGCTTTCAACGGCTCCTCAACTCTGCCTGACATGTCTCCGGACCTCGTCATGTGCAAGCAGCGGGAGGGATTGCGCATGTCACTCTCGGCAATATGAATACTTTGGTCATGTTGGGAGCTCTAGCGTACAGGAAGACCGCCACTGAATCCTCATGTTTGAATGAAATAGCCTCGAGAAAGTCTAACACTGCGTAGAAGCATGCATTCTCGGCTGTCACGGTCCAAGTCGATCGGTTGACCAGCGAACAATATGAGGAGAATGTGAGATTCGATGCTCCAGAAGACCAAGACCATGTACTAAATGACATAGGATATCGGTGGCGTTGTGGACCTGATCGAGGTTATTCGCATCCAGGCTTCGGGTCCGACAGAAGCAGCGCGGGCGCTCCGGAAGAAACTGCATGTACCAGCGTCGAACTTCGCTCCATAAATGCTGATAACTCACAGAAAGTACGGAAATGTGCATCGACAGGTCCGCGCGCTTGTCATCCTAGATGCGCTAATCCAGAATGCTGGCACGAGATTTCAGAAAGCATTCGCCGATGAGCCACTTCTTGAACGTTTACGTATCCTCGCTCGAGACGACATGGTCGACTCTGAGGTGCGACAAAAGGTCAACGTACTCTTCCGGCAATGGGCTGTTGCGTACAAGGGGACTCCAGGCCTTGAGCGTATAGCAGCACTACATAAAGAACTTCCTCGCACTAAGCGCCCCCAGCCGCAACAGTCTCGCATCGTTCGACAGCAGGACGCCGAAGCTGCACGTGAGCGTGAGGAGCATAACTCGCCTCCGCCGTCCCCTCCTCATTCTAGACGCCCTGTCCCGCAGCAAGCTTCTTCATCATCGTCAAGTAGACCTGTCGCGTTGGGAAATGCCACGACTCAGTCTAGCTCTTCAATCTTCAAGAGGGACAAGAAGGACAAAAAGACTCGGGGGAAAGCCTTCAATTTGGAGAAAGAGAAGGGTCAACTCCTAGAGACTATCGCTTCCGCGAACGTTGCAAGTACGAATTTGCTAAATGGACTACAACTCATCAATCGAGAGCAACAGCGAGTCAGTGAAAACCCAGAAGTCATGCGCCGCTTCGAGACATGTAAGCAACTTCGTCGTCAGATCTTACGGTACATTCATCTCGTCGAGTCTGAGCAGTACATTGGTGGATTGCTCAACGCCAACGACGAGCTTGTCAAGGGCCTGATGGCTTTCGAAATCATGGACAAGAGCATCGACGACGACAGTGATAGTGACAACGAATTGAGCTCATCACCGACGGCAGAGGCTGCTATGGCCGGCTTGCGCATCGATGAGCAAGCTCCAGCAAAGCCACCCAGGCCGATGAGCATACCCATGCCCCCTACACCCAGCAAACAGGCTGCACCGGAAAGCGAGCCAGAGGAGGATGAAGACGACCCGTTCAGCGACAACAATGGTATGTAAATGTCGTAACTCCAGCAGTGTATGGATCATACTAACATGCTATAGCTGTCAAGACGCCATGGCAAGAGAAGACGGAGCCGACTTGGAGGGACGTCTAAGATGTTTCAGAGTACTCTGCGAGACGTGACGGGGCTTGATGCAGCACATTCCCACTTCACACAATATTTGCTCATACGATAACATACCCAGTTCAGTAAATGCAAAATTCATATCATCACTCATTATTTTCATCAAGTGTGATGTTGCTATTTCCAAATACCGTTTGCGCCACAACGAGCCACGAAGCATTACGTCACCTCTCTCCCGCGCCAAGCTGTCATAGGCTAGCGCCGCCCCAACTGTGAAGCAGGACCGCATCAACTCTCTCCTCTCGGCCATACATAACCTCCGCCCCTCTGGAACCAACAGCCGTCAAACCTCACCACCACCCTACTCTCACCGGTAAATCAAATTCGTAGGTACTTCTTGCGCCGAACGGAGACAAAAAGATGCTAACGATGTCACCAGTCTTCATCACCTCGAAACTCGATCTCCAAAATGCCCGCCTCCACCGCCTCCTCTACCGCCAGCTCGATCGTCAAGCCTCAAGGTGGCAAGTGCTCTTGCTTCAGCACCGATGACTGCTCGTGCTGCATCATTCCTTGCACTGTCATGTAAAGCGCTTGCGAATGACGAACACACCGCCCGCGACAGCAACAGCGCTGGCCCTTGAAGGGCTGAGCGATCATATTATACGAATTATTGGAGTTTTGGATTAGCGCTGGAATAATGGATGGGATTGTTGATTGCAATGCGTGAACTGGTGTGGGAAATCTTGGATAGGTCGGGTCGTTTTGAATATACATGCATTCTCGATGTGTTTGCTCGGATGTGCAAAAGTGATGCTTATGCACTCGTTCATATTGCGACATCAGTCTACGGCCTCGGAAGCGTGCAAAACAGGACCACGAAAGAATTGTGCGACCCAACGATTCCCTCGAAAAGAGAATGCTGACTGTAGGATACTTGTCTAGACCTGCTCTTCTCTCTTCACACAAGCTTTCTATTCTACAAGTCGAGTCCGTCGGCCTTGCAAGTCCGGCACTCGATATGAAATCAGTATATCGGAGCCAACAAGTATTTTCTTGCCGTCATACTGTCTACCTCTTCTTTACGCAATCTTTGCTTCACCTTCGCATCAATCAACGCGCAGGCATATCTTCTGTTCACTTCTCAGTCATCTGTGCAGGTATAAAGCACATTGCGACAATGATACAAGCGGCCTGCTTCCTACGTCACACAGCTCGCACGACCTCACAGACTGCGATGCGGATGTATACTAGGCGCAACATTTCAAGAAGTGACTAGAATTCTTTGCCAAGCGGAAGTAGAAGTTGGTGATTGTGACAGCGTCTTCATTAACGTTGACTACCTACACGTGCTGAACTCAGCGCAAGGACATTGATGCCGTCCGATTCAACAAGTCATGATATGCCCAAATCAAACGCCCCTTGCAATCTCGACTAGAGACGCAGTACGATAGATATCATAAAACCCCCAAACGTACGAAACGCTTCAAAACGCCGGAAAACGCCGGCTATACCAGTCATACAATGCCTTTAAAGTTACTGCTTTATTTCGTAATAAAGCCCAAGTAATCCGCAACAATGAGCGTTACCATGCTGTTAGTATGTTAGTGTATGCACCGTTAAAAGATAGGGGGAGGGAAACTCACGCATGCGGCGCAATTCTCACATAATAAGTTCCGAAACCACGATAGAATCTTAATAACCCCTCCTCGGCTGCAACCTTTCTGAAGCAGTCAAACATGCCCTTATAAGGCAGACTCCCGTCCGCTGCACGCGTCTGCTTCTGCAAGCGTGTCTTCATAAAGTCGAACGGCAGCGACAGGAAACTCGCGAAGAAGCCTGCGACGGCTGAGGCAGTGAGCGTTTGAGTCCGCGACGAGAGATTCGTCGTCTTGAGCTGATTCTTCGCCTCAGAGAAGAATGCCAGCTGTCCGAAATTTAGCGCCATCGCGCGCACAACGGTCGGATACGCGCCAGCCCACAGCCTACCCACGCCCTCATTCTTCGCTATCCGACTGAGTGCGTCGACGACAGATGTGTAATTTGCGCGCTGCGCCAGGGGCTTCAAGCCATCCGATTGCATGCGTATGAGCGCGAGGTCCGCGGGGTTTCCCACGACGGCGGCAAGACCGCCTGCAGCGAGACCGGCGCCTGCGCGCTCTTTGAAGCCGATAGCGTTGCCTTTTGCTTCTGCGGACGCGGTGAGGGATTTCATGAATGTGTCGAAGAAGCCGAGGCGCGCCGTGGTGTAAACTGCTTGGCGGAGTAGACCGGCGCTCAGGCCGGTGTATAGGTCCATGACCTTTCCTTGCGCAAGGATGTCTTTAAATACGGTTACGGGCGTGGGTTTGGGTCCGGTTTTTACGCCTTCGCCGGCGAGTTGCAGGCGTACTTTGACCATGTCGACGGGCTGGATGACGGTTGTGGCGGTCATGCCTGCGAGGCCGCCGTTGATAAAGGGGAGGGCGGCGCGCATGAAGGGAGTATGGAGGAGGTCTGTGGTCGCTTTCTTTGGGTTCTCTGCGGCTTTGGACATGGCGTTTGAAGCGTCGGAGAGGACGGCTTCGGAGGTTTGCTTTGTGGATTCGAAGGCGCGGGCGGCTTGGGGCATTTTTATGGGGGCTAGAGTTGTCATGGTCTGATTAGTGATGGATTTCTATCCCCTTCTTGTGAAGCTGTGGACTGCTGGCTCGAGTGATGTATAAATGTGAAAGAAGAAGCCAAGACAATAAACGACTCAGTGAAGCAATAAAGAAACAAGCACGATTTCGAGAATGAAACGCCAATGTATATGCAAGTCCTCTTCTTTCTTCTCGCCCGCCTACTCCACCGTCACAGATGCCCATCACTGTGTTCGCGCGCAACGGCCGTGCAGTGAAGCTCTGTCGGCCGTGGATTGCTGCAGCGGCAAGCTGCCCGGCAATGACATCGCCATGCATTTCCGCGACGCAACACGACTCTTGCAACTGCAAGCGCGCACGGTGTCAACACGTGCTCGCAAACCCATCTCTTTCCGAAAGAACCCGCGATTCAACTGCGCTGGGCGGTGGAAGATGTGAAGGGAAGAAGCTGTGCGTACCTCCTGCTGCTCTCGTCCGCGCTAAGATGGGATGGGAGCGAGGGAAGTGGGGCTATCGCTTTCACTAGTGCTCCAACACTTGCGCGTAGAAGCAGACGACGAGGACACGCAAGGAAGATGTAAAGCTGAGGATGTATACAACGAAGCTATTGTCAGAGAGAAGGATGGATGTTTAACAACAAAGCACGAAAGTCAATCGTAGTCCAGTCTGGCTTGCGCCAATACGACGTTCCTTTGGATGAGGGGTCTTGCGTGCCTTCCCCGCATTACCTCGAGCAGCTCCTCCACGCAGCGCGTTCTGCGAGCGCTGTATGATTGGGGCGGCCAATCGGGTAGTGCTTATTTGGGGTTTGGTGTTTACTTGTGATCTTCTTGGGATGTGATCTCATAGGTACCTCATCCAGGAGGGTGGTCTGACATGTGTCGCGTTTCTATCGGTAGGTTGACCTGTCACCGCTTCAGTACTTGACAGCTTGTGCTGCTGATTTTGAACCGATGATCAAGATGTGTGAGATCTTCAGGTACGACTTCATCATGCAAGTACTGCATGCGGAACCGCGAATGCTGTCTTGTGCAATGACGTTGCATCGACGGACCGGTGCTCGACCAATGGAGTTTTGGTACAACTCAACACCACGAATTTATATTTTGAAGCGTAGCTTGCGAAGCTACTTTGTGCTATCAAAGTAATTCCTCATCGTAAAAGTACCGCGCATTGGCCATCTTCACCGCAGTGCTGATCTGACGTGATGCGCCGCCATAATTCATTGAATTCGGTCTCAACAATTCCCACCGCCCACAAGCTCCCCTTTTGCTGATGTTTGTGTCTGTTGAATACAATAATACATCAACACACATATTTTACCACATTCACGTGCCAATCCTCCCTCAGCCCGCAAGCGACCTCCGTGCACACTCCGGCTTATCCGCAGCCCAGTGAGTCGATAGTTGCTGCATGACGTGCACATCACAAGCATATTCCAGGAAGAAATCGACTGTCGGATTTCCTACGGTGTCCGCACCAAGATCCAACTTGACATGTTTCAGGGTCCATCTGGAGGTGCGGCGGTGTTGCAGAAGTCCTGCGCGTTCGATCCGCGGCCGACGAGCATGGGCCGAACCGCAACGAGGCTCTTAACGCTCGGCTTGCGGCTTAGAGCTGTGACTTCCGGTGCAATGGAAAAGATAGCCGTTGCATATCCGTGGAAGTTGTGAGCGATGAATGGTTACACTGTTTCGGCGCTCGGGATGCGAAGGGTGTCTACAACTCATCTTCGCTCTCGCTCGGATCACCCAGGTCCTCAACCATGGAGCCTTGCGGCGGTCGCTGTGCAACTGAGTCGTCGTCGCTCGGATCACCCAAGTCCTCCACCATGCTCGACTGCGGTGGCCGTTGTGATGATGCAACTAGTATCTTTGACGATGAATTCGATGCGTCATTGCTGCCATCCACTTGTTGCCTCTCACGCTTCGGCGCCTGAACAGCCTCATCATCTGAGCTGTCGCCCGCCGCTGCAGCCTCGACCTTTTGCATGCGCCTGATCTTACGAATGAGTAGGGGATCGGAGCGGAGATCGTCAAGTGTGAGATTCTGTGGCGGACTGTTAGTGGATGCACACATCGTGAAACGCATGGAGAGAAAATACCTGGTCACAACCAGCCACGGGACAGTTGACCGCCTTCGTTGCTCCTCCTCTCGGTCCTCTGGTACCTGTGGAATTTGTGCTCGTCCGGATCATCTCCACAATCGCGTGCTTCTCAAATGTATGCGGGCACTTTGTGCTTGTGTACGGTTCCTTGAATTGCTGGAAGGTCAAGGGACATCTTATGCTAATTGTCGCCTTGTCCATGACTATGTCATCGTCATCATCAAAGTCGCCGCGCTGTGTGTCTGTGATGCCAGGTGCCGGTGACCCAGTCTCAGTGAACCATGTATCTTCGTGACCGAGCACTGGACCCCCATCGCCATACTTGGCGTCGTGAACCATGCGCTTGAACTCGCGGTAGTCGTTGTTGCGCGCGTAACGTGTCGTGAGCGATTTGCTGGTGTATACGTCTTTCTGGCGTTGCTGGTGGTCTAGGAAGAGCTCGTTGACACCAGTGAGGGTGATGCGCGATCCATCAAGAGGGGTTGGGCCAGGAGTGGGACCGTCACTGAGCTCTGCGTCGCTCAGATCTTCATCGCCGTCCTGCCTGCGTTGGCTGTTGATCTGGCTCTGCCGCTGCGTTGCTCGCTGGGTCCTCTGTGTGTTGTACTCGTCTTCGAGCTGCTTGGGCGCATGCTGTCGCAGCCAGTCGAGCGTGTCATCGATGCGCTGTGCAGCCACACCAGAGTCGATGACAGCGCGCATGCTTTCTTCAAGCTTGGCCGTAGCCTCTTCCACCTTTTCTTGAAGTGCCCTCATACTTTCCTCTTCAGTTTCACGGTCGTCCAGGCTCTTGCCTGCATCCCACTTCTTCTGCTTTCGCGCCATGTATTCGGAGTGTTCGCGCAATGCATCGTTGACGCTCGCTGCGACCGCGGTGACAACTTCGGTAGCTTGTTTATTGTGGCGCTTGACATCGTTGAGGTTGCGCCCTTGGAGGTCTCGAAGCTGCCGCGTTGCTTCCAGGTCCAGTGGATGCGATGGCTTCTTGTACGGCGGCAGTTGGTCCGTGGCATTTCGACTCGGGGTCGCTGCGAGTGACTGGCGGCTTGCAGTTGGCCTCTCATTGGACTGGCGGATACGGTGCGACATTTCCGCGACAGAATTGTGTTGTCAAGTGAGGGGTTAAACGGAAAGTTGATGTGGAGACGCGTGCCAGGCCAACGCGCTAGCTGGAGTCCGCTTCGCCAAGTCACATGACCGGAAGTGCCCCGACTTTACAGCACACCACAGGTTGTTAACTACGAGTAAAAGTGAACAAGGGATTTGACGGCCTGGAGCTATCAACAGTTTTGCTAAATCTTGTTTGCAATGCTAAGGCTCTGTGTACAGCTTCAGACACCCTGGTCGCCTTTCATGGAAAGTGATGGCTTAGTAGCTTCACGGGAGTTTACAGTCATCTTGCTTGCTCAATGGTAGCATGCAGCCTGAAGCCTATTCTAGAGCCAAAGATCTACGCGTGCCAATGAAAGACGCATCTTAACGTCGATCTTATGACATCCAAAGTGCCCAGTCAGCGCGTGCCGAAACCGTGGTATTCCCGTGTACACAGAATCAGACCATACTCGCTTCGCCAAGCGCCCTATTTTCTGTCACATGTGGGGGGGGGGGGGGGGTTCTTTTGATTGGCGGTTATAATTACTCGTCTTTCGAGCAAGTTCGGACTGTCAACTGGGCTATCACTCGAGAAAATTGGGCAACGATGTGCAGAAAGGTAACAAGGCAATTCGCCTTTGGTATTGAAACTTCCAAGTCGCACAGGGATATCATATACGGTACAAAGATAGCGGACATTGAACGCAAATACTCCAAGCAAGCCCAATGGCTTGTGAACTCCCATGGTGCACTTCATACACGTGAACTCTCGTCGTCTGGCATGACGAAACCAGCCTGTGCTCCCAGAGCTTGATTCGTCGTCTGGCATGACGAAACCAGCCTGTGCTCCCAGAGCTTGATTCGTCGTCGTCTCATTTCATAATATCTACAACCCATGGCGGCCTTCCTTCTCGACTGATGGAGCCGGTATCTTTTCGGAGATCAAAGATGATCTGCTCTGAGTTTATGTCGCTGTAGCGGCGGGGCTGGACTACTGCTTCGCACTCGAAATAATGGTCGTAGTCTTGGGTTCCTTGTTCGTCATGGGCAGACCCTTCTCCAGATCGTGCTCTTGTCTGGCTTTGTTGTTCTTGCCAAGCGGAGGAGAGTTGAGACGGATGCTAGTTCTTCGGTTCTGTCGCTTCTGGTGCTTGTTGTCTGTGTTTCCACGACCAGTGAACCGGCGTGATGCACGACGAATGGACTGTCGGACATCCCATTGCCGCTTCTTTGCGAGCCACCATAGAGTTGCGGAGCCAACTGCGAATGGTTAGTACACGTCTAGATGAGTAGGGTGCAACGTACTGCCTCCGATGACCACAATGACTGCTACCACGATGATTGCTGCCAAAGCACCGCTCGAGAGTGTGAAGGCGCCTTTCTGAGATCCCGCTGCACCAGCATCACTTGGGTCGGCTGGGTTGTCGTCGCCTCCATTGTATTGCGCAGGCGGGAGCTGGCTTGGTGTCGAGCTCGACTGTGCAAGCACATAGAGCGGAAGCAGGAAGCTGAGAAGCAGAGTCTTGCTCATGATGGCTAGTCTACCGACGTGTTGTTGCGGCGTGGTCGACGGGTAGATTGGCGAGCAAGAGTTCTTGGTGGTACGACGGTCGTATGGAGGTCGCGAGATCAACTCGGGTCGGACGCAAAGGGAATACCAACAACTCGCTACCAAGAGCGGACCAGCATCCCTATATTTTCTGCTCCAGCGTCCTTTTTACCCAGGCCAATACCCCACGAGGCCTTGAGCCCAGGAGCACATGTAGGCGCTAATCATAGTTGCGTCTGGATGAGATCCCTGGCTGGCTGCCGGCAGACATCCTCACGCCATTCTCTTAATATAGCGGGATTGGCGTAGCAGATGTGCGTCTTGGAATCGTAAGCTGAGCGGATTGGCAGATCTCGCACTGTAGTGGGCGCGTAGGAGGTTCAAGAAAGATCACCTTGCAGGGACGCTAGGACGGGATGAAGTCTGGTTGGGCGCAGGTTTCTGCAAGCGCCCGGGCTTGCGCATGGGCTCGATTTTCGTTTCAGGGGTGCGAAACGACGACAACGACTCTTCGCCTGAATGCAAGGCGGTCCTTAGTTCGCATTAACATGTGGCAGCTGCCGCTGTCGGTGAGGCCGCGATAGTGTCGACTATTTGTAGGACGTCTTTACCCACTACCACCGCCACTAGTAGACTTCTGAAGCACCAACGGGAACACAACTTCGAAAGAATTGAGATTGCTGGATGAGATACTCCAGCGTACACAGTAGCGCCAGGACTTCTATGGGTGGCAACTCACCGACTGAGTAGGCATGTCGAGTCATCAGCCTGGAACCGACTGATACACTCCTGGAGTTTTGCATTGTGCGATGTCACGTGCGGGCAACGTCGACCAGCAGGAAAACCCATGGAGGTAACGGCCGGTACGGTGAACACTTAGTTTTTAACAGCGCTCGCGGCACTCGGACCCCAGTGAACCTCATGTTACTTTGGTAGCTGATCTGCGCAATCAGCATGTGGCGCAAAGGATGATGCGGGGCGAAACAGATGGTGAGCGAGCTGAATACTCGTCGTAAGCTACCATTTCGAGACGCATCTATGGGCGATAGCCGTTCGCACAAGGTTGTGTGCCATGCTATTTCGAGTGCCTGTCTTCAACATTGAGATGCTCCACAAAGCTGTCGAGAGGCGCAGTGGAGTCAATCGTGGGAGTCATCTGTGACTTTGGGCACATGAGTTTATCGCGACTCCTGGGAAGGTGCTAGACTGGGCACGACGATGTGTATCGATGGGTAAGAACTTGCTGGTTCTCGGACGGATCACATATGGAACATCGCAGCGAAGCGCAAGCAGTAAGTTGCCGCGCCGAAGTCATAATCGTGCTGTATGTTGTCGAGTTTCCTAGAATGCTGCGCTTAATCATGTCTTCAAGCGGGTGGCAGGCGCAGGTGAGGTCGTGGGTGCTCATCGTGACTTCCTCAATCGCTGAGGAACACACGAGATTTTCGCCACCTTCGCTCACAACCTTCTTCACACCTCCATACCTCTACACCTCCTCTCCTCACTTGTTATTCATACACCCTTCACTTTGAGCTTTCGGACGGTCGCTTAGTACTCCGGCACCTGCTTTGCGTTGCTTGTTGTGCAGTGCCTTCACCGGCGTTCAACGCCATGGGGAAGCCTACTCCTCACGGGCAGCAGCCAGCAAGGCGCACAGCTTCACGTTTGAGAAATCAAGTCGACCGGGAGTCTGCCGATGAGGAGCGAGCATCAGACTCCGGAATCGTCCAAGTACCTAACAGCCAATTCTTCGTTCCTGAGACACAGCTCGGAGAACCCCGGAATAACGACCCACTGAGCCCTCGATCTACAGCACTGCTCGAGCGGACTTCCGTCAGGAGGAGTGCCGAGGCGAAGGATTCACATGCATTGGTCTTCAAGCCGCTCGCGAAGGAATCGTACGCCGATGGCCCACCCGTCAGATTCACTTTCGGGCAACCGAAGAAAGTTACCAGCAAGACTCCCCCAGAGGTCGAGGTCCCATCTAAACAGCAATTGATAGAGTTGCCAGCTACAGCACAATCTAGCAACGGCGGTAACGACTTTCTCGACTCGCACACGACCAGTAACAACAGCCCCAAAGACCACGCCCCTATCACCTCGCCACCACACCTGCCAGCTACTGTGACCGCAGATGCTGTGCCTCAAGACCTTCCCAATGCCGAAGAACATGTCGTCGAAGATGTCCATGCTCCATCATCGCACACTTCTGTGGGAGCTTGCAAGGTCCAGGTTGGAGGGGGCGAACAGTATGCTTTCCCGTTCGCGGTTCAGCAGAACCAGCTAACAGCAGCCTGTAGGAATAGTCTGCACGATATCTTTTCTGACCTACCCTCCTCCGTATGGCCCAATAATGGTGATATTCGCGTTCCGAAGAAGCCCTCGAAGCCAAAGAAAGGCAAGAAGGGCAAGAAAATTGCCAATAAAAAGCCCCATGGGGTGCCGTGGCCGCCTCGATCGTACCTTGCCGCTCTCCGCGCCAGCCAGGCACCATGTCCTGATGACACGGTCGAGCATCAGCCTACCTCGGAGAATATGGCAAGCCCTTCGGTTGAGCAAGACATCACCCATCACAGTCGGACTGTGAACAATGATTCCGGGACAGCGGACACATACCAAGATGATCACGGGCAAGTGGCGGGAGGTGTGCCAAGGCCACTCGAACATCTCGAAGTTCAAGGGAGCCAATTCCACCCGCTGCACACCGAGAGATTTCCTGTGTTACATCCAGCGACTGACATGACTGGTAATCTACTAGAAGAGACGACCCAGCAAGCCGCAGAAGCATTCAACCATCAAGATGATCAGCAGATCTTGCTGCAAGAGTCGCAGCTCATAGGTGATCCGCACGAGCTTGTTCCAAATGTGTCTTTTGTAGCTCCAGTACCACACAGCCGCCTTCATGTCACTACTGTACCTCAACCGAGACTGCAGAACGCTGCATTTGGACAACACGCCCTCACTGGCGACTGCAGTGAGAACAATATCGGCTTCAAGTCTACTGTTCATCCAAAACATCCGATCGCTTATCCCAAGTCTCACCTGCCACAACCCATGAAGACTGGTACACGCAAGCAACATATGTACCAACCGGATGATTCTATTCTCTACACAGTCATTAACCACAACCAGCCTCACCGTGTGGAGAAGGTGCAGAAGAAGCGTGGGGTGCCTAGCGGTCCACAGCATGTCACTTCATCTACACTAGTTCGGAGTCATGACCTGGATGTGCAAGATGACTTTGACAAGACATTGGATGGTCTGCGCGAAGCTCATCATGCGGACAGAGACCGGAAGGACCATGACATGGCAACACAGAAAGCGCACTTCGAAGAGATCAAGACCCTCCTCAAAGATGAAATTCAGCGAAGCTCCGACACGATTGATGAGTGGAAGGTGAAGTGCGCCGCCCTCGAAGAGAGCACAAAGCAGCTGCGAGGAAAGGCCAGCAGAAACCAGAAGTTTGTCACTGGACTCCAGACGGACCACGAGAAGTCTCAGAAGTCTGCACTTGCCTTTCAAGACGAGTGCAAGCAGGTTCTGCAGCAAAAGATCACAGAAATGGAGCACGAGAAAGTCTCGCTGCAGCATGATTTCGAGGCGACCGTCGACACATTAGCAAAAGGCCATCGAACACTGAAAGCCACGATCGACGAGCTGTATGTGAGATTCATCATATCAGAATCCAAGAGGAAGGATCTAGCGGAGAACTTGGCCAAGCAGAGCAGTATGTACGAAGAGGAGAGGACGAGGCGTAAGGACCTCGAAGCCAAGTTGTTGCCTTCATTTCAGAGCGTTCAACGCGAGCTTGGAGATCGTTCTACTCAGATCGTCCAAAAGCTCGAGACTCTGCAAAGCTCTATGGATGGGGTGACTTCAGGACTGTGTGAGAACTCAGGTGTCCAAGAGTGTCTTGATGCTTTACAAAAGTTCCAAGATACATCATTTCTCACAGTGAAGGATGTCAACAAGGCAGAAGGGATGTTGCGCTTTGTACACAGCAGGTGAGTACGACTCAGTGAACGCCATCAGTGATGAGCTAACACACATACCAGCCTTTGCTCCAAATTTGACACTCTTGTGAGCTTTATAGAGCACAAGAAGTACCCTACCGAAGATATTAAAACCTTCATCAGCGGCCAGCTGCAACATTTGCGCTCCGAGGTGCTCAGATTCGACGAGGTTGCGGCAGAGAGCCGCAAAGCCCAAGAGGCGAAACTTGGCCTGGCAGGCGAGCTGGAAGCCGAACGCCAGCAAACACAGAATTTGAACGAACAACTCGAGAATGCGCGTCGTGCTGAGGGAGAACTTGACATTCGGAGAGTTCAGCTTGAACGCCAGCTTGCCGACGTGGATGTCGCTGCTCACGGTGACAATGCAAAACCGTCAAACCTTGTGCAGGTGGCACAAGACTTGCGGGAGAAGACCAAAGAGTTGGAAGAAGAATGCAGGATTGCAAAAGCCGAGGTCGAGCGACTGCAGTGCAATATCAAGAAACGCGATCGCAAGCTCGTAGACTATGATGTGAGTAAGCTATGCGCACACATGGAACATGACTGATCTCCAATAGGCCTCTGTCTCACTGCTGAAGGAGCAGAACACAAACTTGTCAGAGCAACTCAAAGCGAAAGCTAAGGTAATGAATCTGTTGTCTATATCGACGATTACTAACAGCCCTTTCATAGCCTCCAGATGTGTCTCAGCTACGACACGAGGTCGAAAAGGACCTCCAACAAGGTTTCATCGACAAAGAGAGCGGCTATCGCAATGACGTCCACCGCCTGACCAGCGAACGTGATGGCCTGCAGGCGCTGGTGGATCAGCACGACAAAAGAATTGATGCTGTAAAAGCTCGATGCGAGGAAGCGAAGAAGGACGTCAGCAGCGCTAGATCTGAGCTTGAACTAGCTCAAAACCAGAAAACGGAGATCGAAGCTAGATGCAAAGCTTTGCAGCGTACAGCGCAAGACCATTCCTTTGGCGCGTCAGAAGTCTCTAAGCTCAAAGAGCAGATGAGGCAGAAGTCGGAAGAGCTGCAATCGAAAACGGAGGCGGTGGTTGAACTCGAGAGTGCTCTCTCGGAATCGGAGAGCCTCAGAACGGCACTCAAAGAGGCGTGTGAGCATCAACAGACCGAGATCTCCCAGCATCTCTGCGCAATCGAGTCACTGAGACAAGAGACGGACATCCAGTTACAGGAAGATCGCAAAAGGAGTGAAGCCGCTATTCAGCTCGCTCAGAATAAGAACTCCGCTCTACAGAAAGAAAAAGATGACCTGCAAGCCAAGTTGGAGTCCAGGGAGCTTAACGAGGCCAAGTTGAGCGACTCACACAAAGGTCCTGTTCTTGAGCGAGAAGACCTACGTCATCGCACTGCCGAACTCGAATCTGCCCAAGAGATCAGTTCCACACAAATACTTCATCTACAAGAGGAGCTTAGAAGTAAGACACGCAAGCATGAGGAGACCCTTGGTACTTTGCGCCAGCACCAGGAAAACTCAGACTCTGCCTTGAAGGAAGCCGAAGCCAAGATCCAGCTGCAGAAGACTGAGCATACGAAGAAGATCGAGTTTGACCGCAGGAAATACGAAGCTATTGTACAGAATCTTCAAGAGGAGCTAAGTAAGGCGAAGAAGGAAGTGGTCAGCGGGCATGCCAGTCAGCAGCAAACTTCATCGTCCTCGCTCCCGCCGCAGGATCCGTTCGCTCAAGAGATCCAGATCTTCAATTCCGGCAAAGCCAAGAAGAAGGTAAACCGCGGCAACACCTTGGTGCTGACTGGATTGGGTGCGTCCAGTGCATCCCTTGAGCTATCTACGCAGCACTCAACCCGTGATCACCGTAGATCTGCTGGAGGACATAGCGATACCCTCTTTGACGAAGAGTTGCACAATGATGATTCTGGCCAGCTGTATAACGACCAAGGCCTATCTGTTGTAGATCCCGCTGCCGAACAGGTAGAAGATACACAAGAACTTTGGCAGAACTTGCTACCCACCGAGGAACGCATCGAGAAGGGTACAAGTGGATCACTCCGAGGATCGAAGCACTCTAATCGACCCTCAACCGAGTTGTCTTCACTTTCGGATTCACTTGGATCAGAAGACCTCGCGATATTACGAGAAGAGTCTCAGGGACCCCGCCGTCCCTCTACGCCAGTCTTTCCTGACCCTCGTCATATTTCCCAGTCACAGCGCTCATCCGAGGAGCGTATTCTGGAAACTCCTACACGATCGGACAGGCTGTCTGCATCAAGCTTTCATTCCTCTCAATGCAATGATCGGCCTAGATCACAAGCAAATACAGCTTCTCGGCTAATGCCTCCACCTGGAAGCAAATCGAGCCGCTTCGATCAGCGCAAACCCACTCATGTTCCACTAAACAAAGGTGCTGTTAGCCACCAGACGTACACAGGTTCTCGACGTGACAATCAGATCCGCAATGTGCATCAGCCTCCATCCTCACTCAAGCAATCCCAGAACACCAGCGGACAGTTAAGCAGTGACCGGCAAGACCATACGTTCACCGTGTCCAATCGTTCACATGGACACAAGCGACAGAGTGCCTTTGGCGAAGGTGGCTCTTCAAAGAAACAGCGAAGTTTATCTCAGTCTTTTGCTGACAATCCGTCCTCCGGATCTCGTTCTATCCGGTCGTATCCCTATGGCACAAACCCGTCACGCACTTCTACTACGACTGCGGCAGTGCCATCAGCCTCACTTTCTACGAATTCGCACTCCAGAGATCAGCGATCCTCATCCATTGTCGGCCGCGCTCCTCCAAGCCGGGTCACTCCGTCGAGCGGCAGGGCCCGTAAGCAGCCGTCATCAGCCTCCCGATCATCAGCTGTTGATCCTGCGCATAATCACTATGGCGGCCACCAGACGAGAAGCAAGAGTGCGTCGTGTCTTTCATGAATCTGTTTAACTTGCTGACCATGTATCTAGCTCAAGTATCTGAGCGGTTTGACCAAGAACTCCGCGGAGCCTAGCCACTATTCCGATATACGCATTGCTGTCACGACGACTTGCCCTTGTCTTACCCATCCGCGTCACGCCTAGCAACCTTCATGCGTGATTCGGCCGCTCTGACGATCAGAGCGTTTTCTTCTTCTCCATGTCCTTGTAAAATCTCTGCACTCTCCTTTCCGATACTATGTTCGATAGTATTATCCCCTATTATGTTCTGACTAGATCTTAGCGAAGAAAATGAGACGGAGGAATAATGTGACGATGTGGGAGGACAATGTTGTCCACGGTTTATCGCGCGTATGTGTTCAGCTAGCAGACTACTCAGCATATTCAACGAAAACAATGTAGTTGGGACTCTATGTACCACAGCGGGTGACTGTGCTTAGAATGATCCGCGCCGCTTTCCCAATTGTCTCTTTCGCCATAGACTTCTTGTGGATGCGCCCTGGATGCTTGATAGTTGTGTGCTGCACAATGTGGACCATGAGTTATATGATGTATGTAGTGCAGTGATAGCTTGAGGTGCGGGGTGGTGTAAGGTCTTGCGGTCAAGTTGCCGGGCTTAGACTTGCGATGGACCTGCTCAAAAAAGCCAGATTGCGTGTGCTATTGTGGTCTTGTTGGAGTAGTTACGCCAGCTGAGTCCTTTTCCCCTTCTCCTATGATTCTTGGTCTCATATCATCCACCGTCTGCCTATGCCCGCGATTCGCTGGTCGATTCCATTCGTTGCCGGGACATCGCGGTGCTGCTGGTGTAGTTGCGCAACCTGAGTCCTTGTTTCCCTCTTCTCTGAACTCTACTGTTCTGTTAATGTCATCAACCGGTCATCTCAGTTGCCAGTTGACACTTTGATTTAGATCGTCACCAGGTCGCCTTTGTTTGGGTTGGATGTCCTGTCCTCTTTTGCAGCGGCTTTCGCCTTTATATTCTCTGCTTCTCAGGGTTTGCTTCGATGGTAACTTTTATGAGGAGGCGAAGAGAGGGAGTTCATAGACTGCGCTGGGTGTGCTTGTGGAAGTGCGTGCCCGTGGGGGTCTTGCGGTCCGCGCCGGAAATGGGAGTATTGGACAACGGGGATCCTGGGGGTGGAGGGGTGCGCTGCCCGGGTGATGAATTGGGGAAGCTCTTGATGATCATACGGATGTTGGATCGGCCAGAGTAGATCTTTTCCTGTACGAGCTTGAGAGTAGTGTAGTGTTGAGACTGCGGCTGTGAGAGACTCGGCCATCGCTAGGCTTGAACTGGCGAGACGGCCTAGAAACCAATGGCGGAGACCTTAGGAGGATATAATGATGCACACCAGGGATGTGGGAGCCTGAGAGCCGGTAGGGGCAGCTTGTCTGAGCGAAGACAGTGGTGTAGCTGGCGGCGGGCTGGTAGCAGTCTCGGAGGAGCCGCTTCATGGTTGCGGTAGCAATTGCCTCACCCACAAAGTATAAAGGACTCAAAAGAATCAACCAGTTGCCAGCAGCAACTCGAGGTAGCGCTAATGCTCATCCGGTGACTCGAATGCTTTACGCGAAAGTGCCTGACCCAAAGCACTTCCATAGACTACCGCACTTAACTCACCCCGACATCGCCACCGTTGCTCCACGGGAGCTGGTTGCTGATGGTCCAAGCGCGGCGTTTGCGTGTTGTTGTGTGGCTTTGGTAGAATTTCGTCTCCTTCTGCCTCCTCCGCGCCTCCATCTCCATCATCCCAACGCCAGTCATCCCAACACCAACCACGTCCTGCCGCACCTTTGGACCCTCAAAATGAATCCCCTATGGCTAGTCTTCAACCTCGTGTAAGTTTCATCCCATCATCTCACTCCTGTTGCTCGCTGCGGCGCTCGTTTGGTGGCAGCTTTTTGCGGCTTTCCAGCCCGACAGGCTCGCCTACCTTAACACTGCTCCGGGTCTTCCTCTGGCGGTTGCCAAAAGATGCTCACTGATATTCGCAATGAACTTCAGCTAACCAGAACGTTTTGCGTAGGCTGGTCATAGAGCTCTGGTATTGCCTCTGTGTATACTCTGATATGGGGCCTATCCCCACAGACCGGCAGCACCACCGTCAAGGACTACCTCAAGCTGAGGCACCCTCCGTAGTAAGCAAAGGTTTTTCGATGTCCGCCTACTCATTCTTGTCATTGTGCGACCACGGGGTTGTCGCTCATCGTTCTGAACCTTCAGCCGCTCGCGTGGCAAAGTGGGGTCGTGATGGAGCGGAGCGCAACACAACACCACCGCCATCTATGGCTCTCCATTTGCGCACCATTGGTGGCGTGAGAGACACAGGTGCTAATAGGTACAAGCAGATCGAACGTCAGTCCTCAGCTTCTCGCCGCAAAGATGCCAGCATGACGGTAATGCTTGATCGCACTTCCGCCTTTGCCTTTGACCATGAAAAGTACTGCTCGTGTAGCGAAAGCATGAGTAGTATCGAGCCCAGTACACTGCCCTCGACATGCCCAACTTTCTCGGTCTCTCGAGGCCCATCGGCCGGCACCTTCGGCCTCGACAGTCGCGTCAAGCCTGCTGGTCGACCACTTCCTTAACCAAGAAATGCCACCTCTTATCTTCCATAATGTATGATTCCAGTACTCCTCATACTCAACAGAAGGCGATGCCGCTAATACTTCCGACATAGGCTGCCAGCTCGAGCGCGGACCACCCCTCTACCTCTTCTGTAGTCGGCGACAGCGCCGTCGAATGAAGCCTTTATTGAGAGCCATATACAACACTAGATCCTACTGGCGAGTGCTAGGGTGCCGAAAACCTGAAAGAGCTATGACATACTGGGGCGAATATATGGACGACGAGCTTCAACAAGCTCGGCTGACGGCCTCGCGTTGTATCATGTTGCTGCTCAGACCTTCAACAAGCAATAGTACTCTGAGATATTCATGGAGTAAGTCATCGAGTCCTTCCTCTTGTGATCACTGCCCGGATGAAGATGACCATTCGCTTGTACCCCATATCGTGTGGTTTGATGCTGGGCAAGATTAAACTACGGGCCATCTGACTATTCAATTGCAAATCAGTGTCCAGTCTGGAGTTTGGGGAGTTTGGCGTCGACCCCGTGTCCGGGTGGTAGGCAGGGCTACATGGTCTTCAGACCGGAGATGTAGCAGGGCTAAACCACGAGAGTTCGTCTTGGTCCACGGATCTCACACAATACTCCCTCAAGGACTATTACACTGATCGATGGCCTGGAAACCGGTGACGTTGGGAGTCAATGGTGACTTGACTCAGGGTAGAACCAGGCTGTTCCGGCTTGGGAAAGGCAAAGAACCCCACGGGCGGACTTGTACTGCCTTGCTGGATTTACCTCAGAGATCTGAAAGACCAGCTTTAGTGCTGACACTGCATTTCTCATGGATAGGGTGTTGGTGCCCTGAGTTATACATATAGTCCTGGGACGATTGCCTTCCATCGATGAGGGAGCAGCTTTGCGTGTGCTTTGGCGCACGTTGTGATGATCTCTGAGTTTGTTTCATGTCTGGCATTCTGCTGGGGCCATGACAGACCGTCGATGAAAGAAGAGCTGATCTGATGGGCACAATTCCCTTTGCGCTTTGTATTCTTTTCTTGTCGCATCTCTTCTCAGCAAGTGCTAACACTGGACAGATTATACACCATTCCCCTCTCCACTTCTGCAGCGCTTATCGTGGCTGACGCTCATTCATCACAGCCTACCTTCTCCATCAAAGGTAGGTCTGCCAGTCTCACAATTCCTTCTCCTTTTCACACTACTGGCCTGTTCAACCTGAGACCAGATCTTCAATATCTCTTCTCAAGATCCACTCGCTCCTTTGTGTCGGGTGGAGGGCCAAGAACAAATCAGGCTGCATGCTTTCGCTCCAGATTATGACTCGGGGGCGTGTAGTATATGTTCTTTTCTAAGACTGTCTTCTGCGTGGGCGGGAGCTTATCCAGGAGGAGGCATGCAGTTGTCGGACCAAGACTGTACCACCATGGCCCCACGTTATGCCATTGATGGATGTCGAGGCCGTACATTTTATTTTAGCATTTTGACTCAGCACTTGGATATCTCCGAGCTGCCGACTTGCTGACCGTAGCCAGATGCGACGTTTCATGACCATCGCGATTTGCAACCACATGTCTTGACCTACCAGTGTCAAGAATGGTACGCAAGTGTCCCGCACAAACACATCCTGCTGACTGCGTCCTCTCTCTGCGCCTCTGAGATGGCTGCAGGGCCGTCGGAGTGACATGCGCTGCTTTCGGGGCCTCGCCCACAGGCGTGTAACAAGCTCCTCGCATGCCATCTTCTTCCTCTTTCTATGATGACATGAATAGTTCATCTCGAATCTCCCATGTCGACTCAAAATTCTCTGACTCTTGAGCACTGCCTGCTTTCTGGAACTTCTACTCGGGGAACCTGACTGACTGTTTTCAGGAAGGCTTTATCGCGAAGACATGGCCTCACCGCAAGGTCTACCAAATGGCTGCTACACAAAAGCAGTTTCCATAAATGGTCGGTCAAATTCCCATGCTCCAAACTTCGTCTTACATCTTCATGATGATCCTCATTAAGCAGACTCTAAGCAATCTGAGGAGACTCGCGAGTGGACTGACACCCTCATTCCAGCTATCTTCACGACCTTACTTTTTGGTCCATTAGCTGAGGTAGACAGGCACTGAGAGTGTGCCAGTCCAAGGCCACCGTTGCATGTCAGCACACCTCGGTCGGTCTGAATCTCATGACCTCCAAGTCAATTCTGAACAATAAGTACCATCCTGCTTTCTTTACCTTACTTGCATGATGCAAAACATTCGAGGAGTCGCAGAGAAGATCTAGACATGCGTGACAAATCCGAATGCGAGAAGACCTTTGGGTCGGGTAAGTCCTTACGGTCCATTGCTTGTAGATCCCAAACTCTGTTCTGATCAGCCAAATTTCACTTTCATGGTCTCCAAAATCCTTCGAGAACACATGCTGACCTTGCGAACAAAGATGCGATTGTCAAAGAAGTCACTGCGGGCCTGCTTCCATGGTAAGTACAGCTCTCGCATTCCCCCATCTTCGCACGATGCAAAATCGCAAGCCTCATAGCACATATGTTTTCAGTTATGTTGCTCGAAGAGACGTCCGAACGCGAGAAGACCCCAGGCGGGTGCTAAGAGATGCCGGAACATATGACGTCTCCCGAAGCCCATCGCGTTGCGAATCTGAGTGGTCCATTGCTTGTGAAACAATACCTTTCTTATCTGATCAGCGAAACTTCAGTCAATGCTTCTTCAGGAACTAGGTATATATACTCACTGACTTGAATATCGCAGATTTTATCGTGCCGTTGCAGCTTCAGCGCGAGCTCCATCGGTGAAAGCTGGGAAGTGCTGCCTTGCGTAAACTCCCCATTGCGTTATCCACCACAAATGCCACAATCTGCCGACGCCGTTATATATCCGCAGATGAAAAGATAAAGATTGGAGGTCTCACCCACCTTCCCAGCGAAGAACTTGGCTCAAAAGGCGTTGCCGAAGGTTTCGACCAGGCGAATGAAGTAAGTCCTTCTGTTCTTTTCGTTGTTCCAACAATGCCTTTTCGCTCGTGATGACCATCGAAGACCCTTACTGAATGCAAGCCTTTCAGTCATGGACAAAGTCTAGGTAAGATGGCTTTGATGGCAATGACATCAACTTTACAACTTGTTTGAAGCGCTTCTCCTGCCATCGCATCTCGCAGCCATAGTTTACTGCGCGTTCGCTGACCATCGGACAAGCAATAAACACAAATCGCCCATGGGGCTGCCAGACGCACCAAAGTGGTCTTCGCTGCTTTTGTCTGTAAGGCTGTTTGCGCTCGTTGTATGAGTGCAGACAACACAGGCACGAACCGCCGTCTTCATTGTAAGTCTCCACATCCTCTTAGCTGCGATCTCTCGCGATCTTCTGTTGATTACCTAAAACTGTTGCAATGAGCCGTTTGTATGGCCTCGACTCCAAATTATTGTTCTGGTGCGCTGTTGTCGTTTCTGCACGATCGTCGTACCGATGATCGTGCTTTCGCTAACAGCTGGATGCGCAGGTTTGATACTTCTTCGACGGCACGCAGCGCTATCAGGATGCTTGACAGGTGGCCTTTGCTGCTGCTGCTTGTGGGGTGGCTTTGGGGCTCGCCACGCGAGCGCTGACACCACGGGCAGAACTTGTCGCAGTTGTCAGTTTTTCCTTCTCCTTCCCCGCTGCAATGTCTCCCGATGCCTGATGACAACATGTAATTCTTTGCGATGGGTCCCCTCGAAGGCCATAATGCTTAATCATTTGTGTCTGATGCGCTATTCTTGTCTCCGAGTAATTCTTGCACGGATGACCGCGCGTTCGCCAACAGCTGGACGCGTAGCGCCACCAGGCTGCTTCGCCATCATACCAAACAAGCATGTGGGGACTTTAAGGGCATGCCCAGTATATGCGTTGCCAGCGTGGGGTCTTCTTGAGAAGCCTTGACTTTGTCGCAGCGATGGACATTCCGCCATGTGTCTCCGACAGTTTTGTATCTCAGCATCCACCGCAGTACGACTCGCTGGCAATCGGAGTAGGTATCGCGACGTTCGAGATCGTGTTCAAGGGTTCGTAGCTCGGTAGCGACGTGGGAAAGGAGTTGGCCGGTCTGTCAAAGATGGTTAGTCTGAACTCTGATCGGACAACCTCACCAACCTTCTTCCACACACATCTCCGCTGGTATCAGCAACCAAAGAATCCACCACCTGCTCTCAGGAGCTCCTGGTATCAAAGTATGTATTTCAGCCGTTCAGTCGGCTGTTTGTCCAATGCCTGCATGCCGCATTCGACGCTGTTGGTGTGTCGCGCAAACCCTGCGGCCATTATGCCTTGTGGCAGTCATGGACGCTGGATGAGTCCTGCAGAGTACCTGCCATACCCACAGCTTCCACTTCGACAGAGGTTCTACGCACATGTATGCACATGTTAACGAGTTTCAGAACTTGAGCTCACTGGTCCAGCAGCGCGTCCTTGGTCGAACAATGTTGTCGCGCAAGCAGTTCCTGCAACGCTGAGTATATGAGTCCCTCGGTCGCAGACGAGCTTTGTTTAGTTTTTTTTGTCTCGTTCTGTCCGTCTCTTGTCACTGCCTATTTATGCGTTTCCTTGTGTCTCGTCTTCGCGAAATCGTTCGGGCGGGCTCGTGCGGTAGAGGCTTGCGGTGCGAAGAGGTGGACGGAAGTGCTTGCGGCGCCCACACAAGAGCAAAAAATCGGGCATAGACGAGATCGCTCGCATTGAAAGTTGGTATGGTAGAGGGTCTGTATCGTTGTCATAGCTGGCTGCCGACAGCTACTCCGTGGAGGACGAGGAGCGTTGCCGGCTTCCCTTGTCGCTCCCATATTTCTTCATACCAACTTCAATCTATCTCTTGTCACAATGTCCTCTTATGGCTCCTATCTCGTGCCTGTATTGCCGTTTCTTGTTCGTGCCGAGACGATTTTTTTGTTGCGTTCAGGTGGGGCTATCGGAGCGTGTGGAGATGGAGCTGCGACGTGACACAGGCTGATGCTGCCATGCTCCTGCGAAGGCCTTAAGTGACAGACAACATATTGAATTATTAGAGGTTTCATAAGGTTGTTGCTTGTGGTCATGGCCGTGCCGCCTCCGTCAGCCTGGATGGCCGTCGTGACGTTCAGGAGGTGCTCAAGGGCCTGTTGCGAAGGTTGCGGCGTACCGGTCAAGGTTTCTCTGATACAGGCACTGTGACACGGTGAGAAGCTCAGTGTACATGTGTTGCTGCTGTTGCTTTGGTGGCAGGGTAATCGTGAGGCCGTGCGAAGTCGGTGCTGAAGTTCGCGGAGCTGTCGACAGACCTGCGTAATAATTTGCCCAAGGCCGCGCTTTGCAGGCGGGTCCCGCCCGCAGGTGTTAAGCCCCGCATATTGCCGCTAGAACTCCCTCGCGGTCACGCATATGGTGTTGATGGGGTGTTAAGTTTGGGTATGGTGCTGTAAAATACTCAGATGCGAGCATCCAGAAGGGTCAGAACCTTTGGATTACCCGCCAGACGCAGCGTGCAGGGAGGGCTCACATCTTCTGCACACATAGCAAACACTTCAAGATGCATATCACCGCGCTCGCTGCCCTGACAAGCCACCAGGTTTGTGGTTGCATGCATCAGGCCGTCCGACCATAGGAAGAAACATGGCTTCATCTATCTATTCGGACGTACTCGTACATAGCTTCAGGGGCTTATTCACCTGGCCATCATGACCATATTGCACTTTAAAATTCGCCGCCAGCACGCAGCCCCTGGCACGTGCCACGCGGTGTTGAGCGCCACCGAGAGAGCTCCCCGCTAGCGTCCATGTCCAAATCGAAAAAATTGAGGGCATCACAACATTTAAAGCAATGGTATGGAGGTTGTAGAAAGCTGGGAGCTGGTTTATCTGGCCCATATCTATCTAGAGTCACAATTAAAGCCTATAAAAAGCTCACCTTGGTGCTGCAGCGTGCCAGTGTCGGTGCAAATCCCCTATCTTGCCTGCTGATTCTCGCTCACCTTTGATGTTTTGCCCCGCTTAGCGCCGTCTCCCACAGCTCATTTGTCTTGCCGACTATTTATTCTGCGCTCCAGGCTGCCCCTCCTTCTCCTCTACAATACACTCTTTTTCTCCACCTTGACTGATGGGTTTTTGGCGGTCAGCTCCTGGCGGAGCACCTGGCTCTGGTGGCCCGCCTGGCTTCTGAGGTCAAGCTGCGTAAGGTCATCCTGCATATTGACTTCCACTACAAAATGCTGATCAGTTCCAGAGCAACTTTTCGCTGCAACCTCGCCTGCGGCAGAAGAGGGACGTCGACTCATGGCCGCTCTTCTGTCGCAAGCACCTCGCTTGCAGTGCCAGTAACGCCAGGTTTGCTAACTTCTATACCAACGCGCTACGCGCAACCTACAGCAAGGACCTCTGGCAGATCCGCAAACTAAATCTCATCTACCGTAAGTCCAAAACAGTGACCACTCCTGCACCTGAGAAGCACCATCACATCCACTGCATGCTATTCACACCAGCTCACCCAGATAGATGACCTTGCTACCAAGACCAACGGTAACATTGGCAGCTTCAGCCTCAAGACAAAGTCTACGGCAGGAGAGGGATATCAACCTATGGCCTCTCTTCTGCAGCAAGCACCTGGCTGCCAGCAAAGCCAGGTTTGCTAACTTCGATACCAACGCGCAACCTACAGCCTACAACAAGGACCTCTGGCAGATCCGGAAGCTCAACCTCATCTACCGTTAGTTCGGTGCCATCGACGAGCGTCTCCGGCACCACCTACAACAACAGCACGTTGGGCCTAGCAATACGAGTTCTACTTCTGTGAAACTACTGGTCCTGCCATCGAGGCTCGGATCGTCACGGATCGCTCCACCAGCAGCCCAAACGGGTACGTAAGTCCCCTTCCAGTTGACGGCGACTGTACTAACTTAGCTCCAGTGCCGGCTATCTTGACTCAATGACTTGGTTTTCCGGCGCGGGATCAGGTTTGCCGATAGCTGTAACTCACGATATTATCACATGTATGTTCAGGCCTCATCGCTCAAGCTACCATCTAACAATCAATAGAATGCCATTTGGTGACACACCACCTCAATTTTTTCCCTTACGTGATGTCTGCCACCTAAATTAATAGGATCTATGACAAGGTATTTCCTAGCGCTCATGCTGAGTTCAAACACTGACATGTCACCAGGGACTTTTGCACCTCTTCTTCCACCACCTGCGCCCCTCCCTCCTTCGTATCATGATCAACCGTGATCCACCGTCATTCCTTCATACCTTCCTCACACGGCG